CTGATCCATGTGTTCATGCATGACGCTCTGGCGCGTGTGCCTCTGTCTCCGCCTCTCTCTGCGTCCCTGCCTCTGCCCGCTGCAGGTTCGACCTCACCCCAGCAGACTACATCACCGGCATCGTCACAGAGATTGGCGTGGTGAGATGCGCATGCGCACGCACATGCACATGCACATGCACATGCACACGCACATGCACACGCACATGCACACGCACATGCACATGCACATGCACACGCACATGCACATGCACATGCACACGCACATGCACACGCACACCCACATGCACACGCACATGCACATGCACACGCACAGCACATGCACACGCACATGCACACGCACATGCACATGCACATGCACACGCACATGCACACGCACACGCACACGCACATGCACACGCACACGCACATGCACACGCACATGCACATGCACACGCACATGCACATGCACATGCACATGCACATGCACACGCACATGCACACGCACATGCACACGCACACGCACATGCACACGCACATGCACATGCACACGCACATGCACATGCACACGCACATGCACACGCACATGCACATGCACACGCACATGCACATGCACACGCACATGCACATGCACATGCACATGCACATGCACACGCACATGCACACGCACACGCACATGCACACGCACACGCACATGCACACGCACATGCACATGCACACGCACATGCACATGCACATGCACACGCACATGCACACGCACATGCACACGCACATGCACACGCACATGCACACGCACATGCACATGCACACGCACATGCACACGCACATGCACATGCACATGCACATGCACATGCACATGCACATGCACATGCACATGCACACGTTAGCATGCACACACAGGTAGGTGCACACACAGGTAGGTGCACACACAGGTAGGTGCACACACAGGTAGGTGCACACACAGGTAGGTGCACACATTCATGAGTGGATGCGCACAGGTAGGGGCAAAACGGGGAGGCGCCCATGTTTGGGACTTGCAGCTGGCCACTGCGCCCTTCAAGTCCATTCACACTAACTTTTTCCCTCCGCATGCCGCCTGCCATGTGCCATCCCTCCAGGTGCCCACGTCGAGTGTGCCTGTCATCCTGCGTGAATGCCGCAATCAGCTGTACTAGATGGCACGGGATGGAATCATGTGGCTCCCATGTGATACCATCGACATGCGTTGTTCCAGTATGCCGGCTGGCTATTTCCACAAGAGATAGTTGTGTTAGAGTACAGGGGAGGGGACGTGGCAAACAGTCTAGATGGTAACCAGTAGAGATATTTTATCAGCGCAGTTTCAGTTCAGTATGGGTCTTAGAAGAGAGAAGTGAGTTGTAGTATTGAGGGATATTCAGAAGACATTTTAATGCAGTTGCAGTTCTTTATGGTTATCAAAAGTCAGTTCCGCTGCTCTGCTCTGAAGATCCATTCGTCCTGAATCTCAAGAAGAGTTTTCAGCAATTGAGGTGGTGGAAGACGTTTCAGAGAAGCATGTGGTGGGTTTATCATAATAATAGAAAACCTAGCTAGCCAGACCCACCACACAAAAAAAGGTGTGCCACTGAACCAGCACTGCAACCCACCACGCTAAAACATCAGGTCACCCAGGATGGGTACCTATTTAGGCAAGAGCTGCAATTCTGCTGAGGTGCTCGAGCACAAGCGAGGTGCCGGTGGCGAACGAGACATCCTCATAGGCGAGCCCGTGCTTCTCACACAGCTCCTTGACTGCCTTGCAGGTCTTGCCAAGGTGGTGCCGCGGCATGGTGGGGAACAGGTGATGCTCCAGCTGCCGGTTCAGCCCGCCTGTGAACCAGTTGTTGAACAGACCTCCGTTCACGTCGCGCGTCGTCACAATCTGAAGGGGATGGAGACAATGAGGTGCCCCATGGTGAGTTTAGAATGCGAAGATTGATTTGGACACGTTCATAAGGACCTTTCAGAACTGTGTCAGTAGTCAACTATTCTGACCCTGCTACGGACAAGCCTGATGGCCACTGTATAATGGATAGTACTCCCATCCCACAACACCTGGCCTCTGCCAGCAACCCCGACTCACCTGCGCGGTGTAGAAGTCCTTGCCCTCGTTGTAGATCTCCATGGCGTTGTGGCTCTGCACAAACACAATCGCTAGGAACAGCCCGCCAGTGATCTGCCCCGTCAGCATCCACATGAGGCCCTTCCAGAACGGCAGGCAGCCGAAGCCGAAGCCGAGCACCCAGGCGTAGTGCAACACCATGAACAGCCGCTCCCAGAAGCGCTCCTTGGGCGCCACCTCGTCCGAGAAGCAGTACGTCAGACTCGCGTACGACCTGCGCGGGGGGGGGAAGGGAGGGGGGATACAAGGAACGCTATCAGGAAGCTTCGAACCAGCTTCCGTTGCCAGATCTTACTTCCGAGAGGGAAAACTGGAAACTCATCCGCATGCTGCTCTGCGTTTTACGGATTCTGTGGAGTTTAGCGTACCAGGCGAAGCGGGCGAAGGAGAGGAGCGGAAAGAAGAGCGGGCTCTGGTAGCGGAGCAGTGAGCGGACGGTCTTGCTCTTGACTGTGGCGAGAATGTTCTCGCTCCACGCGAGGTACGGCAGGGTGTCAATGTCGGGGTCGATGGGGCGGTACTCCTTGTCGCACTCGTTTGGGACGGCGTGGTGCGTGTTGTGCTTGTTCTTCCACCAGTTGGTGCTAAACCCCATCAACAGATTGCCGTGGATGTACCCGCCGACGAACGTGTTCAGGAACCGCGACTTGAACACCTGCATGTGAGTTGGAGGCATGTCAGGCGCTTTGGTCGTTCGAATCAAGATTAACGCAGTGAAACCGGGCTGTATGCGTGCATCTAAGTTAGCGGTTTCAGGACAACAAGTGCTCACGACATGCCAGAAGTTGACAACAATCGGCGGGAAACTGCCGCAGAAGGGCAGGAGAAGGACTATCACGAACAGCGAGACGGGTGTGCCTGACTGACCTGGTGGTGGAGGAAGTCGTGCGAGAGCCAGCCGACTTGTTGCCAGTACAGCCCGAGCAGGACGCCCGAGAAGAGCACCCAGAGCGGGTTGGAGGTCCACATGATGATGGCGATGCTGGTCGCCACGATGGCGTCCGTCGAAAGCACCTTGAACACGTAGTACGCCGGGTTGCTCTTGAAGTACCCCTTCGCCTCGAACGACGACCGCAGATCGCGGAAGTCCTTTAGCAGATCGCCCGTCGGCTCGACCTCGCTCTCCTGTAACGGACGACGCGAGATGCGATGCCACACGCAATCAGAACATATTCCCGCTTGGAGAGGCATCGTTTCGTTCCTAAGCGAGACACGCGAGGAGCTAAACGAGAGAAGTACTACACCCTCCGACCGGCAGACTAGTGGACGGTGCGATGGCAACGACTTTGATCTGAGGACAAAGCGTAGCCCGCGTTCGTGTGTCGACATCCTCTACGCAGCTGATCCCGACGGGTACAGATTCTCCAAGTTCTCGACGCGTTTGGTCTGTGCACACCTTGAGGTCGCCGATGTGCAGCGTGGAGAGGAAGGCGCGGGTGGTGGGCTTGTGGAAGGCGGCGAAGACGTCCGTGGCGTTGCGGCCCGCCAGCGAGTAGATCACTCGCCCGCCTGGATGCCGGTCGGCGAAGTCGCTCACGTCGTACACCTGCACGATCCATACGAACGAATAAATCAGCACCATGCAGTGGATTCGATTATATTCTTAGGATACTGTACCTAAGCGAAACCAAGGCGGAAGGGAGTTACGCGCGGATTTGAGTCGGACCTTGTTGTCGACGACAACCCAGGCGTCCCCGGGCCGGTTGTGCTTGGACACCTCGTCCATGGTGAACTGCTTCGCCGCATTGCCGTTCGTCGCGGCGACGGATCGCTTCGTGAGCCCGCCTGCATTACTGACGACGGTCTCGACGGCTGCAACCCGAGCCTTGGTGACCTCGCCCTCGCAACCCCCACGACCCTGAACAGACACAAGGAACGGCGCCGTAATGTCAGCTCAATAGCGGACATCATACATCGGAACAGACTATGATAATGCTACGGTCGCTGAATGCGTCGCTGAGGTACGCACCATGTTAATTCAGCTGCGATCTCTACGCCCAGCTGAGCAGTCAGGGCAGAGTCCGGCAGCAGCTGCTCCGCTGAGCCACTAGATTGAGATAAGCAGAACAAGTTTCAGGCTGCTCGTAAGGTGGTGAAACTAGAGACGGAGGTTGAGATGAAATATGGAGGAGAGTGTGCACCATCAAGCAGTGGCCATGGGGTGGAGGTGGAGAAGGTGCGTCACTCGTTTGAGGAACGGGGGGCACTCAGAGTGACGGAGGTTATTATCGGGGCGTGCGACAGCTGCTGCTGTTTGGCCGAATCTATGCCCAGTTGAGGGAGGCTTTCTGACCCTGGGATGCGCATGATCGGGCTGACGGTGCAATCGAGGTGGAATTGCTGCGACGGTCAGGATCTGAACGTGCTCTTCGTGGCCAATTAAGGATGGACAGTTGGGAGAGATCCAGGCGTCAAAATTGGCGGGAGGTGAACAGCCTACGATTCGAGCATCTATGGCTAGCTGTCCAGTCCATATGATACACAGCCCCCGAGTCTGATTGAAGAGCTCAACCCCCATAATTGAACCTGGATCCGGCTCGGCGGAGGCAAGCTGGGCCCGAGTGGTCCCCAGCGTGACCTTGATTTGCGGCAGGCAAGGCCAATGAACGGAGCGCATTCAGCGACCTAGCTACTGCTTATGAGACCCGAGAATTTCTCCCTGCTAGTGCTGGCGCTCCTATTGGAGGAGCACACGGTGAATATTTCTATGGTGACCCTCCTTGACGTGGACCAGTGAGGTTTGTCACACCGTGAGGTGGCACAAGGGTGTCCGTGTGTTTTGCAGCGCTGGAAAATATCCTCATCGCACCCACTTCAGGCCTGCCCTCCAGATGTTGAGCATTACACCTTTTCCCCTCTATGGTCCCACTCCGAACAGTCCAAATTGCAATCTCACCTACCAGGTTCTCAGCATGACTCGCGTTGACACTGAACCTGATTGGCTGCAGTCTGAACGATAACGAACTACCAAGTTGTATTTCAACAATTGCGAGATTCAGGGCTGGAACGTCGCGCAGGCAACCAATCTAGTGCATGAGCGAGATTTTGTAACCAAGTGTCATTGCTTCCTGTGGGATCTCCCCTTCAAAGTCCCGTTTGCCCGTGTTTTACAATTTCCTGCTTACAGGCTCGAGCCGCGTGCAAAAACCGTGGGACTAAATAGGAGAACAGGTGTAACAGTACTTGTATAGATGGCCACGTAGGGTACCGACCTACAGTTAAACAATGCGTTAAGTGGGGTATGTAAAGGAGTGTGGGCTAAAATACTGCAAGAAGCGAGCCAAATAATATAAAATGGAATAGGTATATATGATAACTGATGAACATCCGCTAAACAACATCAGCTACTGGCACTTCTACCTCTTCCCGAGCAGCAAGATCTTTCACTTTGACTACCCCCCGTTCCCATTCTGACGAGCCAAGGATTATCATTCTTGATGCGTTGACTCTCTCCGCCTGCTTGAACGCCCTGAGGGAAATAGAGGATGGGAGGAACACAAAACGTGGGCCAGTGGAGTTGGCTTCACCACAAGAGGGGCAGCAGTCAAAGGAACGAAAGTGCCTGCCTGAAGAGGTTGGCCGCCATAATAGCATGTCTACAGAGCACAGTGCACATACCATTTCAGCCGCTTGGTTTCAAGCACCAGGTCAACCCGCCTGCCCTGCTGGCGTAGTCTAGCTGCCAGCGAGGCAGCTGCACCATTCAGTGATTGGTCGAGAGGCACAATAATGTCATCAACTGTTGGTTGGAGTGCTGGCAATAGGCCCCTCTGCTTCAAAAGCTGTGAAGGGGGAAACAAAGGAACGACAGAAGATGCATAACGGGTTGAGAATCAAGGGATTGGTGGGGAAAAACAAGTGCAAACTCCAACCACACCATCATAACCATGCTCTTCGTCCATCGTGTCCTGTACAGTAGGCATCTATCTCTTTTCCACTCTTTCTCCAACGCCGCTACCACCTGCTTACCTCCACAATGACAGCATCGCCGAAGCCGAAGCCGCAAGCAGGTGTGTCAGCGGCAGCCCCAAATGTGGAGAGCAGGCGGTCATACCGCCCACCCCCACAGATGGCCCTCAGCTCGCCCGCCCTGTCAAACGCCTGGCCATGCAGGCAGGGATGCGTGATGGGTGAGGGGGGGAAAGAGGAGAAAGTGGGTGAGGGGAAGGAGGGGTTCGATTGACACATGCATGCGATCTTTGAGCTGGGCGTGCTCCAAATTCAAACAAGCCAACCCCAAACACAGTGCCGGGGCGGCACGCACCTCAAAGACGGTGCCGGTGTAGTAGGCCAGGCCGCGCACCACAGAGGCATCAAACTCGAGCCAGTCCGCAAAGCCGTGCGCCTCCGCCAGGACGAAGAGCCGCTCCAAATCGCCCACCGCTGCACTGCCGCTCTCGGGCACCCCGCTAGCTGCCAAGTGCTCTGCACAGCAGGGGATAGGGGTATCGTCCAGTGGAGTGAGGAGATAAGTGAGAACACAGGGAGAAGAGAAGGGGAGGGAGAGAAGGGGGCATGCAGAGTGAGAGGAACGGAGGAGATGCGCCAGAAATGAAGCTCCCACAGAGAACAGCTGATCCTACCCTGAACCATAAACCCGAAATCCTACCTCGTAGTTGCTGCAGCGATGTGATCTTCATGGTGCCCAGGATGGCCCGTGCTGCTGTCTCGCTCACCCCCAGCTCCGCCAGTTCCTTCCCCACCGCCCCCTCCCCGATCTTGTCCCTCTGGCCGCACACACACACAGATGAGAGGAGAGGTGACGGAGTGCAGGCAGGGATGTGAAGTGAGTGACAATAGAGGCGCGGTGGGGTTGCGGTGGATGATGGGGGGAGAATGCAGCAGAGAAGACAGAACTACAGGTGTGCATGAGGAAAACGTGCGCTCACTCACCTTGTCTACGATCACGCAGACTGCTGCGAACTTGTCAGCGGGCACACCACTGCCGTCCACCACCTCTTGCAGCACCTGCCAGTTGAGACGCGAGGGGCGGGCATGGGGAGAGGGCACACACAGGCACTTCAGACAGACGAACAGGCGTACAGAGGGGAAAGTGATGAAGAGTGATTCAACGCGGTGCTAAGAGGTGCACACACACAGTGCCTACGAGGGTGCATGCTCATGCAGGGAGTGCAGCGGCGCACCTTGCGGTTGGAGACTCGAATGCCCACGTCCTTGGAGGAGAGCCCCACGCGTGTGAAGAACGCCACCACCGCTGCCAGCAGCTCTGCTTCCGCCTGAAGCGGCGCGACTCGCGAGGGAGGAGGAGGAGGGGGGGAGTGAGGACGAGAGAACGAGAGAGGGAGAGAGAACGGCCTTGTGCCTCTGAAAGGCACGTGTTTTGGCAGCAACTCTGCTTCCGCCAGGGCGAGACGGTGGAATCAGAGCGAAGACGAAAGGGTGAAAGGGCGACGCAGAGGAGGGACGAGTCGAGGAGGACACTGAGGCGGTGGGGAAGAGGCTGGGGAGGTGGGAGACAGAGCAAGACAGAGCATGGCCGGGCTGCTGACCACGACCAGCTAATGTGAGTGAGAGCGGGGTCATGGGGCGAACACTCTTGCACGTTTGAGCGACTCACCTCGACGCCCGGCACGCCCAGAACGTCCATGTTCCACTGGTAGTGCTCCCTGCGCCTGCCACGTGTCATGCGCTCGTAGCGCCAGCACTGCCCAATCGCAAACCACTTCACCGGCAGCGGGAGCGACTTGCTGGTCGGAGCATTGGGGTGGTTGGGAACCAGGGGGGGGGCGTGGAGAGGGACAGAGGGAGGGGGGGCTCAGCCCCTGTGCGAGCAGGGCTTCGCTGATTCACTCAACGGGCCCAGTGGTGGGGCGATCAGGCAACAACGCCAGGGGGTGAGCAGAGTATGCCCAGTACTCCCTCCCTGCTAGGCACACAGTCCACCCAGGGGGCGCGCAGAGGCTCACCCTTTTTGCAGCACGAGGCGTGCCAGCGACGGCGTGAGCTCGGGACGCAGAGCCACTCGCCGCCCGCCCTTGTCCTCAAAGTTGTACAGCTGCACGCACAAGGGAGGGAGGGGGCCGGGAGTTCAAGTTGAGGAGTGAAAAGTGGAGTTTTGAGGCGCCTCAAAACTGGGTTACATGTGGGCGAGGGTAAGGAGGGAGACAGTGCGTAGGGAGAGAAGGGCACAGGCGCTACCTCCTCCCGCTTTCCCTCTTCTCCCCACGCTCTTTCTCCCGCGTGTCTCTGCTGTGTCATTCCCCTCGTCTCTCTCCCCCCCCCCCTGTGTCTCACCTGCTGTGTGATCTCCTCGCCCGCCTTGCGCACGAACAGCTCTTCCGACTCCAGCACGGGGTAGTCCACCTCCTCGAACCCGAACAACGTCGACACCTGTGGTCACAGACACACGGGCATCCAGAGAAGTCACGACACTTTTTGGTGTGCTGCTTGGTTTTAAGATTTTCTGCAAAGCTCTTCCGACTCCAGCACGGGGTAGCCCACCTCCTCGAACCAGAATAACTGCGACACCTGCAGTGAGACTGCGTGCGAGCCACGATGAGAGCCACGTGATGCGAGCCGTGTGCGACGATGAAACGACAGAGTGGTGCGACGCACTTTCAACGCGCCTCAAGAACCGGCTCCAGCACGGGGTGGCCACCTCCTTGAGCAAAAAGACTAGCGACACCTGCGCTCGCGCGCATGCAGGCACCGCTTCACTCGTTTGCTTTTGAGTCGACTCAAAAGCACCGCTCCACTCGTTTCGGAAACCAGCCCAACGAGATTCTGACATCCCACTCGGAAATCACTGTCCGTTACAGTCACGCTACTGATAAGAACGGAACGACCTGTCTACCCGGCGACCTGTCTGAAGTGGCCGAACAGCCAGTTGCGCAGCCGCATGTCGTCTGGGGGGAAGTCACGCGTGCCACGTGGCGGGCTCACGTCGATCATCTCCGCCTTGCCTCCCGCACCTCCCGCCTTCCCCGCCGCCGGCGGGCCCGCCGCTGACGGTCCGCGCGAAGCGGCCTTCTTCTCCGCCTTTTCCGCTTTCTCCTCCGCGACTGCCGGCGCATTTGACGCTGAGGCGCGCAGAGAGAGGCCGGGAGGTGAAGAATGGCGGGGACTGACGGTCAGGGGTGATCCTTGGGATTGCCTACAGTAGCTTCCTGGAAGGATCGCTTGCGTGCATGTCCGGCAGATAGCTGTAGAAAGGCTTTGAAACGGAGAGATGGAGGAATGCATGTGGGAGGTGGTACTCTGACGGCTATTGGCTTGGCGAACGCAGTGGACGATCGACGGCTGACGGCATCGGAGCACGGTCTGTGTGAGAGATGCCGTCGCCATGGCGACGAGCCGCTGCGACGCGTTGCTACAACGAGAGCTTCGTCGCGATGCCTGGATAAAGCCCAAAAGAACAGGGGAGCGTTATGATGAGGCGCAAGGAGCGAGAATCGAGAGTTGTAAGGGGGTGTCTGAAGTGAAACAAATTGTGATGTTCCAGGATGTCACAAGAAGGTACGGTATCTCAAGATTTCAAAACGTTTGGAGAGAAACAACTCTCGGTTCCGCGACGTCCCAAAACCTTACGCGTTACTAGACACCCCCTTATAGTACTATGGGGATGATGATTGGAAGGCAATGGTTGGGAGGGATGGAAATGTGTGGCTGGGAGGGCCGCCACGAGGATCTCGAGACCGGCCCAGCAGTTAGTAACATATGAGATGTAAGATCATTAATATAAGAAGTTCTTAACAATAGAATGAGGCAAAAACCGTCTAAGTCTTATCATTTCATTACGTTGAAACGTTTTTGTGAATCTCATTTTGAGTTCAGTCCTCAAAAAAATTGAAAGGGGAGTAGTTACCAGTTTTGTTAGCCTGTTTTACAGCTTTCCCCTCCATCCTGAAATGCTTGCTTTGGTGCACGATCTTCTAAGGGCTGCCTTAGTATTGTACTGTGTGAGGCTACAGGATGGCATCGTGACACAGAGCGTAGGGGGGCTTGTAGTACCATGAGTAAGACAACCACCACCTGTCTATGATGCTAAGGGGGAACCTCAAAGAGTCATTCAGCAAGAGACGAGTCTAAGTGCGTCATTGCATAACATCAAATGCCAACACTTTATGTCGTATAGCACAACACCCGTCCCTTACACATATAAAGAGGTCCACACAGGGATACATCATACAACAGACAGATACTAGCGCGTCTATAGGAACTCAGATGCTTGAAGGGGCCTCAAAGCAACACATGGAGACACAGACAGATACACATGACAGCCATACGCCGTCTAGCAAGGCTGAATATACACAATCAGAATGGGTTCCGCCGTCGCATTCCCCAGGATCTGTAGGTACTACCGGTATAAATAAATATGCTTCACATTTAGACCACCATAACGATCTTCGGGTTGACGTCGGACGACGGCCGAGCGATAGCCACGTTGTCCTCTGCCACCTCAGCGGGAATCACGGCCACGGTGTTGTCGTTATCAGCGGGAACCACGGCGACCGTGTTGTCGTTATCAGCGGGAACCACGGCGACCGTGTTGTCGTTATCAGCGGGAACCACGGCGACCGTGTTGTCGTTATCAGCGGGAACCACGGCGACCGTGTTGTCGTTATCAGCGGGAACCACGGCGACCGTGTTGTCGTTATCAGCGGGAACCACGGCGACCGTGTTGTCGCTATCAGCGGGAACCACGGCGACCGTGTTGTCGTTATCAGCGGGAACCACGGCGACCGTGTTGTCGTTATCAGCGGGAACCACGGCGACCGTGTTGTCGTTATCAGCGGGAACCACGGCGACCGTGTTGTCATTATCAGCGGGAACCACGGCGACCGTGTTGTCGTTATCAGCGGAAACCACGGCGACCGTGTTGTCGTTATCAGCGGGAACCACGGCGACCGTGTTGTCGTTATCAGCGGGGATCACGGCGACCGTGTTGTCGTTATCAGCGGGGATCACGGCGACCGTGTTGTCGTTATCAGCGGGGATCACGGCGACCGTGTTGTCGTTGTCAGCGGGGATTGCGGCGACCGTGTTGTCGTCATCCTTGGGAATGACGGTGACGGAATTGTCGCTATCTACTGGCAGAGGACGACCAGCGTGGGAGAACGCGGCACCAGCGAAGAGGGCGAGAAAGAGAAAAACTGCCTTGCTGGCCATGGCATCTGTCGCAAGGGTCAGAAGACCAAGTTGTGGCGATCTGCCTGGTGAAGGAATAGAATGCTCTGCCTGTCAGAGTGCTTCAGGAAAGTGGTCTGATCTGGAAGGGGGGAGACACAAGATGTGAGGACGGCGAGGGAAGGAATGTCACAAGGTGGAAACTCGCTGGGAGGGGAAATCTGCATTGAAGTTCGGAGCCTGGTGTTCACCTGGCACCTGAATCGACACCTGCGATCCGACCAGCGGAATTCCCGGTTACAATGCGCCTCTGATTTTCTCAGATGACTGGACACAGATAGCACCTGGATTCCAGAGTGTATCTGTAAAAAAAATTATGAATAAAATAGGAAACAACAATTAGCAACCTAGCCACACACTATTATTACTCCCCAAAGTGGAAATGTGCACTCATATTACTAGAAAAGACGACTGGGAGAATCGATGGAGACGACATGATCCTCTCCAGCGCCATCCTCCTCATCGCTATCATCCGCCACTCTTTCAACGGAAGCAGAAGGAATTGGATGTAGTTCACGCATTGGCCCTCCCCGTGATTCCTTCCCTTGTGCATTCCCTAGGAACGCCTCTCCTTCTGGTGCACCAGGTTGGCGGTCAATAGGAATACCACTGGAAGACGATGGGGCGGAGGATGGCGGCCGATGTGGCGGCAGAAAAGCACGGGGAATCTTAGCCTTCTCCTTTCCTTCAGTGCCACCTTCCTTTAACACCCCATCAGCATTGCCACTGCCACCACCACCACCACTGCCACCACCACCACCGCCACCACCGCCACCACCACCACCGCCACCACCGCCATCGCTGCCAGGAGTTTGAGAAGCAGCTGCTGCATAAAGCGAAGGTAAGATCGCAGACAGAGACGTGCTGTGGGCCCCACCTCGAGCCAGCTGGCCCTGAGCTGCTGAGCTGGCATGGCCGCTGTGCATGGATTGTACAATATTAGGGTCGCTGGATTTGCGAGCGCTGGCACCTGATGACATGACAGCGCGAGTGGCCTTTGGTCCCCCGTGCAGCAGCTGCGAGTGGGAGGCGGCGAAGAGGGCTGTGGCAGGGGACGGGGAGGGGCTGACTCGCGCGGCGTGCAGGTTGTAGTGGCTGTGGTAGTGGGCGTGGAAGTGCGAGAAGTGCTGCTGCTGCGAGTGGTGGTGGGGCGACGTGTCCGTGGGCCTGCGCGGCCGTAGGTTGAGCTGGTGCCAGAGAGAGGGTGTGAAAAGCGGGTTCAGATAAGGGTTTGGGAATTTTGTAAAAGGTGATCAAGTGTAAACAGAAGACATACCAAGGAATAGCTTGCAGCAGGAGAGAGCAGCAACAGCACACAAGCGCAAGACACAGTGCTATCCAGAACTCTGAGACACTAGTAACTGAGAATTGGAAAAAAAACCAAAGTGCTTTTTCCGTTAATACAAAAAAACAGTGCAGAAGAAACGAGACTCATTGGAGTGTGATGTCTGCCTCCACTTCCTCATCGCTCTCACCTTGCTGCCGAACACGCTGAGCTCCATGGCCCGCTCCATGAGCGTCTGGTCCACTGCAGCCCGGTCCCTCAGTGCCGCCGCCAGCTCACTGCCCCGCGGCATCGTCATCTCACTCTCAGTCAAATCCCCAAACCCGCCCCCGCCCTCCTCGCCTCGCCCCGCCCCACTCCCCCCGGCAGCATGCTCCCCCACCCCCATGGCTGCGAGCAGCGCGTCGTTGAGGGTGCTCTCCTCCGCGCCCTCCGCTCCGAAGCGCAGCAGCCCGTCGTGGTCACGCACGGCCTGCGGGCGGTGCACGTGGAACGACCTGATTGGCCGGCGAGAGAGAGAGGGGAGAAGGGGAGGACGGAACGAGCAGGTGATTGCAGATAATGTAGCACGCGCATTCGAGAGCGAGGGCAGCAGCAAGCTGCCATGCAACAAAGCAACAAGAAGACCAAGCTACGGTAGGTGCCAGTTGCTCATACAAACGTGCCTGCAACACGTGTGCGGATCCGCTGTCGGCAGCACGCACCTGGTGGGCGTGTTTTGGATGGACATGATGTCGCGCGGCATGTGGATGACAAGCAGCTTGCAGAGGGAGAGCGTGGAGTAGCGCCCCTGCAGCATGGCCGAGCTGTCGCCGTACCCTGACCTATCAGTGGCTGCGCAGGGAGAGAGCACGAGAGGGGATATGGTACCACAGGAAAGATGCAGGATCCTTGCTGCTCACGTACACTCAAGCCTCTGACCCCATTTCAGCAAACCAGTGCAGCAGTGGCGGCAGCAGCACTGCTGCACTCACCTGGGCCTGCCAGTGGCTGGGCAGTGAGTATCGCGGGAGCATCGATGGCCACGAGCACCCCGTTCTCCACCCGTCCATTCGACCCGCCTCCACCACCCTCCCCACTGCTCTTCCGCTCGCCTTCTTCTCCTTCCCCGTCCCCACTGTCCCCCCCCAGCAGCCTGTCGCCCTCCTCTGGTATCGCCTCTTGCACCCCCCCTGCATCCGACACCCCGTCCCCCTCGACCTGCTCTCTGCCTGCAGCTGATGCAGCAGCGGCGCCAGAACCAGGGAGAGAAAGGGCAGACCCAGAGGCACGGAGAAAGGAGGGGTCAGCGGGCCGCACGGAGCCGAGCAGCAGCACAGCGACTTGTGAGGGCAGCAGGTCGAGCGTGTCCCCAGGGCGGCAGGTGAGGAGGTGTGCGGAGTCGGTGAGCAGCACGCGCAGCTCGTGCATGGAGAGAGCTCCAAACTCCTCTGGCTGCAGCACCCGCACCACCTCCAGACAGCTCTCCTGGTGCGGGGGGAGGGGGAGAGGGGGCGAGAACAGGGGGAGAGAGGGCACAAGAGCAGGAGAGTTGCAAGAGAAGGAGAACGGATGGGAGCAGAGAGCCGGGAAGATACAGATGCCATGCAGCACTCTCCCACTCGCCTTACGCACACACCTTCCGCAGGAAGTCCTAGAACGCTGCCCCACGCCCCCCCCTTCACCTTCCACAGGAAATCCCCGATGGCGTCGCTGCTGTCCCGCGCAGCAAGAATTCTCTGCCTGTCGATGAAGAAGCAGTGCAGCACGCTGTCCGCCACCACGGAGCTCATGTACGCGCAACCCCTCAGCGTCTCGTACAGCCCCACCGAGCTGCCATGCGCAAACAGCGGCGGGATGAACCGGTGCCCGTGCGCCTCCGCCTCCGCCTCTGCCCGCTTTGACGTCCACTGCAGTAGGTGCATGGGGTGCATGGGGTGCAGTTGGTGCATGGGATGCATGGGGTGCATGGGGTGCAGTTGGTGCATGGGGTGCATGGGGTGCATGGGGTGCAGTTGGTGCATGGGGTGCATGGGATGCATGGGGTGCATGGGGTGCAGTTGGTGTATGGGGTGCAGTTGGTGCATGGGATGCATGGGGTGCATGGGGTGCAGTTGGTGCATGGGGTGCATGGGGTGCAGTTGGTGCATGGGATGCATGGGGTGCATGGGGTGCATGGGGTGCAGTTGGTGCATGGGATGCATGGGGTGCAGTTGGTGCATGGGATGCATGGGGTGCAGTTGGTGCATGGGGTGCATGGGGTGCATGGGGTGCATGGGATGCATGGGGTGCATGGGGTGAAGTTGGTGCATGGGGTGCATGGGGTGCATGGGGTGCATGGGGTGCAGTTGGTGCATGGGGTGCATGGGGTGCATGGGGTGCATGGGGTGCAGTTGGTGCATGGGGTGCATGGGGTGCATGGGGTGCAGTTGGTGCATGGGGTGCATGGGGTGCATGGGGTGCAGTTGGTGCATGGGGTGCAGTTGGTGCATGGGGTGCATGGGGTGCATGGGGTGCAGTTGGTGCATGGGGTGCATGGGGTGCATGGGGTGCAGTTGGTGCATGGGGTGCATGGGGTGCATGGGGTGCATGGGGTGCATGGGGTGCATGGGGTGCAGTTGGTGCATGGGGTGCATGGGGTGCATGGGGTGCATGGGGTGCATGGGGTGCATGGGGTGCAGTTGGTGCATGGGGTGCACGGGGTAAGAGAGGGACATTTGGAGAGGAGAGGGGCAAGGTGATTAGATGGATGCACGGACGGATGGGTGGAGGTAACGGAATAGGGCTGGGAAGGCAGACATAGAGTGAGAAGGAGAGCCGTGGTTACCTTGGCGGTGCCGGAGGCTATGAGCCAGACGCCCTCGGCGGGCTGCCCCTCTTGGAAGAGCGTGGAGTCGGAGAGCTTGGTGGCCTCCTTGAGCGGCTGCAGCAGGGCCAGGCGGATGTCTGCCGGCAGCGCGCCGATCAGCGGCTGCCGCGCCAACACCTCCCCCGCCGGCAGCATGGCCACAAAGGGCGGGCTGCGCTGCAGCTTCTTCAGATCCACCTGCACTGCGCGGTGCAGGTGCACCACCTCCTTCTGGTCCAGCAGCCCCGAGTGGTCGAGGTTCTCCACGTACCCGTGCAGGCCCTGTAGGATGGCGTGCGTGACCTGCTTGGTCTTGATGATCGTGAGCACCTCCGGGAAGTTGAGCCGCATGTCCTCCATAAACTTCTTGGCGGGGTGCTCCTCCTCCTCGCTCTCCAGAATGACCGCCTCCGATATCGGACTGTCCTCTGCGGGTTCGGAAGGGGGGTTTGGCGTGGGGGATAGCAACGGCGGAAAGAAGGGATGAATCAAACGATGGCCTTGAGGCATGCACGGTTCAAGATTGATGGTGAGTCACCAATGCGACATGCTTGCTAATGACCGATGCCAACGTGCTAACTGTCCACTCACTCAGGAAGTCCCTCATCTGCTGGCGAGCGTGCCTCAGCGCGCGGATGTACGCAGCAGCCATGGAGGCGGCCAGCTCCAGGCGGTCCACGGTGACCCAGTTGAGGGCGCGCTGCGGCAGCACCTTCCTCAGCCGCCGGTGGATGACCCGCAGGTAGCGCGGCATGCGCACGTGCGGCTCCAGAGCGGGCCAGAGCAGCAGGCGGTGCTGCTGCGTGGTGTGGTCGGTGGCCTCGGCCACGGCCTGCATGAGCAGCATGGCGGCCGTCTGGTTGACACGCCCCTCCTCCAGCATGCTCCAGTACGCCGCCTGCACGCCTGAGCAGGGTGAAGGGAAGGGGGGGTCCGGCATGGGGAGTGGAGGAGGGGATGTGAAGACGTGAGAGCAGAGGAATGGGAGGAGGGAACGAAACGCAGTGGCAAGTCCCGATGTGGCACGTGACGCTTGGGATGCAGCCGAGTGAGCCAAGTGGACAAGACAACGCATGAAGCAAAGGCATGCCCTGCCCCCCCCATGGCATATGCGTGCACGTAGAGTATGGGGGCACGCACCATTGAGGAACCTGAGCCGCGTGTCGTGCAGCTGCTGCTCCCTCAGCTGCTCGTGCGACTGGCTGTGGTCGTGCGGGTGGCTCTTCATCACCCCCACGCCCGACCCTCCGCCCGAACCTGCTCCCGAGCCTCCGAATCTGCTCAGGAAGGCGCTGGCAGACAGTGTCCCGTGGGAGGAGGGCTGCTTGAGGCACGTGAGGTACTCGTTGACGGTGGCCCAGTCCGCGGGCCCCAGCTCCTCGTCGTCGCCAATCTCCTCAAACGTCTTGACGGCATACCCGCACAGCTCCTGCCGCGTGAAGTTGAGCACGCGCTTCTGAGAGGGGTGGGAGCAATGTGGGTGGGACGAGGGATGGGCAGGAGAGGGGGGAAGATGGGGAAGGAGGGGGCGTGAGAGTGAGGTGGGGGGGAGAAGGTCGGACAAAGAGAGAGGCATGGGGACAGTGGGCGAAGACGGCGGAGAAACGGGAGGAAGAGAGTAAAGAATGAGAGTGGAGGCGAGAGGAAATGCTACGCAGTTCAAGCGTGAAGCAACCAATTTTAGGTGGAAGTAGTTCACAAGCGACACACCTTGATGTCGGAGGTGCTGTTCATCTTGAGCGCGGCCAGCAGGAACTGCGTGGTGGAGCCGTTCACTATGAGCGTGAGGAAGACCACGCCGCCCGTCAGGAACATGAACTGAAACGCGTGCACGGATAGAGAGAGAGAGAGAGGGCGACAGCATGAGGGCCACATGCAGAGTTGCCTGACACCGCCTGGCGATCGTGAATTGTGAGCTCTGAAGTAGTAGCTCGGATTGTAGGATGTAAATTGCAAAAATTAAACTGCATAACATGAGTGAAAAAATGTCTGGCAAACTGCGTGTGCACGTTAAAATGCTGCTCATGAATGCTGAAGAACACATTGTCAAGTAAGGAGGGAGGGCGAAGAGTTACCCTGGCTTCTGTTTCTTTGGTGATGTGCTCTGATACTGGCTCGTGCTGTGACATGGTAGCAAGGGAGGAGGGGTCAGAGTGCCATAGTTAGTGAATCGACAGACATCGCAAGAAGGACATGGAGGACAAGGGAAATAGCATCGAACTTGGCTCCATGGCGTCAAACTTGAGGAGGAAAATCAGAAACAGAGAGACAACAACACGCCCACCCGCCCAAGCCCCCCAGTGAAGCGCACGACTCACGCTGACAAGGAGTGCGAGAGTGAGGGCAACGGCGCCCCTGAGCCCCGACCACACGAGGATGATGGCCTCCTTCCAGGACAGCCCGTAGCCGCTGGAGGCGAGGCCGGGGTACAGCACCCCCACCACCACCACGCGCGACAGCTGCACGAAGACGTACAGCAGGAACATGTAGCCCCAGTCCACGCCTGGAGCGGTGGGAGGGACCAACCACGGAATTGGCAGAACGTAAGAGTCGAACCAACGTATCAACTCAGGTAGCAGCAGCAGCAGTGGCATCAGCAGCAGCAGCAAGCAGGCAGAGGAGAGCACGACTGGAGTGGAGGGACAGCGCAGAGAGAAGCCGAACCAACTCAAGCAGAAAAGCTGAATCTGAAAAAACTCAAACGACATCGAGCAGCAAAAACTCCGTAGAATGACTGTTAAGGTAGGGGGACCAAGAAGGAGAAGCAGAATTCCAAGAAACGGGTGACAGCAGGTAGCTGAGTCTTGCGTGAGTCATGCAGACGAAAGGGACGAGGACTGCACCTTTGATGTAGTTGGAGTTCGCTAGAATGCTCTCTGAGATGACCACTCCACTGCCAGCAGGAGCAAAGAAAGGTACGGGGCATGTGGGGGCATGAGCCACATTCAACTTATGTCGGCCACCTGAGGTGACTGCGAATATGAGGTGACGGGGGATATGAGGTGACGGGGGATATGAGGTGACGGGGGATATGAGGTGACGACAACAGCCACCTGAAGCCAAATGGCTGAACCTGATGCCACCTGAATGAACCTGACGCCACCTGAATGAACCACTGGATCACCTGAGCACGAATATGAGCGTGTTGGCGATGTACGAAACCATCTCCCTGCACGCAAGAAAGCAGAGAACAAGTTGAGTCGTGATTATGCTCTAATGTCAACGAAGGTGAGAGAGGAAACCCAGCTGCACAGCGTGAGTACCAAATGAACACCCTTCCATCACCACTTCTCGTCCCTTCTGAGTCAGCTCAGTACGCGCATAAAGAAACTCTCTTACCCCCCTCCCCCTACCAGAAATGGTGCATGCCCTGCTCGCTCCCCCTACCAGACGTGGTGCATGCCCTGCTCGCTCCTGCTACCAGACGTGGTGCATGCCCTGCTCGCTCCCCTACCAGACGTGGTGCATGCCCTGCTCGCTCCCCCTACCAGACGTGGTGCATGCCCTGCTCGCTCCCCCTACCAGACGTGGTGCATGCCCTGCTCGCTCCCCCTACCAGACGTGGTGCATGCCCTGCTCGCTCCCCCTACCAGACGTGGTGCATGCCCTGCTCGCTCCCCCTACCAGACGTGGTGCATGCCCTGCTCGCTCCCCCTACCAGACGTGGTGCATGCCCTGCTCGCTCCCCCTACCAGACGTGGTGCATGCCCTGCTCGCTCCCCCTACCAGACGTGGTGCATGCCCTGCTCGCTCCCCCTACCAGACGTGGTGCATGCCCTGCTCGCTCCCCCTACCAGAAGTGGTGCATGCTCTGCTCGCTTTCCCCTGTGAAGGCAGTCTTGGCGAAGATGGCAAACATGCTGCCAGGGGGGAAAGGAGAGGGGAGAAGGGGAAGATGGCGAAGTGAGGGGGGGAGAGACTTGCATGAGGTGAAAAAAAGTCCCCAGGACAGGCTCGACTTAGAGAAATCAAATGGGTTACAAGCTCACATAACGCTTAACCTTCACACATATACGACCTATGAGCTTGGATTGACCCTGGTTTAACCGCCAGAGTGAATTGCAACAGCCATGTGTGGATTCCGCAGAAACTTATGGAGTCCGTACTGTACGTTTGAAGAGCACGCACAGATGAAGGGCGACTCACATGCCGAGCGTCATGTCTGAGAGAACTCCTGATGTCTGGGCGACGTCATTGGCCTGCATGGGGACAAGGGAAACGAAAACGTTAGAGATCCAATGCACGGAAGAATTGCTCGAGGCATAGAGATGCAGGGGTGCACTCACGCACTTGTGCATGCACAGAATGCGCTCAGAGCATCATGCACGGAATGCGCTGCGCTGGATGGATGTGCTGGACCCCAAGTGGTGCGCTGCACTGACCCCAAGTGGTGCGCTGCACTCACCACAAAGAATGCCATGTAGGAGGCGGTGAGGCTGATGGTGATCTCGATGACGTGGTCGCTGAAGATGGTGCGCAGCCACAGCAGACTCACAACGCCGAACGCCATACCCAGCCCCACCCTGCGCACGTGGCAATGCGCGCATGGCAGCCCAGCAGCACCACACAAAGACGAAAGAAACAGGTGGAAGGGGAGAGGAGGCGGTGAAAGGCGAGATTAATTGGTGGAAGGGGAGAGGAGGCGGTGAAAGACGAGATTAATTGGTGGAAGGGGAGAGGACGAAATGAAAGGCGAGAGAAGCTGGAGGAAGGGGAGAGGAGGCGGTGGAAGGCGGTCAAATTGAGTCCTTGCATCGGGCTCTTGCATTGGGCCCTTGCATCAGGATCTTGCATCGGTCCCTTGCATCGATCCCTTGCATCGGTCCCTTGCATCGGTCGAATGGAGTAGCGGCTGCAGGGAAACCAGTCGAATGGAGTCACGACTGCAAGGTGAGAGGTGGCAGGTAGGGCCGTTTTCTGCGGAAGTTGGGTCATTCACTCTGAAGGTAGGGCGATTCCTGAAGAGGATAGGGCTCCTTTGAGGCTGGACCATTGCTTTCTAGTCAGTGCATGCATGCAGCACCCAAAGGCGGCACGCGCACGTGGCACTCACCCTCCGAGCGTGACCTTGAAGAGGAAGCCGATGACATCCCCGATGCCGTAGCTGTACCCCAGCGTCAGGCGCAGGAACAGCTGGAACACCACTATGGCCGTGCTGAAGAGGGGGGGTGATGGAGGGTTGGCGGGAGGGGGGGAGGGGGGGGAGGAGGTGGGGAGAAGAAGTGAGAGAAAGCACAGGATAGGTGCAGGAGACGGGATACGATGCGGGCGACATTGGGCGTGCAGATCATCTGAGGGCACGCCAAGAGCGAGTGCAGCCATGTTCATCCGTGAACTCATCCATCGCGCACCCACCTCTCATGCCACCATCAGCCACACCTCACCCCTCGGTCCACCATTCACCCACACGCCTCGTCCACCATTCACCCTCACCCGCCCTTCATGCTCCCCTCACCCGTCGTTCATCCGCCCACCCCTCACCCGTCGTTCATCCGCCCACCCCTCACCCGTCGTTCATGAGCGCCTCGCCGTCAATGATGGTGCTGAGCTTCTTGGACGCGCCCAGGTCGCGCAGCAGCGCCACCACGGCCACGGGGTCCGTGGCGCTGAGCAGCCCGCCCAGCAGCATGGCAGTGCTCCAATTCCACCCGTACGGCAGCACGTACTGGCGCACAGGGGGCGGGAACGCACGGGAGCAGGTGGACAATGGGAAGGAGGAGAACCACTTGGGAATGGCAAAAGGGTTGCACTTATCAGCAGCCCGCCCAGCAGCATGGCTGGGCTCCAGTTCCACCCGTAGGGCAGCACGTACTGCCAGGCAACAAGTGGAGGGTAACAGGGTAAGGGGGAGGATGAACGAAAGCCCTCAACTCGGCCTTACAGTGACTGGGAACCTGAGGAGAAAAGACTCCAATTCCTCGCCCCTTCTCTCAACTCTACTTCCTCGTTGCACTTACTCGGCTGATGAGTCCGAGGAAGCCAGTGGAGATGGCGACGCCAGGCACTGCCAGCAGAAACATCTGCACCAGGCAGCGCTGCTCATGAGGGAAGGGGGAGAGGGGAAGGCGGGGTTGTAGAGGAAGATGAGAGAGGGGACGATGTATTTTGAGTCGACTCAAAATACACCTGAAGATGAGAGAGGGGCCGATGACTGAGGGAAGGCAGGAAGGACAGGCGCCTCTACAGGAACGACATTGCGAGGCAGCAGAATTGGGCGTCAGAGTTGCCTCAGGTGACTCAGCTGACTTACCTTGACCTGGTGGAACTCGAAGGAGAAGGCGCTCTCGAACAGGAGCGCCGGCAGAAAGACGTAGAGCACCAGCTCCGGGTCAATGTTGGCCCCTGCACTCACTCATGCCCATGCGCACGCATGCGGATTTGCAGGATGCGCACAGAGATGCCTTATGAACGACGAATTTCAAGAAATCTGTGTCGTAAATGGTCGGGGGATCTTGCGACACAAACGTGTCAAATGTGAGGTGAAGAGCCATGCGGGATGCCTGGTGCGGGTTGGAGAAGCTTACACATGCGAATGCTTTCTCCCAGCAGGCCGAGGTTGACATAGAACTCTGCACACCCACAATCACGAACACCACGTCAGCCAACGTCAGCCAGCGATCACAGAGATGACTACACTCATCGACGGTCTATGGGCGATGCGAAAACGGTGAAACTCTCCGGGGAACTATGTCCCGCAGTTAAAGCCTCCACTGGTGAATACGCTGTCCAACGAAATGCCGCGGTCACACAGAATGACGTGTAAATTACGGCCATCACAAGTTTGAACCTACCGCGATCACCAGGAGTGACGTCTGAACCTACCGCGATCACCAAAAATGGCGTCTTAAGCTACCGCAACCATCAAATATGGCTGATTCGACTTCATAGGAACGACTCCGCCTGCGACCTAAAGCGCCGCGAACCGCGTCCACACCCACCCATAGCGCCGAGGCCGACTCCGACGAGCAGCAGCGCGACGGTGTAGGGGATGCGCGTGTTGCTCAGCACCTGGCGGCACAGCGCGCCGAGCGCCAGCGACACGCCGATGAACACGAGCGCTACCTCGGGACCCGAGGAATGCGCCGGCTCCTGCTGCGCCGTGTCGGTGGTGTTCGTCATGTCCAGGCGCTAACGGCGCGCTTCACAGCAAGGAGGTGCTATCGCTGGAGTTAAGAGTCAATCGCTTGGGAATAACGTCGTTGCGTAGGACTGAAGGGTCAGCAAAACTTGGCGTATGCTGATTCTATCAACCTAACTCCAATGTCGCTTCTGCTCCTGTTCCGTCACCGGTCGAGGGGAATAAGCACGCTGATTCAGTCCACACACGTACGACGCCAATTCGTACCGACACTTAACTAAACACGACCTCTACCTCCAGTCCCTAGTGGTGCTGCTCAATATTGCCACTGATCGTCATGTTCAAGCACTCGCGATTGACAAGGATCTTGCGTCATCTGATCACGAGCTTCGCAACCTTCCAAGCGTCACATGTTAAACTCCAACTCAGCTCCTGAGGTAAGCAGACCGCGGCAAGCTATATATGCTTATTACACACGGCCAAACTTAGCAGCGAAACGATGACTTTACAAACAAATCCGTCGAAACTATGGCTATCCGTTGAAAGATCAGCTACTCTCAGCCTCCAAACGTTCCTCGGCTTCAAAGTCTGCTGGTTGATTCGCCTTATGCTCGGAACTGCTCGAAAGTGCTAAAAGAGCACGCGGGAATGGAACACGGAACACGGATGCCTAGTACGGCGAGTGGATAGCGTGCACTTGACGGCAACAAATATCGAGAATGCTACGGCCGACCTTCGACGGAGTGGAGCTGGAGAGACGAGAACGGCTGCGAGCCTAAGAAGCAAGCGCCGGGATGTCCGCGCGCGCATACGAACGGAGCTCTTGAGGTGGTGGATGTACGCAATGCGGTCTGTGTGACGCTGGTTTTACATGAGGGTGAGATGAGAATGAAGGCAGTAGCCAGGTGCCTGTGCCAGGTATTGCCTGCCTCGTCTTAGGGAATCTCTAGGCTTTACTTGCATTGCAGTAATTCCCCAGCCGCGTAGCATGAAAGATGCTTTCACCCGCTGATCATGAATCTGCAACATGACAACTAGCATAACACTTCACCAACACTACACGCTCGCACCATTGGTCTTATGAAATCAATACCATACGCTACAAATCCGTTGCATTGAATTTGTCAACAAAGCATAACCAGTGCTATTGGCCATAAATCTAACATTATTGTTCAACTATTTAAATATTTTAAATGTTTTTCCACAATCCTTTCACCACCCATCCTTGGGCTGGTCTTATTTCAACCATGGACCTCCATCCATCCATGTCCACCATCATCCACCCGAACCCCACGTTCCACCAAGGCTCGGCCTCAACGCCAACCATGCCCACCAGGCACGGATTGGTATCAGTGGCAGAATGCCAACAATGCCCACCAGGCATGGAGTGGTATCAGAGGCAGAATGCCAACAATGCCCACCAGGCATGGACTGGCATCAGTGGCAGAATGCCAACAATGCCCACCCAGCATGGACTGGCATCAGTGGCAGAACGCCATCCATGCCCACCCAGCATGGACTGGCATCAGTGGCAGAATGCCATCCATGCCCACCCAGCATGGACTGGCATTGAAACCACACAGGCAGAGGCAAGATTCAAGCATCAGCATTGCTAGTCCCAAGGCGTGCGGGTGCCCTTCGCAGGACTGATTCTGCCTCCCCCCCCCCTCGCCAGGTGACAGAGCTGCTGCAGCCAGCTCTGCACTGACAGAATCAGTCCGGTCCGGCCCGGAGTCAAGTTCTTAGCCAATGCTGGCGCTTGCACCCCACACTCGTGCACTGGCCACCTCACATGCCACATGCCACCCTTCCACTTGCCACTGCCACAGTACCCACTGCCTTCCACTTGCCACAACCACACTCTTCCCACTGCCATGTTGCCCACTCCACAGCGAGGCACGTGTTGGGGGAGGAAGGCAAGATAGAGAGATGTTAGTGCAGGCCCTTGGAAGGAAGCACGGAAGGAAGGAAGCAAGGAAGCAGCAACTGTCAAAAAGTGAACGAAAGCAGCAGGTGCAGCAGCAAGGTGGGAGGCATGGAGGTGAGACTTACTGGTGGTGGAGGGAGAAGACGCCCCTGCCAGTGCTGCCGGCAGGCACATTCACGCCGCCAGCCCGTTGCTGGTGCTCCTTGCACCCCGCCAGCAAGAACACAGCAACCGTTCACCCCACAGCACCAAGGGTGCTGTAAGGCCTTGGTGCTCCTTGAGACTTGGGCGTGCAGGAGTGTGAGAAGAGACACCTGCCAGCCAAGGGGGACAGCAGGGTAAAACGAGAGTTAGTACAAGGGACCAACGGAAGAGGAGTTGGTGATGATGGGAAATGGTGGTGTGAGGATGAGATGGGGCATGGTGCAGCGCCAACCGTGGCCTCCACTTGAGCCGAGTACCATTCTAAACCTCAACCTCAACACTTACCCCAACCTCTACCTGTACCAGGGGGGAAGGCTCTTGTGGAGGGTGGCTGGCATGCTACCAAGGGCGGGGTTGAGATGACAAGTGCATGGAGCATGATGCTCTGCTGAAAGAACTCTGATGCTAAGCAAAAACTGAATGGGAGAAAGCGAGGGCTGAGGGTGCGACTTATCTGGCAAAGCAGGAGGGCGGAAGCGCGCTGCACACTTGAGCATGTGGAAGGCTGCTGCAGATCTGAGCGCGGAAAGGCGTTGCAGACTTGAGCATGGAAGCAACCCCAGCAGAGAACCTGCCAGTCAATGAGGGGCGGGGAGGAGGAGGGAGTTAGTGTGAAGCAATGATGGTATTGAAGAGGCGATGATAAAATGATGGTGATGGTGATGGTGATGGTGTGAGGTTGACAGGGGGGAAGGCGCACTGCCTAGGCACACCCTCCACTTGAGCCAAGTACCAATCTATACCTTTACCTCAACGTCTACCTCTACCTGTACCAGGGGGAAAGGCTCTTGTGGAGGGTGGCTGGCACGCTACCACGGGCGGGGAGTGAGATGATAGTGCATGGAGCATGTGCTGTGCAGTAAAATTTTAGAAGCTGCAACGGCGAAAGCGAGGGCTGAGGGTGCGAACTTATCTGGAAAAGCTGGAGGTGGAAGCACGCTGCAGACTTAGAGCGTGTGGAAGGCGGCTGCAGAGCTGAGCACGGAAAGGCGTTGCAGACTTGAGCACGGAAGCGCCCCAGCAGGGAACCTGCCAGTCAAGGAGGGGCGGATGGGGGGGGGGCGGGGGGGCGGAGGAAGAAGAGGAGGGAGGGGGGGGGGGGGTTGTGTTAGTGTGACGCGATGATGATATTGAAGAGGCGATGGTGATGGTGATGGTGTGAGGATGACAGGGGGGAAGGCGCACCACCTAAACACACCCTCCACTTGAGCCAAGTACCAATCTATACCTTTACCTCAACCTCTATCTCTACCAGGGGGAAGGCTCTTGTAGAGGGTGGTTGGCATGCTACCAAGGGCGGGATGAGATGATAGTGCATGGAGCATGATGCTGTGGAGTAAAAAACGGATACTGAACGAAAGAAATCAAGGGCTGATGATGCGAACTTATCTGGTAAAGCTGGAGTGTGGAAGTGCGCTGCAGACTTGAGCGTGTGGACGTCTGCTGCAGAGCTGAGCGCGGAAAGGCATTGCAGACTTGAGCACGGAAGCGCCTCAGAAGAGAACCTGCCAGACAAGGAGAAGAGAAGGGGGGGGGGGAGGAGAGTTAGTAAGAAGTGATGATGATTTTCATCATACTGAACAGGCTATGTTGGTGATGGTGTGGGGATGAGATGGGGCATGGTGCAGCGGCAACCACAGCCTCCACTTGAGCCGAGTACCATTCTATACCTCAACCTCAGCACTTACCTCAACCTCTACATGTACCAGGGAGGAAGGCTGTTGTGGAGGGTGGCTGGCATGCTACCAAGGGCGGGGATGAGATGATAAGTGCATGGAGCATGATGCTGTGCTGAAAGAACTCAAGAAAGCGAGGGCTAAGGGTGCGAACTTATCTGGCAAAGCTGGAGCGTGGATGGCACGCTGCAGGCGTGTGGAAGGGCGTTGCAGAGTTGAGAACAGAGGCGCCTCGAACCTGCCAATCAAAGAGCGTGGGGGGGGGAGGGGGGGGGGGAAGGAGTAAGTGTAATGGTGCTCTTCATACTGAGAGGTGATGATGATGGTGATAGTGATGGATGGTCATGGTGTGAAGTGCTGATGTGAGGATGAGATAGGGCATGGCGCACTGCCTACCAACCTTACCTGAAACTTACCCTTAACCTCATACGTACCAACCTGAACCTCTACCAAGGGGAATGGCTTGTGGAGGGCGGCTGGCATGCAACCAAGGGCGGGGATGAGATGACCGTGCATGGAGCATGAGATGGTTGTGGAGTGAAATTTCAGTTGCTGAGAGGCATGCTGGATCGAAAACGAGGGGGCGAAGGCACGGGCTGAGGGTGGAACTTATCTGGCAATGCTGGAGTGCGGAGGGTGCTGCAGACCTCAGCGTGGCAGGGCGCTGAAGACTTGAGCGCGGCAGGGGTTAGGGCCTCGGTGCTCCTTGGTGTCTTGGGCGTGCAGAAGCGAACCTGTCAGGAGGAAACGAAGCTAAGTCAGTAACAGGCGGTGAATCACACTTGCAAAGAAAACTTGACGTTGCAAAGGCAAGAAATGGAATGGATGACCTTTCGCAGCACCACAGGAGCCATGTACCATACCTAAGTACCTCGGGGAGACCTGTACCAAACCTGAACCTGTACCGAACCTGAACCAGGGTGGGGGAGGCTCTCTGTGGAGTGTGAAGGCTGAGCGATACTTCAACCTTCGTCAGCCGTAGGTGGTCGCGTTGCTCCTCTGCTCCCAGCCCGCTAGCTGCGCGTCCGCTTGGCACAAGGCGGCCTGGGTTGGGAGGGACGGGTGGGGCGGGGGAAATGAGTTAAAAGCTAGCAGAGCGTAGGTGGTCCAAGCAAGCAAGCATGAAAACAAAAATTCAAATGATGAGCGGATGATATTATGCGCATGAATGAAACCAGCCAAAGGCGATCACACAACGGATCTCAGACACTGGCAGACACGTACGCTGACACTGGACGCATAGCAACGGCGCGACAATCTAGAAGACGCTAACCCGGACTTAAGGAAGAGAGACAAGGGAGATCCGCAGGTGAGCCTTCTGCTGGAATCAAGCATGGATGTGATGCATGGTGAAAGACGCCAAGTCGGACAGGCAAGGGTGCGGTTACGTATCTGTACGCATGTGCAGAACGCGAAGTAGTGGACTCGCAGACAGCGGAATCGTAGAAGTCGCAGCCAGCGAAGTCGTCGAAGTCGCAAGGGAGATTGTCGAAGTCGCAACCAGCAAAATCGTTTTAGTCGCAGCCATTGAAATCGTCGACGTTGAACTGTGAAGGCTCGACCAGCCGCAGGCGTAGTAGTGTTGTCGCCTTCCGCGACTTCCTGGAGCATTTCGTGCCTGCAAACACAAAAGCAACGCGAAAATTAGAAAATGGTATGGCTTGGAATGAAAAAGTTTCGCTGCATAAATAGAGTTGAAAGCTTACTTCGGAATGGTAATCGCGATATCGTCGAAGACGTCATGAGCGAAATGGTTGAACTTGCATCCGTAGACGAGCTGCAGCCACGTGGTGTTGGTGCAGCCTTTCTTGCAACAAGAAGAGTATCGTTTCTGCAAGTTAACAGAGCACAGGAAGAATCAGCAGCTGGTCATATTGTACGCGTTAAAAAAAGGTTCACGGCTAAAAAAGATATGTACGCGTACCTTTTAAAATATAAGAAGATGCAGCGATAAACCGTCGAAACAACTGGAAAAGCAGTTGCCGATGGCTGAAGTCGTTGTCAGCGAACAGCTGAAACTGCAGCGAGCGAAATCGTCGAAGCTCTCAAGCAAGTGAAAGATTGGAGTTGCAGCAGACGTAGCAATGTCGTTGCAGCCTACTCGACTTGTATGCACGCGGACGAAGCTGACTCGCGACGAGGTGAGAAATCGGTGGATGGCTAGAAACTGGTCGAGTCAACCAATCTAAATCAGTTTGGCAAAAATGCCGAGGAGGCTGGACAACACGGTAAAGTATGCGTCGAGCGGACGGGCCTGGTCTAAATCTGAAGAGACACTGGGCAGCGTGTTTGCACATTCGCGGGCTTCCAACGGTAACGACGACTTGGACGGGAACAAAATTCTACGGTCGAATTTCGGCCTCGTTGGATTCAATGGTGGTCCCCAACATGCCAGCATGGAACATGGTGGATCGACGGAACTGGTGGCTAAACGAAAACCCGCTTTCTGATTGGACAGCTTTGAAACAAAAATCACATCCGCAATCAAAAGTATCCTCCTGCTACCTATATCCTGGTCCACGTAGGCTGATTGAATGGCCAGAAAACATCCGGGGGGACTAAAATAACTCGGATCCACTCAAAACCTAGTGACGTGTACATGAGGACACACGATTTGAATAAGGACCGGAAAACCAATCGGTGAGGCTCGGTTCCCGAAGCGTGCTGCTGAGCGGCTCTTTAGTTAGAGCGGCAGAAGGGGGGGTTGGAGGGAACTCGAACAGATATATTATCAGCTGCTGTCACAAACGCTGGCACAGGGAGGCAGGCAGAGGGGGAAGAAAATGGTCGCCGAGGCATGAGGGGCTCGAAGGAGAACCCCAACCTGTGCGACATCAGTTACAGCCTGGCGATAACAAAATTGAGTTCGCAATCGTTACAGCCGTCGCAATAGCCTCAAGCGAACTACACTTCACAGCCCATTGCAATGGAATATGTAAAGCGAGTATTACACAAATCTTGATATTCCGAAACCATGAGGCGGATTCCCCTGGAATAGATCAGGTAGATCATTGTACGCTACGTGCGGTCAATGGATCAAGGTTGTGAATTCAATTTGTACGTGATACACCCAACCAAGTCTATTCCCAACCATAATGACAAGGGTACACTGAAAGAGCGCTATTCAGCCCTGTATGTTTGAACTTGCACCCTTGGCTTCCCTCTTCCCCTCCTCCTCCTCCCCTGAGCTGGGCCACAGATCTCCCCACTTCACCTTCCTCGCAAACCGGTACTCCACGCGCCCAGCAGCCTTGGAGAAGAGCAGCCGCTGCAGCTCGCCCCTGCGCCCCCTGCCGTCCACGGCTGCGCAAACGTCCACTATCACATGCTGCCCCCGCCGCCTCGGCTCACGGATCACTCTGCTCCACTCGGGGCTCAGGTTGGCAAACCGATCGCCACGTGGCGGGTTGTCAGTGGCTAGTGAGGGGTCCACGGAATCGTCTTCCAGGTCATCAATGCTGCTGTCACCGGCGGTTTCATCACCTGTACTGCCCTCCACCCACCTACCCCCATCGCTAGCAGAGGCGACAGGAGTGTGCTTTGGTCGAACGTCATCCTCTTCTTCCTCATCCTCATCTCCCCACTCCTCTTCCTCCTCCTCCTCCTCCTCCTCCTCCTCCTCCTCCTCCTCCTCCTCCTCCTCCTCCTCCTCCTCCTCCTCCTCCTCCTCCTCCGCCGCCGTCCCCTCCTCTCCCTCAGCTGCCTCCTCTCCATCTTGGTGCCCCCCTCGCTGCTGTCCTCCTGCCTCTGCGCTCACCGGCTCCTCCTCCAGGGGTATCAGGCGCACCGTCGGCCCCCACTTGGCTGTTGCGGGGACACGCGGGTGGTCGGGGCAGGGGGAGGAGATGAGTGGATGGGGGGTGGGCAGCTCCTTAGACATCTTCCAGTGAGCGCGGCGTCAGTAGACAGGTTAGCAAGTCGGAAAAAAACAGTAAACTAAGAAGTGCTTATGTAAACGTGAGAGACATGATGGGGCTGTAGGTGGATGGGCATGATGGGGCTGTAGGTGAATGGGCATGATGGGGCTGTAGGTGAATGGGCATGATGGGGCTGTAGGTGAATGGGCATGATGGGGCTGTAGGTGAATGGGCATGATGGGGCTGTACTGTGCATGTGCCTGATAAGTTCCATCATCTCATGCTGCTCAACCACAGCCCCATCACCGTTCTGAACCTCTTCTCACCTTGCTTCTTTGCCAGCCGCTTGGCCTCCTTCTCAGCCTCCTCCCTCTCCTCCCTGTCCTTCTCCTCGCGCCGGAAGTGCGCTATCTGCTGCAGCGGCGCCACCACCCTGCCACCCACAACAATGTGATTGGCGGGGTAGAAAAATAAAGAAGTAGTTGCTGGCCAGTCAACAATATGAAACCGATGCAGGCAGGCAGCATACCATATGTGCACCACCTAAACCCCGGGTGTCAGCTCATGTGCCCTGCGAAAGCTTTTCACGCACAAACCGTGCACACACCACCCCTGACTCACTCGGGCCTCACGCCTCGCCTGAGCACCACGTATGAGAACTTCTCCTCCTCCGTGCTGCCCGTTATCGGCTGCCCTGCCGCCCGCTGTGCGAATGGGTGAGAGAGAAAGAGGGGTAGGAGACAAAGGAGAAGGTGAGGGGATATGGTGTAGGGGGAAAGAAACAGGAGATGAGGAGGCTGAGCGAGAGAAGAAAGCCCATAGGCACTGCCATACAGCATCGCCTATTTAGGGTTTAGGGACGGTGGACCGTCCACCGTCCACCGTCTGCTGCTTCCTCTGCTAAAGTTTCAGCTGCTATTGTCAGCGATAACTTATTTGTTTTCTTTGTTAATTCTGATAATCTTTCTAAAGCTTTCTTTTCGGCTAAATTCTCCACTTCTGCTATTTTTTTGGCTAATGTTCATGCAATTATTATGAAAAGAAAAATACTGGATTTAAAGCGAGAGGTTATAATAGTGACCCATCTTTCTAGTTGGGCCCAACTTGATTGGGACCCTCGAACAGATATAGGGGGGACAAGAGAGCGGGCAGAAGAAAATGTCGTTTCGGGGCGGGCGGTCACTCAGCAGCAAAAGCACCTGCCCGCGCGACAAATTCGGATATGTGGACAGGGTTCTGTTTATACCCATAATACTAGCTTGCACGCCTCGTTGGGGCTCGTTTGTTACCGTATTTTGTCGACCTCGATTGGTTGTGGTTCAGTCAAACTCAAAAGGGTGGACACGCAATGGGAAAAGTGTGGTTGGCGGGTGGTCGAAGTAAACACGCCTTGATTTGGTAGCTCTAGGTGGGGAGAAATTTCGACCAATCAGAAAACCAGTTGTGTTCTTACATGAGTAGTGAACCCGGGTCCAACTTGAAAATCAAGTTGGGCCCACTTGGAGAATGACGAGGCAATGGGGTCGCACAAGTACCTGCGACCTGTGACAGCTCGCAAACCCTGTCCTACAAATTTCCCAGCCAATCGTGTGCTTGCGCTTGTTCGCTCTGAACAGCGCGTCTGCGTTATGGAACTGCCCTGGTTCTGCCGAGTAAGGCTAACAATCCCTTAGAAAAAATCGAGGGTCCCTTGATTTCAAGTTGGACCCGCCTTCACTATTTTAGCCCCTCGCTTTAAAAAGAGAAGCATTTTGGCAGATTTATTTGAATCATTTATTGCTGCTTTGTATTTGGAAAAAAAAGAGTTGTTTATTATTTTCCAAATATTACTTTGTTTACTTGAGTCAAAGGTAAGGAAAAGACTGTTTGTAAAACACAACTACAAGATTTTTGCCAAGCTTCTCAGAACACCGTCCACCGGTGGACGGCGTCCACCGTCCACCGTCCATCGGTGGACGGCGTCCACCGTACACCGTCCACCGTCCACCGTACACCGTCCACTGTACACCGATGGACGGCGTCCACCGTCTGTCCACCGCCCACCGTCCACCATCCACTGGTGGACGGTGTCAACCATCCACCGTACACCGTCCTCACCATCCACCGGTGGACGGCGTCCAACGTCCACCGTCCACCGTCCACCGTCCACCGTACACCGTCAACCGGAGTCCACGGTCCATAGTCCACCGTCCACTATCCACCGTACACCGTCCCCACCATCCACCTGTGGACGGCGTCCACCCTCCACCGTCCAGCGTCCAACGTCCACCGGTGGACGGCGTCCACCGTCCACCATACACCATCCACCGGTAGACAGCGTCCACCGTCCACCGTCCACCGGCCACCGTCCACAGTCTACTGTCTACTGTCCACCAGTGGACGGCGTCCACCGTCCCGTCCACCGGAGGACGGCGTCCACCGTCCACCGTACACCGTCCACCGTACACCGGTGCACGGCGTCCACCGTCCGTCCACCGTCCACCGTCCACTGGTGGACGGCATCAACCATCCACCGGTGGACAGCGTCCACCATCCACCGCCCACCATACACCGTCCACCGTCCCGTCCACCGGAGGACGGCGTCCACCGTTCACCAGTGGATGGTGGACGGCGTCCACCGTCCACCGTACACCGTCCACCGTACACCGGTGCACGGCGTCCACCGTCCGTCCACCGTCCACTGGTGGACGGCATCAACCATCCACCGGTGGACGGCGTCCACCGTCCACCGTCCACCGGTGGACGGCGTCCACCGTCCACCGTACACCGTACATCGTCCACCGTACTCCGTCCACCATCTACCGTACACTGTCCACCGGTGGACGGCGTCCACCATCCACCGTCCACCGGTGGACGGCGTCCACAGTACACCGTCCACCGTCCACCGTCCACCGTCCACCCGTAGACGGCGTCTACCGTCCACTGGCCACCATTCACTGTCTACAGTCTACCGTCCACTGGTGGATGGCGTCAACCGTCCCGTCCACCGGTGGACGGCGTCCACTGTCCACCGTCAGCCGTACACCGGTGGACAGCGTCCGCCGTCCACCGTCCACTGTCCACCATACACCATCCACCGTACACCGTCCCCACCATCCACCGGTGGACGGCGTCCGCCATCCACCGTCCACCGTCCACCATACACGAGTGGACAGCATCCACCGTTCGTCCACCGTCCACCGTCCACTGGAGGACGGCGTCCACCGCCCAACGTCCACCGTACACCGTCCACCGTCAGCCGTACACCGGTGGGCGGCGTCCACCATCCGTCCACCGTCCACCGTCCACTGGTGGACGGCGTCCACCGTCCACCGTCCACTGTCCACCATGCACCGTCCACCGTCCACCGGTGGACGGCGTCCACCATACACCGTCCACCCTACACCGTCCACCGTACACCAGTGGACAGCGTCCACCGTCCGTCCACCGTCCACCGCCCACTGGAGGACGGTGTCCACCGTCCACCGTCCACCGGCAACGTCCCCCGGTGGACGGCGTCCACTGTCCACCGTCCACCGTCCACCGTACACCGTCCACCGTCCGCCGTCCACCGTCCACCGGTGGACGGCGTCCATCGTACACCATCCACCGTCCACCGTCCACCGTTTGCCGTCCACCGTTTACCGTCAACCGTCCACCGTCCATCGTCCACCGGTGGACGGCGTCCACCTTCCACCGTCCACCGCCCAGCGGCCACCGTCCACTGGTGGACGGCGTCCACCGTACCCCGTACACCGTCCACCATGCAACGTCCGACGTCGTCCACTGTCCACCGTCCACCGGCACACCGTTGTACTTTGCGCAGAGCGCTGCATACAAGGAAATGCGATGGCATCAGCAACAACAGCAGCGCACCTTGGCTATGCGCTGCACTGCAGAGCGCTGAAGAGTCTGAGAGAAGTGGCACCAGCTGACCGTGCCGTGCATGGGGCAGTGGCCGTCGTGGGGGCACTAGGAGGCGAGGGGGGGAGATTAAAAGAGTACAAGGAAGGAAATTGGGAGGTCAACTAGGGGTGCATGCACAGGATTGGGATGCAAGGAATGGGGAAGAAAGAGAGATGATGGGCGGGAAGAGGGGGACGAGCGAAAGGGAGGAAACGTCAGCAGAGGACGAAAGAGGTGGGGGAGACGAGACAAGATAGGAGAGAAATAGAGTCGTGGTACTGACAGGGGCGAGCACATGAGCGCCGGGGGGCAGCACGGGCTTGGAGGGGTGGGGGGCGTTCTTGCTGGGACCCCTGTCTGCCATGCGTGCTGCTCTCTGGCACGCAGGGTTGGGGAGGGGTGAGGGGGAATGGGGCGGGGGGAGTGGGGAGAGGGGGGTGAATGGATAGAGGAGAAGGAGCAGCAGTAAGCAAAAGAGAGGTGAGGATGAGGGAATGGATCAGCAGGGGTGTGCCCTCAACGCTCTCTCTGTGTGGGCTCACCTAGGGATGAGCAAAACCGGGTATTTACCCGACCCGACCCGGTTTTTCTATACCCGACTTCGGGTCGGGTACGGGTCGGGTAACATGCCCAGGACCAATACCGGGACCCGGGATTTGGGGGCGGGTAATTTAGTACCCGCCTGGCGGATCCGGGTATGCCCGACCCGGTTTCCTTGAAAAGCGGGTAGTATTACCCCTGAATACATCTGGATCTACGAAATCCAACCCCTGCCCCTCTACAATGCTCTACGTGACCTAGCACCTCACGTAACCCAAACCCGTGCTGAAATTTCTCTTCCAGCGCGACGTTGTAACGCGCTACCCGATTACCTGACAATGTCGGGTAACTTTTCAGGTAGCGGGTACTGAATACCCGCCCGGGTTACCCGGACCTGACCCGCTGGGTCATATTCGGGAATCTTGATACCCGAACCGCCCTAAAAGCGGATCCGGTTCCGGGTACCCGACCCGCGCGGGTATTTTGCTCAACCCTACGCTCACCGCTCTCTCTCTGTGCAGTATGTGTGCGTTCACTGCTCTCTCTGTGTGCAGTATGTGTGCGCTCACCACTCTCTCTGTGTACAGTATGTGTGCGCTCACCGCTCTCTCTGTGTGCAGTATGTGTGCGCGCGCCTTGACTATTGCTTCATAGCCACGCGGGTTGCCGGTCTCCACGAGCACCTGCCCACACAACCATGGCGGCACCGGAAGAAGTGGCGAGAACGGAACAAGGGAACATGCGCTGAGAGTGGGATGCAGGAAGATAAATCACATGCCACAGCATAATGCAGGCCATAACTCAAGTCACATGTGCTTGAACATAAAACACCATGCGACGACATGCCAGACCAGCACATGCCATACCAGCACATGCCATACCAGCGCATGCCATACCAGCACATGCCATACCAGCACATGCCATACCAGCACAAGCCATACCAGCACATGCCATTCCAGCCCATGCCATACCAGCGCATGCCATACCAGCGCATGCCATACCAGCACATGCCATACCAGCGCATGTCTCGCATGGCTCCACAGGCGGTCCACTATCCCCCGCCGCACATCCACTGACTCCACCTCGCCCAGCGCATACGCCTGGGGGGGGAGAAAATGGGGGGAAAGAAGGGGGAAGAATGGGCAGAGAGAGAGGGGAAGGGCGGAGAGAGAGGGGTGACCCATTAACCCACTGACCGATTCACCCACTGACCCATTCACCCACTCACCCATTCACTTACTGACACATTCACCCACTCACCCATTCACCCACACACCCATTTACCCAATCACCCATTCACCCGTTCACCCACTCACCCATTCACCCACTCAACCATTCACCCACTGACCCATTCACCTACTCACCCATTCACCCACTCACCCATTCACCCACTTACCCATCAACCCACTCACCCACTGAAAAGCCCCCATTCTGCCAGTCAGAGTCCGCCAGAGTCTTCATTCTGGCGGTCAGAATCCGACAGACTCCCATTCTGGCGGTCAGAATCCGTTAAAATCCCATTCTAGCGGTCAGAGTCCGTCAGAATCCCATTCTGGCGGTCAGAGTCCGTCAGAGCCCCCATTCTGGCATCAGAGTCCGTCACAGCTCCCATTCTGCTAGTCAGAGCCCGTCCGAACAACCATTCTGGCGGTCAGAGTCCGTCGGAGCCCCAATTCTGGCGGACAGAGTTTGTCCGAATCCCATTCTGGAGTTTAGAGTACGTCAGAGGCCCCATTCTGGCGGCCAGAGTCCGTCAGCGTCCCCATTCTAGCGGGCAGTGCCCATCAGAAGCCCATTCTGGCGGTCAGAGTCCATCAGAATCCATTCTGGCGGTCAGAGTCCGTCGGAATCCCATTCTGGCGATCAGATTCTGTCAGAATCCCATTCTGGCGGGCAAAGTCTGTCAGAATCCCTTTCTGCCGGTCAGAGTCCCATTCTGGTGGTCAGAATCGGTCAGAATCCCACTCTGGCGGTAAGAGTCTGTCAGAAACAAATTCTGGCGGTCAGAGTCCGTCAGAATCCCATTCTGCCGATCAGAGCCCCATTCTAGCGGTCAGAGTCCCTCAGAATTCCATTCTTCTGGTCAGAGTCTCATTCTGGCGATCAGAATCTGTCAGAATCCCATTCTGGCGGTCAAAATTCGCCAGAATCCCATTCTGGCGGCCAGAGTCTGTCAGAATCCCATTCTGGAGGTCAGAGTCCCATTCTGACGGTCAGAATCCGTCAGAAACCCATTCTGGCGGTCAGAGTACGTCAAAATTCCCTCCTGACGGTCAGAGTCCGTCAGAATCGCATTCTGATAGTCAGAGTCCCATTCTGGCGGTCAGAGCCGGTCAGAATCACATTCCGGCGGTCAGAGTCCGTCAGAATCGCATCTGGCGGTCAGAGTTTGTTGGAATCCCATTCTGGGGATTAGAGTCCGTTAGAGGCCCCATTCTGGTGGCCAGAATCCGTCAGAATCCCATTCTGGCGGTCAGAGTCTGTCAAAACCCCATTCTGGCGGTCAGACTCCGTCAGAATCCCATTCTGCCGATCAGAGCCCCATTCTGGCGGTCAGAGTCCCTCAGAATTCCATTCTTCTGGTCAGAGGCTCATTCTGGCGATCAGAATCCGTCAGAATCCCATTCTGGCGGTCAGCGTCCGTCAGAATCCCATTCTGGCGGCCAGAGTCTGTCAGAATCCCATTCTGGAGGTCAGAGTCCCATTCGGACGGTCAGAATCCGTCAGAAACCCATTCTGGCGGTCAGAGTCCGTCAGAATCCCCTCCTGACGGTCAGAGTCCGTCAAAATCGCATTCTGATAGTCCGAGTCCCATTCTGGCGGTCAGAGTCAGTCAGAATCCCATTCCGGCGGTCAGAGTCCGTCAGAATCCCATTCTGGCGGTCAGAGTCCGTCAGAATCCCATTCTGCCGGTCAGAGTCCATCAGAATCCCATTCTGCCGGTCAGAGTCCGACAGAATCCCATTCTGGCGGTCTGATTCCGTCAGAATCCCATTCTGGCAATCAGAGTCCGTCTGAATCCCATTCTGGCGGTCTGAGTCCGTTAGAATCTCATTCTCCCGGTCAGAGTCCCATTCTGGCGGTCAGAATCTGCCAGAATCCCATTCTGACGGTCAGAGTCCATCAGAATCCCATTCTGGCGGTCAGAGTCCCATTCTGGCGGGCAGAATCCGTCAGAATCCCATTCTGGCGGTCAGACTCCATCAGAATCCCAATCTGGCGGTCAGAGGCGGTGAGAATCCCATTCTGGCGGTCAGAGTCCCATTCTGGCGGTCATAATCCGTCTGAATCCCATTCTGGCGGTCAGAGTCCGGCAGAGTCGAATTCTGGCAGTCAGAGTCCCATTCTGGCAGTCAGAATCGGACAGAATTTTTTTCTGGTGGTCAGAGTCCCATTCTGGTGGTCTGAATCCCAATCTGGCAGTCAGAGTCCGTCAAAAAGACCCATTCTGGCAGTCAGAGTCCCATTCTGGTGGTCAGAATCCGTCAGAATCCCCTCGTGACAGTCAGAATCCGTCAGAATCCCATTCTGACAGCAGAGTCCGTCAGAGCCCCCATTCTGGCGGTCAGAGTCCATCAGAACCCCACTCTGGCGGTCAGGGTCCGTCAGAATCCCATTCTGCGGGAGAGAGTCCAACAGAATCCCATTCTGCCGGTTAGAATCCGTCAGAATCCCATTCTGACAGTCAGAGCTCGTCAGAATCCCATTCTGCCGATCAGAGTCCCATTCTGGCGGTCAGAATTAGCCAGAATGGGATTGTGGCGGATTCTGGCAGTGAGAGTCCGTCAGAATCCCATTTTGGCGGTCAGAATCCGTCAGAATCCCATTCTGGCGGTCAGAATCTGTCAGAATCCCACTCTGACGGTCCGAGTCCCATTCTGGCGGTCAGAGTCCGTCAGAACCCCATTCTGGTGGTCTGAGTCCCATTCTGGCGGTCAGAATTCGCCAGAATCCCATTCTGGCGAAGAGTGTCCGTCAGAATCCCATTCTGGCGTTCAGTCGGAATCCCACTCTGGCGGTTAGAATCCGTCAGAATCCCATTCTAGCGGTCAGAATCCGTCAAAGCCCCCATTCTGATGGTCAGAGTTCGTCACAATCCCATTCTGGCGGTCAGAATCCGTGAGAATCCCATTCTGGCGGTCAGAATTCGTCAGAATCCCATTCTGACGGTCAGAGCCCGTCAGAGCCCCCATTCTGCCGGTCAGAGTCCGTCAGAATCCCATTGAGGCGGTCAGAGTCCGTCAGAGCCCCCATTCTGGCGGTCAGAGTCTGTCAGAATCCCATTCTGGCGGTCAGAGTCCATCAGAATCCCATTCTGGCGGTCAGAGTTTGTCCGAATCCAATTCTGGAGATTAGAGTCCGTCAGAGGCCCCATTCTGGCGGCCAGAGTCCGCCAGAGCCCCCATTCTAGTGGTCAAAGTCCGTCAGAGCCCCCATTCTGGCGGTCAGAGTGCGTCGGAGAGTCATTCTGGCGGTCAGAATGCGTCAGAGCCCCCATTCTGACAGTTAGAGTGCGTCAGAGCCCCCATTCTGGCAGTCAGAGTCCATCACCGACTCACCCATTCACCCAGTCACCCATTCACCCACTGACCCATTCACCCTCTCACCCATTCACGCACTGGCGGCAGCCCTCAGTCACCCTCTCTCCCCCACAGCAACCACTACACTCTCCCCTCCTCCCTTCTCCTCCCCCCAACACTCACCGCCACCACCACATCGAAGACCCGGTCATCGCCCCGTGCTTTGCGCGACAGCTCCTGCAGGCTGGAGTAGCGCGCCACAGGCGGCAGGGCGCGGGGGGGCTTGGGGCCTAGCGCTGCTTCTGGCAGTGGGGGAAAGGGGCAGGGACGGAACGGGGGGTTGGTGGGGGAGAGGGGAGGGAGAAGAGGGCGCAGTGGGAAAGAAAGGAAGGAGGTGCATGAGGGCATGGGCTCAGAGCCACCGGGTGCAGGAAAGCCAGTCCTGTAGCTCTTGTGATTCCAAACGAGGCAAGTGCATGGAGGGTATAACAGGCTATGACACTCACGTCGTAAAACATGTTACTACAAAGTTCCTCAGTCCCCATCCAAAACCTCCTCCTTTCTCACCCTCTCCGCCCTCACCTGAGCGCACCCTCTCCCCCATGCCCTCACCTGCGCCCACCCTCTCCCCCATGCCCTCACCTGCGCGCACCCTCTCCCCCATGCCCTCACCTGCCCGCACCCTCTCCCCCATGCCCTCACCTGCGCCCACCCTCTCCCCCATGCCCTCACCTGCGCGCACCCTCTCCCCCATGCCCTCACCTGCCCGCACCCTCTCTCCCATGGCCCACATGGCGTCAGACGGCTCCACTGCTGCGGCGCGCTGCACCGTGCCGCCCCACACCTCGCTGGCTGCCCTGCTCGCAAGCGACCAACGGCAGAGCGCGTGGAATGAGTTGCGACAAGGAGAGGGAAAAACAAATAGTGCACTTGGTGCCCAGATAGACTGTTGGTGTGCCTCAACCCATCATGCTGCCCCCCATCTCACCACCCTACACCGCATCTCACCACAGCACGGTGCCGGGTCCGGATCCGAAGTCAAGCAGAGAGGCGGGCGTGAGGGAGGGCAGGCGCCGCTTCACCTGGTGGCAGGGGCAGGGGCAGGGGCAGGGGCAGGGGGGAAGAGATGGGAAGGTTGGTTTGAAGAGATGCAGCATGGTGGTGTGTGTGTGGTATGTATGCCACAGAGAAGCGAGACAGAATGCATGGTGCATGGCGGATGGGGCATGGTGCATGGCGGATGGGGCATGGTGCGTGGTGCATGGCATGATGGCACGTGGTTTCAAGTGCCCCATAAGCACACATCCCCCCTCATCCCCACCTCTCACATCTCTACCTCAGTGAGTGCGCGGAAGACGGCAGCATACGACGACGGCATCCTTGCCGCAATGTACGCCAGTGCCTCCGTCTCCCCATACTCTACCACGCCCCTCCCTCCCCCCATCCGCTCCCTCCCTCCCCCTTTCCCCCTCTCCGCTCCTTCCCCCGCCGTATCCCCAGCTCTCTCCCCCGCTCCCCCTTCCCCGCTCTCCTCCCCGCCCTTCCCCCACGAGTTCTTCTCCCATCCGCGCCACAGCCGCGCCATCCGCGCGTCCGGGATGCGCCCCACGTCCATCTCGCGCACCAGCGGAGGCTCCCGCGTGTCGTCCACCAGGCGCTCCGCGGACGGCTGCGGCCACCCGCGGAAGAACGCCTCGTAGGCGGACATCAGCCGGCGCACGCCGCGGTGCACATGCGCGGAACTGGTAGCGCCTGGGGGGACGCGGAAGCAGTGAGCGGAGTGGGAAACCTCGGGGGGCTGAGGCGGAATGGGGAGCGCGGAGGACCACAGGGGGAGAGGAGCGGGGTGGGATGGTGAGGGAGAGGAGAGACGATGCCTGCTGTGAAAAAGACGAGAGGGCGGAAGAGGCCGATCGCCCATGGGGACGACCACTGGGAGACGCCGCGTATGTGCGGTTGGGCGATCGACTACTAACTACCTTCCGAGACGATGGCTTTTATCGATTGCTGCAGCGCGTTCGGCAGGCACACCTGCCCGATCTCCACCAAGCCTCGGTTCCGAAGCACACGTTCGGGCTGCCGAGCCACGGCGAGCTGCTGCTCCTCCAGCAGCCCCGGCATCAGCATCGGCCCCTTCCGCTTCTTCCACGCCGCGCGCGTTGCGCGGAACGCGCCCCACCCAGCCATGCCGCGTCCCCCCGCCCGGGCCTTGGTCTGCGGTGCGGATCCTACAGTGTGTGCGTTGTGTGAAGGATCTTACTTTTTGCGCGCGTGCGGGTGTCTGCTGGATGCAAATCTCTATGGCGATACTTGTAGCCCCGTTATTGGTACAGTACTTCGCAAGATTCGTGGGGCAGTTCTTTACACGTCGCCATGTAAGGAAATTATCCCTTACAATATCAAACCTTTTCCCTTATGGTTGCAACCACTTACAAAAAAAAAACTAAACTGAAGGCCCCAGCAGACTACAGAAATATTCCAACTGACCAAAAGAACACATGGAAACAGCCGCCAATGCACTAACTCGGCTATATACAGAGGCAGGCAGACATCAAAGCAACAGCTACTGCCATCGAGGCTGCATTCAGAGCAGCGAGCAGAACGGTGAGACAGTTGTTGTAATAAACAAGTCAAGCTTTCTTCCCCTGGAGCAGCTTGTCGACGACGGAGCTCATCTTGTCCCACGCGATGGGCTTGCTGAGGAACCCATCCATGCCCGCCGCCTCTATCTCCGGCGCCAACACGTCCGCCGTCAGCGCGTACACCGGAATAGCAGCCTCCTTTCCTGGCAGCTTCCTGATGGCCCTGGTGGCAGTCAAGCCATCCTGCATGGTGGGGTTGGGATGGGCGGGAAGTGGGGGAGATGAATGAGTGAAGGGTTAACAGATGCATGTGCAACGTGCCTGCCACCATGGCACACACATGAGACATGTGGGGAATAGGGGGGGGAATGGGCTAAGCAGCTAAGCAGCACACACAAGGGAGGGGCACGAACTTGCCATGGCATCGTGCTGCTGACGCCAGCATCCACGGCTCACCATGATGGGCATCTGGATGTCCACGGCTCACCATGATGGGCATCTGGATGTCCACGGCTCACCATGATGGGCATCTGGATGTCCACGGCTCACCATGATGGGCATCTGGATGTCCACGGCTCACCATGATGGGCATCTGGATGTCCACGGCTCACCATGATGGGCATCTGGATGTCCACGGCTCACCATGATGGGCATCTGGATGTCCACGGCTCACCATGATGGGCATCTGGATGTCCACAGCTCACCATGATGGGCATCTGGATGTCCACGGCTCACCATGATGGGCATCTGGATGTCCACGGCTTACCATGATGGGCATCTGGATGTCCATGAGCACCAGGTCGAATGGCTTCTCCTGCACTGCCTCCACTGCCAGCCGCCCGTTGCCCACCAACGTCACCTGCCTCCCATGCCATGCCATGCCATGGAAGGGAGGAGAGCGGTGGGGTGAGGCGACACAAAAGAAGCAGCATATGAATGCGTTAATTTGGCCTTCAAGTGCTGTGTTCGCCGTGACTGCAGCAGCTGCCCTCCCCCATGGCAGTCTTCCAGCGTTGAATCCAGTGCCTCCAAGGTGCCTCCAAGGTGCCTCCAAGGTGCCTCCAAGGTGCCTCCAAGGTGCCTCCAAGGTGCCTCCAGCATCACGTGCCTCCAAAATGAAATGCTTCATGCTTTTGAGTCAGTGAGAATGACATCTGGGTACCAGAGCCCCAGGCAGAGGCTGCATTGCACACTAGCAGAAGAGGAGCACGCTCTAGGGAACACATGCAGTTCATCGAAACAACAACACAGAAGACTCACCTCGTGGCCATAGTGCTGCAGCATCTTCCTGATGAGCATCTGGTTCACTCTGTTGTCCTCCGCCACCAACACCCGCAACTTGCCCCCCCCTCCCCCTCCACCCGCACCATCTCCTCCGCTCTTTTCTGCCGTTGCACCTGCTGCTGCCCCTTGTGTCCTTTTCTCCGCTCCCAACTCCTTGCCCGCTGCTGCACCTCCCGCCTTCTCCCCCTTCCTGCCCTCTGCTTGTGCCCCTTTTTCCACACCCTTGGCCCCCAGACCAACCACACCACCACCCACATCGGCAGCAGCAGCAGCAGCAGCGGCAGCAGCCTGCTTCTGCTGTTTCTGCTTGGCCCTCTTGGTGTGCAGCAGGCGGTCGACCAGGGAGCTCATCTTGTCCCACGCGATGGGCTTGCTGAGGAACCCATCCATGCCCGCCGCCTCTATCTCCGGCGCCAACACGTCCGCCGTCAGCGCGTACACTGGGATGCGCGCCTCCTCTCCCGATAGCTTCCGGATCTCCCGTGTGGCACTCAGACCGTCCTGGGAAAGGCAGAGCGGTAGTGGGAAGGTGAAAAACAAAGGAGTGGAGGGAAAGGAGTGGGTTGAGGAGAGGAGGTAAGAAATCGAGAATGCGCCGATAGTGAGTGTGGGAGCACGGGCATCTGCAGATGCACGACTCGGGAGAAGAGAGAGGGAGCAAGGCACGCATGGGCACGGGCATCTGCAGGTGCATGACTCACCAGCACGGGCATCTGCAGGTGCATGACTCATGTGCATGTGGGAGAGGAGAGGGGAAGGGGAGAGCCCCAGGCACATACGAGCACGGGCATGTGCAGGTGCATGACTCATGTGCATGTGGGAGAGGAGAGGGGAAGGGGAGAGCCCCAGGCACGTACGAGCACCGGCATGTGCAGGTGCATGACTCACCAGCACGGGCATCTGCAGGTCCATGAGCACGAGGTCGTAGCAGTCCTTCTGCACCGCCTCCACCGCCAGGCGCCCGTTGCCCACCACTGTGACGTCGTGGCCGTAGTGCTTGAGCAGCTTGCGGATGAGCAGCTGGTTCACCTTGTTGTCCTCCGCCACCAGCACGCTCAGACTCCTGCACTCCTCCTCCTCCTCTTCATCCTCCTCCCCACCCTCCTCCACCTCCATTCCCACCTCTCCCTTCCCGTCCTCCTTCTCCCTCTCTCCCTCCCCCACTCTGCCCTTCTCCCCCTGACCCACGCCCAAGCAAGGGGAGGGGGAGCGCCGCCCTGCCCCCGGGGGAGAGGCAGGGGGAATGCCCTTGGCGGAGTGGGGGGTGGGGATGGAGGCGGATGGGGGAAAGGGGGCGGAGGGGCGGAGGAGGGGGAGCAGGACGAACGCCTGGGTGCCTTTGGACGGCTGGGATTTGATCCAGAGGCGGCCGCCCATGAGCGCCAGTAGCCCGTGGGATATGGCCAGACCCAAGCCCGTGCCGCCCACTCCCCTGCATGCAGAAAGAACGGGGGGGAGGGGAGATGCTTGGGGTTAAGGGGGGTTTGCATGCACACCTGCATGATGGATACAGGGAAAGTGGCTTGGGTGCCACAGGCAAGAGAACGAGACAGGGGGAGGCACGTACGGGCGTGATAGCTCACCCCCTCTGCGCGCCGGCCTGAGCCATGAACAGGACCTGCCTGAGCTCCTCCTCCTCCATGCCCACCCCCTCGTCCGCCACACACACCTCGTACCACACCTGCGCCCGCCCTTCCCCCTCCTCCTTCCCCTCCTCTCCCTCCTCCTCTCCCTCCGTCCCCTCATCCTCCTGCTTCTCCTCCCCTTTGTCCTCCTCCTCTTCCTCCCTTTCCCCGTCCCTCTTCTTCCCCCCTCTTCCCTCCTCTACATTCTCCTTTTCATTTCCCTCCTCCGCTTCCTCTCCCTCCACCTCCTCGATTCCAATTCCCATCGCACCGCCCTCCTTCCCCCCCGTGCGTCCCCCAGTGCCCCCCCCTACACTGGCAGAATGCCCCCCTTCACGCACAGCAGCCACCACTTCGCCTATAGTCACAACCGTATCTGCTCTCCCAGTACTCGCGCCCCCGCTACTAGCTCCCAGAGCAGCCTCTGTTTCCCCACACTCCCTCCTGCCCGCACCATCACAGTCACCCGCCTGCCCTTCATCCTCCTGCACTCCCCCTTCGCTGCCCCCACCCCACGCACCACTCCCCCCCTCCTCGCCCTTCCCCCGGTGCCTGCCCTCCACCAATCCAGCCGACGCATGCCTCAGCAGCGCCCGCTCGCGCTGCTCTATGGCCCCCCCCATCCTCTTCACCACCTCCACCGCCCCTCCCCGCCCCTCAGAACGCCTCCGCACCATCCCACCTTCCGCCCCCTCGCGTCCCACACTCCCTCGCCTCACCAGCACGTCCCCCGACCCCCCTCGCAGCAGCCCCCCACACAGGCCCTCGCGCACCACCCCTGTGCCTACCTGCACCGACCCATCCTGTACAACGGCATCCCGCTGAGTGACGTCTTCGAAGCCGTGCAGCCGCCCCACCGGCTGGTGCAGCGAGCGCAGCCACTGCTGCGCCTCTGAGGTCGCGCGCACGCTCACACTGCCCACGTCCTCCTCCGGGGCCGCCCTGCCCGCCTGCCACACCACACGCGGGGGCGGGCTGGCTGGGGGGCGCACAGGGGCGGGCGGAGGGGAGGGGGGGGTGGGAGTCGAGGCGGAGGGTGTTGCAGGGGGGTTGGTGATGAGGCAGGTAGTGGGAGCGGCAGGTGGTACGGCAGAAGCAGCAGCGGCAGTTGTGGCGGGAGCAGCGATTGCGTCCCCACACAACATCTCCACGTCAGCTTCTAGGTCAGCACCTGCCATGTCATCGACTGTTTTGTCGTCCAACACCACAACACCCTCCACGTCAGCAGACACGCTGCTGCCACCGGAAGGCTTAAGGGGCCCGGCGACTGGCATGAAAGGTTCACCCAGCAGCATTGCCACGTCATCAGCAGATTCAAACACTCCTGCACCCTCCCCCTGTCCCACTCCCGCTCCCCCTCCTCCCATTGCTCCCCTTCCTCTCCCACTCCCCTCCCTCCCATCGCACTCCCCCGTCCACTCCATCTGCCCCTCCGCCCCGCTCCCACTCCCCCAACTCCCACTCTGCAAGGTCAGCCCCAAGCCTTCCCCCCTTTCCAGGCTCGGCGCCGAGCCTGCACACGGCACTTGCACCTCCATCGCACCAGACAGGTGCTCGCCAGCCGCATTCCCTGCAGCAGGTGGAGCCACAGTGCTCAGCACTGCCCTTCCAGCGCCCCTGCTGGAGCCTAAGGGGAGCGCACTGCCGGCCGCCGATGCGGACTCAAAGCTCGCCAGGTACGGTGCAGGGACGGCACACACATGGGGAGGGAGCGCGGGCACAGTGGGGGCGGCAGGGAATGGGGAGCGAGGCGTGCAGTGGCGGACGCGGCCCAGATCTCCCGAGCCCGAGGCACCCGTGGAGGGCAGCAGGCTCCTGCGGTAGCTCTCTCCCAGGTCTGCTGACCGGCGCCTGGTGGGCACCTGGAGGTGCTGGGCTTGCATGGCGGTGGCAGCGGGCATGTCCATGCGCACAGGACTGCCCAGGAAGCCAGACAACGACGCCTCTTCCAGCCAGGCCGACGCTGCTGACGGCGCTGAGGGAAGTACAGAGGGGGGGGCGGAGGCACCTGGTTGCCCAGCAGACACGCTCCTGGGCACGCGCTGCCGCTCACTGGATGCCGTGCCCTCCGTGCCCTCCCCCCGCCCCCCCTCCTGCACCTTCTTGCTCTGACCATGCGCCATCCTATCACAAGACCCCTCCCTGCTGTCCCCCCGCCCTCTCTTCCCCCTCCCCCACATCCGCCCCCTCCTGCCCTCCACCCCTCTCCCCCCATCCGCCCCCTTCCCCTCTGCCCCACTAGTGCTGCCAGGGGAGATCAGCGTCCCTGCCGCCCCTGCCGCCCCTGCCGCCCCTGCCGCCCCTGCTGCCTCTGCTGTCCCCGCTGCCCCTGTGCTGCTGCCAGTAGGTGCAGACAGTGAGACCGTAAGCGAATGTGACAGTAACGAGCGGTTTCCAGGCTGCAAGAGGGGCTTATCCTCCCCCTCCTGTTCCAGCTCCTTCTCCTCTCTCTCCTCGACCTTCCCTTCTTCCTTCTCCCCCTCCTCTGCCGCCTCCTCTGTCCGCTCTTCTTGCCCTTCCTCGTCCGGCTCGCTCTCGCTGTCCGCATGACCGCAGGCAGAGGGGTCGTCCACCATGCGCCATGACACGGTGACGGTGCCCCGCTTGGAGAACTTGACAGCGTTGCTCACCAGGTTCGCCACCACCTGAGGGGGGGCAGGGGAGAGGGCGGATTACCAAGGAGGAGGGAGAGGCAACCCAGAGCAGCAGAGGGGCGACTCCAGGAGTAAGGAGGGGAGAAACGTGAGACAAGGGAGAGACAAACAGCAATTTCTTGAGCCTCTATACAATGGCATGCGCATTGTAGAGGGTGCTGGAGGGTGCTGGAGGGTGTAACTCACCTGCTTGACACGCACTCACCTGCTTGGCGCGCACGGGGTCGCCGCAGACGAAGAGGGCGTCGGGGGGCGGCGGGTGGATGACGAGGCGCATGCCCTTGTCCTGCACCGCCTGCTCAAACAGCACCGCCACCTGCTCACATGCACATGCACACAGTCCAAACACATATGTTCAGAACAGAGGCAGCAGAATTCGAGAAGGAAGGCATCGAATGAGGGAGAAATGGACAGCTGCTTGCCCCCTGGATCCATGCAGGGGGGATGCCTCCCAGCCTGCAAGTGCAGCATGGAATGCAGCGATTCGAGCATGCCGGGTTGTTTCCTGCTGGCAACTGGATTTCCAATGGCCTCAGCAACGGGTATGGTGCCAAGCATGCGCATGGGAGCGTGGGTGCCATGGCCACGGCACGGCACAGGCGCACCTGGTCGAGGATGTCGGCGATGCTGAAGTCGATGCTCTCCAGCAGCAGCCTGCCGGCCTCCATCTTGCAGAAGTCGAGGATGTTGTTCAGCACCGTCATCAGCCCGTCCGCTGACGCCTGCATCAGCTTCAGCACCCCGCCCTGCTCCTCACTCATGTCTGTCAGCTTCAACAGGTCCAGCATGCCCAACACGCCTGCAGTGTATGCCACGGGGTAGAAACGGGAGCTGGTTGACAAGGGCCAAGAGAGCCTCAGCAGACAGTTCACTGTGTTGCACTGAGCCAGGGCGAGGGCGGTTGGCGGTTGGCGGTTGGCTGTTGGCGGTGGGCGGTGGGAGGGTTGGCGGGTTGGCGGGTTGGCGGGTCGGGTCGGCGGGTCGGGTCGGCAGGTCGGGTCGGCGGGTCGGCTCGGCGGGTCGGCTCGGCGGGTCGGCTCGGCGGGTCGGCTCGGTGTGTCGGCTCGGCGGGTCGGCTCGGCGGGTCGGGTCGGCGGGTCGGGTCGGCGGGTCGGGTCGGCGGGTCGGCGGTCTTGAACCCAGGACCTCTCTCTCCCAGGAAACATTTCCGGGCCACTACGACCCTGAACTTCTGCCAGTCCAGGTCTTCTGGCGAATGGCTATGGCGAATGGCTATGGCGAATGGCTATGGCGAATGGACCGTCAGCTTCAGCTGGTCCTGCATGCCCAGCACGCCTGGCTTCGGGGGAAAGAGGGCGGCGCAGGCGTGTGGCATGTACAGACTCACACGCAAAAAGATGGCGTGCACATACGCGCCTACTCTCATGAGCCGACCCACCCCTTTGCCACCCACTCACCCACCGGTCATGGGCGTGCGGAGCTCGTGGCTCATGGTGGCGAGGAACTGCGACTTGGCGCGGTTGGCTGCCGCTATGGCCTGCCGCGCCCTCCTGTCCGCCGTGACGTCCTCAAACAGCCACAGGCGGCCATGCGCCGAGGTGGTGTGCGATGCCACCGGGTACGAGTGCACGCGCAGCACCAGCGGCGGGTCGCGCAGCTCCCATTCCTCCTCTATCTCCACCTCCACCGCGCCCGCCACCATGCTGAACCACCTGCGGGGGAGGAGGGGTGGGGGAGGGGAGAGGAAAGAGAGAACGCGAGTGACATGGGAATCGCAGGGAATGTGATGGGTGGGAAGTCTATTTTTGAGGCGCCTAAAAAATAGACTCCTCACGCTGTGATGGGTGGGAAGAGTTGATTCAGATCTTACGCTTGCCCGGGGGAAGAGACTGGTTCCGATAGCAGGTTCTTCGATAGAGTAAGAGTTCGGTTCTCGGTTGTAGTGTTGACTAACTGTTAGTCTGCCAACTTGTTACCTGTGCAGGTCGGGGCGGTTACCACTTCGCTCTGCCAGCTGGCGCATGGCAGTTGCCACCTTCACCGGATCCACCTCCCCAAAGCACGGCAGATCCAGCAGGTCTGCCGCTGCTGGGTTCACCACCACCTGGTGTGGTGTGGAGGGGGGGCAGGGGAGAGAGGGCTCATGCGGTAGAGGACAAGCTTGCACCACGCACTGACGAAGCACTGGACACTTCGACAAACAGTGCTCTGTATCAGAACGCACACCTGAGCCCCACCCCACCTGAGCAACCAACCACCTTTGCACTGCCCCACGTGAGAACACCCCCCCCCCCACCTGAGCGAGCTCGTCGTCGACGAAGACGACAGCCTGCGGCATGCGCTTGAGGATGGCGTCGAACTGGCGGCCCAGGCGCGCGGACTGCCGCGCGGAGATGCGGTTCGCCATGAGCAGCGGCATCGTGTGCACGGCGCGCGCCATCACCTCCTCCACTGTTGGCGGCACCTTGGCTGGGTCGCACCATAAAGCGTACAGCACCCCGCGGTAGCTGGGGGTGTGCAGGGATGGGTGGGGCAGGGAGGCGAGGAGGAGAGCAACGCTTGGTGGTTGGCGGGAGATGAGCAGGCGGGGGAAAGGTGCGAGCAGCGAGAAAGGAGCTGCAAAGAAGAATGCGAGAGACGGTTGCACGAAGCCCCCTGCCGCCACTCACTTCTGCAGGCGTACCGATCGCGCCATAAACCGCCGAGGCCTGCCGCCCAGCACCTCCTCAATGACAGCTGGCAGGTGCAAGCCGGCTGTGCTGACGACCTGGAAGGATGGGGGAGAAGAGCAGCAATAGGGAAGCGGTAGGAAGGGGAGGGGGGCGGACATAGGGAAGGGAGCGGCGGCATGGGCAGGAGGATAAGATATTGAGAGGACGCATGCAGGAAGGGGAGAGGACAGGTGAAGAGAGCGAGAGACGTGTCCGTGGGGGCGAATCACCTTCTGCTTCTTGCACGCCTTCATCATGCGCCTGCAGAAGGGCACCATCTCCGGCACCACCCCCTTGGGCGTCGACAGGATCGACTCCGCCACCCGCACCACCTCCATCTCCCTCCCGCTCTCCCCTCCCATCTCCCTCCCTCCTGCTCTCCCTCCTCCTGCTCTCCCTCCTCGCTCATCCCCAGTCCCAGATCTCCCTTTCCCCCCTTCCCCGCCCATTCCGCTGCTCCTCCTCGCACCTTCCCTACTGCAGTACCCTCCGCTCTCCCCGTACCCGCTAAAATCCCCTCCGCTACTAGCACACGCGCCGAAATCCCCGGACCTTTCCGTACTGCCTTCCGCGCCAAGGGAGCGCGCGCCGTAAGCGGGCGCAAAGGGGGAGAAAGCGGCCCCCGGGAAGAGCGGTGAGGGGGTGGGGGGAGCGCCTGCAGCAGCCGCGGCTTCGTCCGCCGCCTGTGTGATATCCGCTACTGTGGGGCCCGGGGGAGGTAACAGCACCGCCATTACGACCACGTCAGCTTCTAATGACGTGGCAATGACCTGGAGGACGGTCTGCGGGAGGTGGACCGACGCGCTTCCGGGACTCCCGGAAGGGGAATCGACTCCTAGAAGCTGCCGAACCGGCCTGCGCGACACGCCGTCTCCGTCAAGCATGTCCACGTCAGCATCCTCCACGTCAGGGCCCTCGCGCGTGACGAGGCTGAGAAAGTCCCCCTCCGCGGGACGCGGCTCCTCGTCGCCGTCCGCCGGTAGGTTGACGTGGCTCCAGCCGGCCAGCGGGCCCGGCACGCCAAGCGTGGCCTCTAGATTCTCGCCGATGTCGCCGGCGAGGATGCCGGCTCCGTACGACAGCAGCGACGCCATGAGCGACGTCGGAAAGCAGGGGCCACGATCGACACGAGCGAGCTAACAATGCGAAGGTCCGCGAGCTTTCGATTTGGAAAACCAGATAGTCGTCGACGGAAGGAGAGAAACGACAACGTCCCGCGGCGACCCCCCGGCGATCCCGCGACTGTTTCATAAGGTTACCACCCCATTGTACAGTAGTACCCCATAGCCGTGGATGCCCCCTCTCCCGACATAACCACCCAGTCGTTCGAGTCCGTCCTAGGAAGGGGAATGTGAGACAGGCTGGATTTGAGAACCTTGGATGCTGCAGCTTACGCGATGCTGGTGGCAAAGCAGTGGAAATAGGATCGGTCTCCGCTGGTTCTGCGTGGTGTGCGGTGCGGTGTCACTAGGTTCTAACACACCTGAATAAACCAGCTCTAGGTTGGGAGCTACATGGAATGCTCTAAAACGTGAGAAGTTGAAGCAGTTTGTTGAAATAAATATGTACAAGATGGAATAGCGCATTCTGCACATTAAATGGACTACCAGAGCCTGGACATTGGGGACAGCAGCTCCTCAAAGCTTGGCTGGTCCTCAAGCAAAACATCAAGAGCAAGACCCTTGGATGGCTGGTCAACCGAACCCAAGAATGCTGCAGGTGATGGCAAGCCCTGGTTGTTAGACATCAAGAATTCCCCACCCATGCTGGAAGTAACAGTGGGCACCAAATCAGCAACCCTTCCGCCTAGTGCCGCACAAGCAGCAGCATCATCCGGCACCGGGTGAGTAGCAGCATCAGTCACTGCAGCAGCAGGACATTGATAATCGCATGGAGGCAGCTGAAGATGTTTCCCCAACACAGCAGCATCAGGGCCATCAGAAGCACCAGCGCCAACAGAGCCAGCAGGGCCGAGCATGGCTTCTGAGATCTGCAGCATGCACTCAATGGCTGCTGCATCCAGCACCGCATGCTCCATGCCTGCCCCCCCCGCTTGCACTGCGTCTGCGCCTTGCATGCCTCTGCCATTCCACGCCATGTTGCCAGCACTCCCAGCACTCCCACTGCCGCCCATCTGCTCCCTCACCAGCTGCGCCCTGCTCTCCCTCAACGCCTGCATCATTGCTCTCTCCTGCACCGAGGGCAATGTCGGAGCAGACACCCATGGCACGTGCATTCCTGGCATTTCAGCACCTGATACCGGCATGACTGGGGGGCTTGCAAAAATACTGCTGTACGGAACAAGACCCCCATGCACTGCCAGCGAATGTTGCGGACTCAGCTGGGCGGGTAAGACAGCCGGGCATGCAGGATACCTCATGTTCGCCTCCTCACTGCCTGCGAGTGCGAAGGCTCCCTGACCCTCAGCTCGGTTACTCGTTACAATGTTGCGAGTAGCAGCGCCGCCATGGCTCCAACCAGAGCACGCCACGGATTCCTCGACCTGGAAATTTGGCTTCCAACGCTCAGCAGATGGGTCCATGCACCCCGCGCTCCCCGCGGGCGTGCGGAATGACTGAACCGGGCCTTGCCACATGCCCTGCCTCTCCACTCGAGGCCCGAGCGCGCTGGGTGCTGACAACGAAGGAGGATTGTGGGCAGTGGACGCCGCAGCAGGGGCCGAGAGGGGCGGGCAGGAGCGGCTGAAGATCTCTTGGAAAGTCATGCTGGGGAGAGCTCCGCCATAGTCACACCTTGTTGCAGCGACAGCTCCTGTGTTGAACGCCACGGACCTGGAACCCATCATGGCACTAACGGCGCTGTGCACAGGCTCCGTCTCGCTCCTTAACGTCGCCATGGCGTTCATAAGCCCAAACTCCGCCAACGGCATCGGCGCCACGCCATCGTTCTCCGAGGCGCACCGCGGCACGGGCGCAGACGTGCCGATAGAGCTCGCCCTCCCACTGCCTCCGGTGCCGGTGATCAAGTTTGCTGACGCGCCTCCTTCGCTGTCGCTCGCACTCCCGCTGCCACTTCCGCTGCTGATCAACCCGCTGCGGGCGTCGGCGGCGTGCGCGCTTGCACCGTGAGCAGGGCTGCTGGCGGAAATTGGCGTTTCCCCGCCATCGCAGAAGTTGAGCTGTGCGCGCGGCCCGTACAGCTTCCGCGCAGCGCGGTCGTACGTCAGCGCGGCAGTCTGCGCGTCCGCAAACGACCCCAGCCAGATGCGCTTCTTGCTGCGCGGAGCGCGGATCTCCGCCACCCACTTGCCCCAGCTGCGCTGCCGCACCCCGCGGAAGCCGTGCAGCGCGTTCTGCGGCCCACCTTTGGCGCCCTTGCCCACCCTGTCGGCGCGCCTGGGAGCACTCCAAAATGGAACGGAAGCTCCACCGGTGGCATGAGAGAACGCATTAGAGCCCTCGTTAGAGTCGCCAGCAAACGCGGCTGTGATAGGCGACGGCACGACCATTTGCGGCTGCAATGGGCCCCGAGGACAAGGCCTAGGACTCATGAGGGGCTCGTTATGGATTAACTAGGATCGACGGCGGATCAACAACGAGGAACGGCCACGGTGCTGTCTTGGAGATGAGCGAGAGAAACCACGTGAAGCTAAGCTCGCGACGACAGGAGGAAATGGAAGTGTGAGTTTCAGGTGCAGATGATGAAAAGAAGCGTCGGTCTTGTAGACTTGACTGGTGGTACTCGAAGGGTTTAAATATCGAGGGGGCGAGAGCTATCGATCGAACCATGGCGAGCTGCAGAATCATGCTTGCTCTTATGCTGTGATGTCCCATGTGGGCCCGTACTAAATGTCGCTGGGTCTGATTTCCGGACTTGCGAACTGATGCTTGGCTCTGATTGTGCAGAGCAGGAGAGGGGAGGGGTGGGCCTTTGGGAATCTCCCTCTCGGCAGTCTATCAGGCCCCGCCGCAGTACAAACGCCAAGAAATATTACAATTTACAACCCCAACTCAAAGCAGCAGGGGCAAAGTGAATCAGGCAGCGGCCACGATGACTAATCTTGGGATTTCAAATCTGCTGGTTGTGTGGATTTGTTTCTGGGTTTCCCACCACACCCTCTCCTCGCATCACATCGGCAGCATACGACGAGCTTTGCAGCGGCCCTGCTTTGCTTTGCTTCGCTAGCACAGGCCAACAGGCATGGTACTGTAGGGAGTGCACGGGAGGGGGAACGGGAAGCTCCCGAAAGTTTTGCGGGCGGGCACGAACCCTCAATTTGATTTGAACAGCAGTCTTTCAACTCCAGAATCTGGAGGGGAGGGAGAGCCCAAGAGTACACCGGGTGTGCACCCAATAACCCCAATTTCGACAAACCGCGTGGGTGTAATGCACGCACATTTTTCGCCAGCCTCCGCCGGGGGAGAATGGGCCATTAAGTGGACACGTGCTTTCGCGAGCTCCTTTGCATGGACACTTTCGCCGCCGCCGTGTCGCAGGTGCCACAAAACTCCGATGAATGGGCCATCAGGTGAAAGAGCTGTTGCCCGTAATTGGTAGCGGATGGGCGCAGGTTGGAGAATGGGCCCGTTCAATTTTCCGGGACTCCCTGGACACCTGGTGTATGGAGGAAGACAAGGCAGCGGTTCGGCTCACATCAAGTGAGATTCGCAAACGGAAAGCAAGATGCAGCCCTTGTTCGGATCGGTTAGTTTCGGTTCTGGGGGATGTGAACGACAAATGTAATGCGCAAGCCCCGAGATATTGTGAACAGTGATATGAGAATCTCGAGGTCGGAGGGAGCTCGTGACAGATCTCAAGCAGGAATGTAACCGTGACGTGGCGAGGATCGGTCAGCAGGGCTCGAGCCACCAGAAGGGTTTGGAGTAAATCTCCATCACGTGGGGCCTGACGTCAGGATCCCGCAACCTATCCGATTACAGATTGGGTCTGGGTTTGGTTCGTCTTTGCCCTACCTCCTAGGCTCGTTATGGAACTCTCTCTCATTTGTTCAAGGGGTGGTTCGGAGGAGATTCGGGCGTCTCTTGGCAGATTCCAAAGTCTAAGCCGAGCCTCATTGGTCGAAACACCCCTGTCATCCAGCATACAGACTGGTCCGCAGCAGAAAGTCTGCGAGGCTCGCGTAATCCCCCATTTTTGCGCATTTTGCCGCTTATCCGTTGGAGCTCCACTGCCCCCCGTCAGTACCTTGAGGCACGGGTTTTCCCGAGACCATAAGTTTGCGCTTCTCCTAGCCGAAGCGTGTCAGAGCTTCGGTCGGGGGCTTCCCCTAGCGTACCAAGGTTTGCGCATTCGAGTTCACTCATCGGCGCTGCACGGTCTTGGCGAAACGCGAAAGACTTCGTGCGAAACCGAAATGGTGTGATGTGCAGTTCGTGAGCCCAAGCTTCCTCAAAGCGAAGCTGCTATCCTTTCGCCGAAGGGCCTCACCTCGTTTCACGAAGGCCCGTTTTGTCAAGTTTTGGCCGCGCCCGCCCACAGGTGATGCCAAACCGCGCGGCTGCGGCGAAGCGCAGCACCTCCCACGGTGGCTCGGAGAGCAAACCACGAAGCGGCGGAATCCGCAACACGGCGAGCCAGCCTCGGGGTTGGTTGGGCTGGGCTACTGGTGGTTTGGGGTCTGAAGTCAACCCAGGAAACCCTGTTGGCCAGCCTGAAGGAATTCAGGCGTGCAGTAGCGTAGGCAGATGGGAGAAGCAGCAAAGCAAAATGCTGAGCCCATCACATTCCAATTTCCAATTTCAATGTGTTTTCACACAACTCCACCATCCGCCCTCCTTCGCACTCGGCTTACTTCACTAGCTCGGCGTTTCTGCACAACAGAATTGGCATTTCGTCGAACCAAGTTGAACTTATGGGTAGCAAATTGTAGCGACGTGGCGATATTATAATCCCTGGCGATTTCGCGATGCGACGATTCCTTCCGCTGGCGCTTTCTTCCTGGCGACGACGAATTCTGCTAGCGACGACTTTCCGCTGGTGACGGCTCTTTGCGGAGGCGAAGATCTTCCGCGTTGCGACTCTTCGTTCGCTGGCGTCCATTCGAGCAGCGATGATTGCAACGATTATCAGTTTAATTTGACAATATCAGTTCTGCTGATGCTGCGATTTTCCTCGCTAGCTTTCATCTCCGGAAGTATGTTCCGTTCTGTTGAAGAACTCTTTGCTCTTTAAATTTCGTATATACGACACCGTCCTCGGCCCTGGGTCAGCGTGGTTGAATTACTGTTGCGAAATTTTAATCTCACCTTTTCTTCATGTTTTCGTGGCCTGATCGCAGTGCGCTTGACCGCGTCACACTCTCCATCTCGTGTGCGTTCGTCGCAAGAGTCGCCTCCAGCTCGCCATCAAGCAACCCACGCGAATTGCTGTTGGCGATTGGGGACGGCTTTCTCGCGCGTGCGTCCATTCAATTCCAACGACGGTTACAGTCTCCAAGAAGCTTGGACGAGATTAGGCTATGCGTCGACCATGTGGTGCCATGGCTGCGCGCTTGGACCTCATCTTCCTGCCTCCTTGAGTCACACGCCGTCACTCAAAGATAAGTACCTACCGCACCTCGTTTGCTCTCCTATTCGATTTCAGCGTTTTGCATCATCCTGTTTCACTCGCTGCTCATTTCGTGGAATCACTCGTTTTCCTCCTCCTCCCCCCACTTTCGCCCATGGCGCATAGGCGTTGAGCTGCGTGCATAGGGTCTTGTCAACGTCCTGGGTTAGGCTAGAATCTAGTCTGTAATTGCATGCTTGCGTCGCGTCGCGTCCAGTCTGCTTGCTGTTGCTTCGCTTGCGCACATGTGCCATGGACGGCCCCCTACCCTCCCCCCTTCCCCCCCCTCAACCCTTCCCTCCAGGGCAGCGCATGGACGGCAAGGATGGACGCGGGGAATCATGCAAAGGCGGATTGAGGAGTCCCTTCTACTGCCCTCTCACCTGCAACTCAAGCTGCTTCTGCCAACCTGCACATACTAGGCTAACTCGTCGCTGGCTCTTCCCCTCTGTTTTGCAGGAGACATGACGCCTTCTTGCTGCCACCAGTGCGTGAAGGGCTGAACCGGGAGAAGCGCCACCACTAACGGCAGCAAGGGGAGCATTACAAGAGGCAACACCGGTGGCAGCACTTCCAACAGCATTGGCGGCAGCGCAAGCAGCAGTGGCTGCACCACCGGTAGCAGCTCCGGCCTCAGCCCTGGCGGCGTTTGGCTGTTTATGATTCTCCTCACACAAATGGACTTCTTCTGAGATAAGTTCCCTAACCTCCTCACCCTTCTAAGTTGCATTTATTCCCAGAATTGTAGCATTTCCATATGCTCTGCAGTTCTTTACCATCCACTCATTTCACCCCCGCCCACTCCCCTCCCCCCACCTCCCCGGCCATAGCACATAGGCTTTTGAGCTGCGTGCATAGGGTCCTGTCTAGGTCCTGGGTTAGGCTAGAATCTATTCCGTGCTTGCATGCTCGCGTCTCCTCCAGTCCTCTTGCTGTTGCTTGCTCGCGCACATGTGCCATGGCCGGCCCCCCTCCCCTCCCCCCCTTCCCTCCAGGTCGGCACATGGAGGGTGCAGGAGCCAAGGCAAGGATGGTCTTTTGTGCTCCATCTGCTCGGACAACTTCAATCAGTCACACACAGCACTCTCCCCTCCACCGCTTACTCTCTGCTGCCTCTTTCCCTCTGTGCGGCAGGAGCCATGGCGACATTTGTGCCACCAGCAGCGCGTGAAGGGGAGCACTGGGAGCAACACCACGGGCGGCAGCAAGGGGAGCACCCCTGGCAGCACCACCGGGAGCACAGCTGCAGCACACTCGTACAGCGACAACACTGGCTGCTCCAACTGAAGGCTAAGTGCTCCTCGCCCTTTCTTACCTTCTGCTTGCATGCGTTATTGCCCTTTCTCTCCACTGCCATCAAAACCAGCATCACCAATGCCAGCCCAGCTCACACGCCACAGACCATCATTGCAGGTAACCCCTCAGGCCCCCCTAGGTTAAGCCTTCAGGTCCCCCCAGGTGCCCTTACAGAATCCCGTGGTCGGTGGCTTGTGGCTGTGGCTACTTTGGTGGGGCCTTCGCTGCTCCCACAGTCTGTTGGTTTCATGTATCGTTCCCTGTGCTTCACTTGCTGTTGCAGAGCTCTCATGCATTTAGCTCTTATTTCTGCCACTCCGTTGCCGTGCCCTCCAACCACTCATCTCGTCTTTCCGTTCCACCCTTCACCCCTCGCAGGTCACTCCGCAGCAGCACTGAAGGGTGCCACTGGGAGCACCACCACTGGCGCCAGCAAGGGGGGAGCACCACTCGCAGCAGCACCCACAGCACCAACGGCAGCAGCAGTGGCAACAGGGGGAGCGCCACCGGGAGCACCACTGGGAGCACCACCTCCTGGCAACACCTTTGAAGGCTAGGTGCTCCTCGCCCTCCTTACACTCTGCATGCATGCTTTTTTGTGCTTTCTCTCCACTGAACCCGTTCTCTGCCATCAAAGCCTGCACTATCAATGTTAGCCCAGCTCACACGCCACAGACCATCATTGCAGGTAACCCCTCAGGTCCCCCCAGGTTAAGCCTTCAGGTCCCCCCAGGTACCCTTACAGAACACTGTGATCTGTGGCTTGTGGCTGTGGTTGTGATCTATGGCTTCAGTTTTCAAGTCTCCTTTTCAGTGCAGAGTATCTTGGGCGGCAGTTCCGTCTAATGCTGAGTATCTTGGGCCAGCGCAGAAAAGAAGGTTAGTCTCTTTCCCATCCCTTGGCATTCCCACTGCTCTATGGGTCACTCCCTCATAATCCGGTATTTCCTTCCCTTGCACCATCTCTGCTGGTCCTTGACCTTACCGCCTACCGCGCTCTTACCATCTCCTCTTTTTTCCATTGCAGATGGACGGGGGTTCGGGTTCAGCACCAACATTTCCCCACGCCCCGTGGGCCAGAGATTCAGCTGCAGTGCATTCTACTGCAAGGAAGAGCATCTGGGGTGGCCTTGCTGCATCAGGTGAGCGCTCTTCCAACCTGCTGCCGTTTCTGTGATGAGTATCTGATTTGGGTGTTGCTTGCACCACTTTCTGACAATCAACTCACTTGGCTCCGTGGCAATTCATTTGGCTCCATGGCAACTCACTTGGCTCCGTGGCAACTCAGTTGGCACCATGGCAACTCAGTTGGCTCCATGGCAACTCACTTGGCTCCATGGCAACTCACTTGGCTCCTTGGCAACTCACTTGGCTCCATGGCAACTCAGCTGGCTCCATGGCAACTCAGTTGGCTCCGTGGCAACTCAGTTGGCTCCATGGCAACTCAGTTGGCTCCATGGCAACTCAGCTGGCTCCATGGCAACTCAGTTGGCTCCATGGCAACTCAGCTGGCTCCAGGGCAACTCAGTTGGCTCCATGGCAACTCAGCTGGCTCCATGGCAACTCAGTTGGCTCCATGGCAACTCAGCTGGCTCCATGGCAACTCAGCTGGCTCCATGGCAACTCAGTTGGCTCCATGGCAACTCAGCTGGCTCCATGGCAACTCAGTTGGCTCCATGGCAACTCAGCTGGCTCCATGGCAACTCAGCTGGCTCCATGGAAACTCAGCTGGCTCCATGGCAACTCATTTGGCTCCGTGGCAACTCAGCTGGCTCCATGGCAACTCAGCTGGCTCCATGGCAACTCAGCTGGCTCCATGGCAACTCAGTTGGCTCCACGGCAACTCAGCTGGCTCCATGGCAACTCAGTTGGCTCCATGGCAACTCAGTTGGCTCCATGGCAACTCAGTTGGCTCCATGGCAACTCAGTTGGCTCCATGGCAACTCAGTTGGCTCCATGACAACTCAGCTGGCTCCATGGCAACTCATTTGGCTCCATGGCAACTGCGTTGGCTCCATGGCAATTGCGTTGGCTCCATGGCAACTCAGCTGGCTCCATGGCAACTCAGCTGGCTCCATGGCAACTCAGTTGGCTCCATGGCAACTCAGCTGGCTCCATGGCAACTCAGTTGGCTCCATGGCAACTCAGCTGGCTCCATGGCAACTCAGTTGGCTCCATGGCAACTCAGTTGGCTCCATGGCAACTCAGCTGGCTCCAGGGCAACTCAGTTGGCTCCATGGCAACTCAGCTGGCTCCATGGCAACTCAGTTGGCTCCATGGCAACTCAGCTGGCTCCATGGCAACTCAGCTGGCTCCATGGCAACTCAGTTGGCTCCATGGCAACTCAGCTGGCTCCATGGCAACTCAGTTGGCTCCATGGCAACTCAGCTGGCTCCATGGCAACTCAGCTGGCTCCATGGAAACTCAGCTGGCTCCATGGCAACTCATTTGGCTCCGTGGCAACTCAGCAGGCTCCATGGCAACTCAGCTGGCTCCATGGCAACTCAGCTGGCTCCATGGCAACTCAGTTGGCTCCACGGCAACTCAGCTGGCTCCATGGCAACTCAGTTGGCTCCATGGCAACTCAGTTGGCTCCATGGCAACTCAGTTGGCTCCATGGCAACTCAGTTGGCTCCATGGCAACTCAGTTGGCTCCATGACAACTCAGCTGGCTCCATGGCAACTCATTTGGCTCCATGGCAACTGCGTTGGCTCCATGGCAATTGCGTTGGCTCCATGGCAACTCAGCTGGCTCCATGGCAACTCAGCTGGCTCCATGGCAACTCAGTTGGCTCCATGGCAACTCAGCTGGCTCCATGGCAACTCAGTTGGCTCCATGGCAACTCAGCTGGCTCCATGGCAACTCAGTTGGCTCCATGGCAACTCAGTTGGCTCCATGGCAACTCAGCTGGCTCCATGGCAACTCAGTTGGCTCCATGGCAACTCAGTTGGCTCCATGGCAACTCAGTTGGCTCCATGGCAACTCAGCTGGCTCCATGGCAACTCAGCTGGCTCCATGGCGACTCAGCTGGCTCCATGGCAACTCGGCTGGCTCCATGGCAACTCAGTTGGCTCCATGGCAACTCATTTGGCTCCATGGCGACTCAGCTGGCTCCATGGCAACTCAGCTGGCTCAATGGCAGCTCAGTTGGCTCCATGGCATCTCAGCTGGCTCCATGGCAGCTCAGTTGGCTCCATGGCCGCTCAGTTGGCTCCATGGCAGCTCAGTTGGCTCCGCGAATCACATTCCTTCCTTGAACTCCCATCCCCTCCCTTCCCTCCCCTGATGCTGCTGCTCACTTGGGTGCATGAGGGGGCATGGAATACTGCAGCAGAGCCGTCAAGGGGCAAGGGAGAGTATCTGGGATTCGCGGCTGCATGAGGTGAGCCCCCCTGCCTTGCTGCATCAGCTTCTGTCAAACTTCTTTCCAGTCGCCTTTCTCATCCGACTTCTTCCCCCAGCCACTTCTCTCAATTCTACCCCCAGCCACCTCATTTCCCGTCCCCTTTCCCCTTCGTGGCAGGTCACTTGGCAGCACCAGGCAAAGACTGCAGCAGCACCCGTAGCAGAGAAGCAGCCGCAGCAGCAGCAGCAGCAATTTTGGGCAGCAGGGCAGCTGCAGGGATAGGGTAGTTAGACGGCAGGCTAGGGGGTGAGTTGTGAGAGAGGTACAGGTATGGTGTGGTATGGTATGGTATGCTCACACCCCCTCCTTCTCCCCCCCCCCTGCCCTCCCTACAGCGTCACACCCATGGTGGACTGGAGCAAGAGGAGGAGCAGAGGGAGAGCTGGTCACTCCCCCCCCTTACTCCCAATCCCGCTTCCCCACAGTGCTACACCCCGTGGTGCACTGCAGCAAGTTGCGGAGCAGAGGAGAGCTCGTCACTTCCCCCCCCTCTCTCCCTCCGACTTCCTCCTTTTCCTCCCACTTCCCCTTTCCCCATCAGCTTCACACTCCATGGAGCAGGAGGGAGGAGAGTTGGTCCTTCTCGCACTCCCCCTCTCACTTCCCCCCTCCCCTTCCCCAGCAGCTTCACACATCGCTTGCATCTGCTTGGCTGTGGTAAGTTGAGGTAAGCTGAGGGGATGGAGGTGATGGAGGTGGGTGGGGCAGGGTGGGAGATGGCATGGGTTGCGGGTTTCTGGGGGCAGCACCTTCGGTACTATACGCAATGGGGGGTCAGTGAGGCAGTGCAAGTACATGTGTCAAGCACTCTGTGTCCAATCGCAATACCCGCGCGTTAATGCATAATGGGCCCATGGCAGACCATTGTGGCCGAATGGTTCTGTCTCGTGCCAGCTCTTGCCACGCCGGTGAGGGGTAATTGGATCTTGGGCTTACCGTGTGCTTGCCTCCTGCCTCACTTGGCCCCTCAGCGCAACGGGTACTGTGTGTGTGCTGCTTCTCAGAGGCTTGTGCCTCATGCCTCTTCTGCTGATCTGGGGTGAGGGGATGGTGGTGGTGGCTGTGAATGTGGGCAGAGCAGCGAATGATGATGCTGCATGGAGTGCCTGATGCCACTCTGCCTTTGTTCCAGTCTGCTTATCCACACACACAGCCAAGGTGGGGTGTGGTGTCGTGTGGTGTGTGTGGTGGTGAGATGAGGAAGTGGGGCGTGGTGATGGCCCATTCATCCAAAACACACGCATCTCCATGTGGCGGGAGGTGGTGATGGTGAGTGGTGGTGATGGATGGTGAGTGGTGGTGATGCATGGTGAGTGGTGGTGATGGATGGTGAGTGGTGGTGGTGGATGGCGAGTGGTGGTGATGGATGGTGACTGGTGGTGGTCGATGGTGAGTGGTGGTGGTGGATGGTGAGTGGTGGTGATGGATGGCGAGTGGTGGTGGTGGATGGCGAGTGGTGGTGATGGATGGTGACTGGTGGTGGTGGATGGTGCGTGGTGGTGATGGATGGTGAGTGGTGGTGGTGGATGGTGAGTGGTGGTGGTGGATGGTGAGTCGTGGTGATGCATGGTGATTGGTGGTTGTGGATGGTGAGTGGTGGTTGCGGATGGTGAGTGGTGGTGGTGGATGGTTAGTGGTGGTGGTGGATGGTGAGTGGTCGTGGTGGATGGTGAGTGGTGGTTGTGGATGGTGAGTGGCGGTGATGGATGGTGAGTGGTGGTTGTGGATGGTGATTGGTGGTGGTGGATGGTGAGTGGCGGTGGTGGATGGTGAGTGGTGGTGATGGATGGTGATCGGTGGTTGTGGATGGTGAGTGGTGGTGGCGGATGGTGAGTGGTGGTGATTGATGGCGAGTGGCGGTTGTGGATGGCGAGTGGCGGTTGTGGATGGTGAGTGGTGGTGGTGGATGGTGAGTGGTGGTGATGGATGGTGATTGGTGGTTGTGGATGGTGAGTGGTGGTTGTGGATGGTGAGTGGTGGTGGTGAATGGTTAGTGGTGGTGGTGGATGGTGAGTGGTCGTGGTGGATGGTGAGTGGTGGTTGTGGATGGTGAGTGGCGGTGATGGATGGTGAGTGGTGGTTGTGGATGGTGAGTGGTGGTGGTGGATGGTGAGTGCCGGTGGTGGATGGTGAGTGGTGCTGATGGATGGTGAGTGGTCGTGGTGGATGGTGAGTGGTGGTGATGGATGGTGAGTGGTGGTTGTGGATGGCGAGTGGTGGTGATGGATGGTGATTGGTGGTTGTGGATGGTGAGTGGTGGTTGCGGATGGTGAGTGGTGGTGGCGGATGGTGAGTGGTGGTGATTGATGGTGAGTGGTGGTTGTGGATGGTGAGTGGTGGTGGTGGATGGTGAGTGGCGATGGTGGATGGTGAGTGGTGGTGATGCATGGTGAGTGGTCGTGGTGGATGGTGAGTGGTGGTGATGGATGGTGAGTGGTGGTTGTGGATGGCGAGTGGCGGTTGTGGATGGTGAGTGGTGGTGATGGATGGTGAGTGGTGGTTGTGGATGGTGAGTGGTGGTTGTGGATGGTGAGTGGTGGTGGTGGATGGTGAGTGGTGGTGATGGATGGTGATTGGTGGTTGTGGATGGTGAGTGGTGGTGGTGGATGGTGAGTGGTGGTGGTGGATGGTGAGTGGTGGTGGTGGATGGTGAGTGGTGATGATGGATAGTGAGTGGTCGCGGTGGATGGTGAGTGGTGGTGATGGATGGTGAGTGGTGGTTGTGGATGGCGAGTGGCGGTTATGGATGGTGAGTGGTGGTGGTGGATGGTGAGTGGTGGTGGTGGATGGTGAGTGGTGGTGATGGATGGTGATTGGTGGTTGTGGATGGTGCGTGGTGGTTGTGGATGGTGAGTGGTGGTGGTGGATGGTTAGTGGCGGTGGTGGATGGTGAGTGGTGGTGGTGGATGGTGAGTGGTCGTGGTGGATGGTGAGTGGTGGTTGTGGATGGTGAGTGGTGATTGTGGATGGTGAGTGGCGGTGATGGATGGTGAGTGGTGGTTGTGGATGGTGAGTGGTGGTGGTGGATGGTTAGTGGCGGTGGTGGATGGTGAGTGGTGGTGGTGGATGGTGAGTGGTGGTGATGGATGGTGATTGGTGGTTGTGGATGGTGAGTGGTGGTTGTGGATGGTGAGTGGTGGTGGTGGATGGTTAGTGGCGGTGGTGGATGGTGAGTGGTCGTGGTGGATGGTGAGTGGTCGTGGTGAATGGTGAGTGGTGGTTGTGGATGGTGAGTGGTGGTTGTGGATGGTGAGTGGCGGTGATGGATGGTGAGTGGTGGTTGTGGATGGTGAGTGGCGGTGATGGATGGTGAGTGGTGGTTGTGGATGGTGAGTGGCGGTGATGGATGGTGAGTGGTGGTTGTGGATGGTGAGTGGTGGTGGTGGATGGTTAGTGGCGGTGGTGGATGGTGAGTGGTGGTGGTGGATGGTGATTGGTGGTTGTGGATGGTGAGTGGTGGTGGCGGATGGTTAGTGGCGGCGGTGGATGGTGAGTGGCGGTGGTGGATGGTGAGTGGTGGTGGTGGATGGTGAGTGGTGATGATGGATAGTGAGTGGTCGCGGTGGATGGTGAGTGGTGGTGATGGATGGTGAGTGGTGGTTGTGGATGGCGAGTAGCGGTTATGGATGGTGAGTGGTGGTGGTGGATGGTGAGTGGTGGTGGTGGATGGTGAGTGGCGATGGTGGATGGTGAGTGGTGGTGATGCATGGTGAGTGGTCGTGGTGGATGGTGAGTGGTGGTGATGGATGGTGAGTGGTGGTTGTGGATGGCGAGTGGCGGTTGTGGATGGTGAGTGGTGGTGATGGATGGTGAGTGGTGGTTGTGGATGGTGAGTGGTGGTTGTGGATGGTGAGTGGTGGTGGTGGATGCTGAGTGGTGGTGATGGATGGTGATTGGTGGTTGTGGATGGTGAGTGGTGGTGGTGGATGGTGAGTGGTGGTGGTGGATGGTGAGTGGTGGTGGTGGATGGTGAGTGGTGATGATGGATAGTGAGTGGTCGCGGTGGATGGTGAGTGGTGGTGATGGATGGTGAGTGGTGGTTGTGGATGGCGAGTGGCGGTTATGGATGGTGAGTGGTGGTGGTGGATGGTGAGTGGTGGTGGTGGATGGTGAGTGGTGGTGATGGATGGTGATTGGTGGTTGTGGATGGTGCGTGGTGGTTGTGGATGGTGAGTGGTGGTGGTGGATGGTTAGTGGCGGTGGTGGATGGTGAGTGGTGGTGGTGGATGGTGAGTGGTCGTGGTGGATGGTGAGTGGTGGTTGTGGATGGTGAGTGGTGATTGTGGATGGTGAGTGGCGGTGATGGATGGTGAGTGGTGGTTGTGGATGGTGAGTGGTGGTGGTGGATGGTTAGTGGCGGTGGTGGATGGTGAGTGGTGGTGGTGGATGGTGAGTGGTGGTGATGGATGGTGATTGGTGGTTGTGGATGGTGAGTGGTGGTTGTGGATGGTGAGTGGTGGTGGTGGATGGTTAGTGGCGGTGGTGGATGGTGAGTGGTCGTGGTGGATGGTGAGTGGTCGTGGTGAATGGTGAGTGGTGGTTGTGGATGGTGAGTGGTGGTTGTGGATGGTGAGTGGCGGTGATGGATGGTGAGTGGTGGTTGTGGATGGTGAGTGGCGGTGATGGATGGTGAGTGGTGGTTGTGGATGGTGAGTGGCGGTGATGGATGGTGAGTGGTGGTTGTGGATGGTGAGTGGTGGTGGTGGATGGTTAGTGGCGGTGGTGGATGGTGAGTGGTGGTGGTGGATGGTGATTGGTGGTTGTGGATGGTGAGTGGTGGTGGCGGATGGTTAGTGGCGGCGGTGGATGGTGAGTGGCGGTGGTGGATGGTGAGTGGTGGTGGTGGATGGTGAGTGGTGATGATGGATAGTGAGTGGTCGCGGTGGATGGTGAGTGGTGGTGATGGATGGTGAGTGGTGGTTGTGGATGGCGAGTAGCGGTTATGGATGGTGAGTGGTGGTGGTGGATGGTGAGTGGTGGTGGTGGATGGTGAGTGGCGATGGTGGATGGTGAGTGGTGGTGATGCATGGTGAGTGGTCGTGGTGGATGGTGAGTGGTGGTGATGGATGGTGAGTGGTGGTTGTGGATGGCGAGTGGCGGTTGTGGATGGTGAGTGGTGGTGATGGATGGTGAGTGGTGGTTGTGGATGGTGAGTGGTGGTTGTGGATGGTGAGTGGTGGTGGTGGATGCTGAGTGGTGGTGATGGATGGTGATTGGTGGTTGTGGATGGTGAGTGGTGGTGGTGGATGGTGAGTGGTGGTGGTGGATGGTGAGTGGTGGTGGTGGATGGTGAGTGGTGATGATGGATAGTGAGTGGTCGCGGTGGATGGTGAGTGGTGGTGATGGATGGTGAGTGGTGGTTGTGGATGGCGAGTGGCGGTTATGGATGGTGAGTGGTGGTGGTGGATGGTGAGTGGTGGTGGTGGATGGTGAGTGGTGGTGATGGATGGTGATTGGTGGTTGTGGATGGTGCGTGGTGGTTGTGGATGGTGAGTGGTGGTGGTGGATGGTTAGTGGCGGTGGTGGATGGTGAGTGGTGGTGGTGGATGGTGAGTGGTCGTGGTGGATGGTGAGTGGTGGTTGTGGATGGTGAGTGGTGATTGTGGATGGTGAGTGGCGGTGATGGATGGTGAGTGGTGGTTGTGGATGGTGAGTGGTGGTGGTGGATGGTTAGTGGCGGTGGTGGATGGTGAGTGGTGGTGGTGGATGGTGAGTGGTGGTGATGGATGGTGATTGGTGGTGGATGGTGAGTGGTGGTTGTGGATGGTGAGTGGTGGTGGTGGATGGTGAGTGGCGGTGGTGGATGGTGAGTGGTCGTGGTGGATGGTGAGTGGTCGTGGTGGATGGTGAGTGGTGGTTGTGGATGGTGAGTGGTGGTTGTGGATGGTGAGTGGCGGTGATGGATGGTGAGTGGTGGTTGTGGATGGTGAGTGGCGGTGATGGATGGTGAGTGGTGGTTGTGGATGGTGAGTGGTGGTGGTGGATGGTTAGTGGCGGTGGTGGATGGTGAGTGGTGGTGGTGGATGGTGATTGGTGGTTGTGGATGGTGAGTGGTGGTGGCGGATGGTTAGTGGCGGCGGTGGATGGTGAGTGGCGGTGGTGGATGGTGAGTGGTGGTGGTGGATGGTGAGTGGTGATGATGGATAGTGAGTGGTCGCGGTGGATGGTGAGTGGTGGTGATGGATGGTGAGTGGTGGTTGTGGATGGCGAGTGGCGGTTATGGATGGTGAGTGGTGGTGGTGGATGGTGAGTGGTGGTGGTGGATGGTGAGTGGTGGTGATGGATGGTGATTGGTGGTTGTGGATGGTGCGTGGTGGTTGTGGATGGTGAGTGGTGGTGGTGGATGGTTAGTGGCGGTGGTGGATGGTGAGTGGTGGTGGTGGATGGTGAGTGGTCGTGGTCGATGGTGAGTGGTGGTTGTGGATGGTGAGTGGTGATTGTGGATGGTGAGTGGCGGTGATGGATGGTGAGTGGTGGTTGTGGATGGTTAGTGGTGGTGGTGGATGGTTAGTGGCGATGGTGGATGGTGAGTGGTGGTGGTGGATGGTGAGTGGTGGTGATGGATGGTGATTGGTGGTTGTGGATGGTGAGTGGTGGTTGTGGATGGTGAGTGGTGGTGGTGGATGGTTAGTGGCGGTGGTGGATGGTGAGTGGTCGTGGTGGATGGTGAGTGGTCGTGGTGAATGGTGAGTGGTGGTTGTGGATGGTGAGTGGTGGTTGTGGATGGTGAGTGGCGGTGGTGGATGGTGAGTGGTGGTTGTGGATGGTGAGTGGCGGTGATGGATGGTGAGTGGTGGTTGTGGATGGTGAGTGGCGGTGATGGATGGTGAGTGGTGGTTGTGGATGGTGAGTGGTGGTGGTGGATGGTTAGTGGCGGTGGTGGATGGTGAGTGGTGGTGGTGGATGGTGATTGGTGGTTGTGGATGGTGAGTGGTGGTGGCGGATGGTTAGTGGCGGCGGTGGATGGTGAGTGGCGGTGGTGGATGGTGAGTGGTGGTGGTGGATGGTGAGTGGTGATGATGGATAGTGAGTGGTCGCGGTGGATGGTGAGTGGTGGTGATGGATGGTGAGTGGTGGTTGTGGATGGCGAGTGGCGGTTATGGATGGTGAGTGGTGGTGGTGGATGGTGAGTGGTGGTGGTGGATGGTGAGTGGTGGTGATGGATGGTGATTGGTGGTTGTGGATGGTGCGTGGTGGTTGTGGATGGTGAGTGGTGGTGGTGGATGGTTAGTGGCGGTGGTGGATGGTGAGTGGTGGTGGTGGATGGTGAGTGGTCGTGGTGGATGGTGAGTGGTGGTTGTGGATGGTGAGTGGTGATTGTGGATGGTGAGTGGCGGTGATGGATGGTGAGTGGTGGTTGTGGATGGTGAGTGGTGGTGGTGGATGGTTAGTGGCGGTGGTGGATGGTGAGTGGTGGTGGTGGATGGTGAGTGGTGGTGATGGATGGTGATTGGTGGTTGTGGATGGTGAGTGGTGGTTGTGGATGGTGAGTGGTGGTGGTGGATGGTTAGTGGCAGTGGTGGATGGTGAGTGGTCGTGGTGGATGGTGAGTGGTCGTGGTGAATGGTGAGTGGTGGTTGTGGATGGTGAGTGGTGGTTGTGGATGGTGAGTGGCGGTGATGGATGGTGAGTGGTGGTTGTGGATGGTGAGTGGCGGTGATGGATGGTGAGTGGTGGTTGTGGATGGTGAGTGGTGGTGGTGGATGGTTAGTGGCGGTGGTGGATGGTGAGTGGTGGTGGTGGATGGTGATTGGTGGTTGTGGATGGTGAGTGGTGGTGGCGGATGGTTAGTGGCGGCGGTGGATGGTGAGTGGCGATGGTGGATGGTGAGTGGTGGTGGTGGATGGTGAGTGGTGATGATAGATAGTGAATGGTCGCGGTGGATGGTGAGTGGTGGTGATGGATGGTGAGTGGTGGTTGTGGATGGCGAGTGGCGGTTATGGATGGTGAGTGGTGGTGGTGGATGGTGAGTGGTGGTGGTGGATGGTGAGTGGTGGTGATGGATGGTGATTGGTGGTTGTGGATGGTGCGTGGTGGTTGTGGATGGTGAGTGGTGGTGGTGGATGGTTAGTGGCGGTGGTGGATGGTGAGTGGTGGTGCTGGATGGTGAGTGGTCGTGGTGGATGGTGAGTGGTGGTTGTGGATGGTGAGTGGTGATTGTGGATGGTGAGTGGCGGTGATGGATGGTGAGTGGTGGTTGTGGATGGTGAGTGGTGGTGGTTGATGGTTAGTGGCGGTGGTGGATGGTGAGTGGTGGTGGTGGATGGTGAGTGGTGGTGATGGATGGTGATTGGTGGTTGTGGATGGTGAGTGGTGGTTGTGGATGGTGAGTGGTGGTGGTGGATGGTTAGTGGCGGTGGTGGATGGTGAGTGGTCGTGGTGGATGGTGAGTGGTCGTGGTGGATGGTGAGTGGTGGTTGTGGATGGTGAGTGGTGGTTGTGGATGGTGAGTGGCGGTGATGGATGGTGAGTGGTGGTTGTGGATGGTGAGTGGCGGTGATGGATGGTGAGTGGTGGTTGTGGATGGTGAGTGGTGGTGGTGGATGGTTAGTGGCGGTGGTGGATGGCGAGTGGTGGTGGTGGATGATGATTGGTGGTTGTGGATGGTGAGTGGTGGTGGCGGATGGTTAGCGGCGGCGGTGGATGGTGAGTGGCGGTGGTGGATGGTGAGTGGTGGTGGTGGATGGTGAGTGGTGATGATGGATAGTGAGTGGTCGCGGTGGATGGTGAGTGGTGGTGATGGATGGTGAGTGGTGGTTGTGGATGGCGAGTGGCGGTTATGGATGGTGAGTGGTGGTGGTGGATGGTGAGTGGTGGTGGTGGATGGTGAGTGGCGGTGGTGGATGGTGAGTGGTGGTGGTGGATGGTGAGTGGTCGTGGTGGATGGTGAGTGGTGGTTGTGGATGGTGAGTGGTGATTGTGGATGGTGAGTGGCGGTGATGGATGGTGAGTGGTGGTTGTGGATGGTGAGTGGTGGTGGTGGATGGTTAGTGGCGGTGGTGGATGGTGAGTGGTGGTGGTGGATGGTGATTGGTGGTTGTGGATGGTGAGTGGTGGTGGCGGATGGTTAGTGGCGGCGGTGGATGGTGAGTGGCGATGGTGGATGGTGAGTGGTGGTGGTGGATGGTGAGTGGTGATGATAGATAGTGAATGGTCGCGGTGGATGGTGAGTGGTGGTGATGGATGGTGAGTGGTGGTTGTGGATGGCGAGTGGCGGTTATGGATGGTGAGTGGTGGTGGTGGATGGTGAGTGGTGGTGGTGGATGGTGAGTGGTGGTGATGGATGGTGATTGGTGGTTGTGGATGGTGCGTGGTGGTTGTGGATGGTGAGTGGTGGTGGTGGATGGTTAGTGGCGGTGGTGGATGGTGAGTGGTGGTGCTGGATGGTGAGTGGTCGTGGTGGATGGTGAGTGGTGGTTGTGGATGGTGAGTGGTGATTGTGGATGGTGAGTGGCGGTGATGGATGGTGAGTGGTGGTTGTGGATGGTGAGTGGTGGTGGTTGATGGTTAGTGGCGGTGGTGGATGGTGAGTGGTGGTGGTGGATGGTGAGTGGTGGTGATGGATGGTGATTGGTGGTTGTGGATGGTGAGTGGTGGTTGTGGATGGTGAGTGGTGGTGGTGGATGGTTAGTGGCGGTGGTGGATGGTGAGTGGTCGTGGTGGATGGTGAGTGGTCGTGGTGGATGGTGAGTGGTGGTTGTGGATGGTGAGTGGTGGTTGTGGATGGTGAGTGGCGGTGATGGATGGTGAGTGGTGGTTGTGGATGGTGAGTGGCGGTGATGGATGGTGAGTGGTGGTTGTGGATGGTGAGTGGTGGTGGTGGATGGTTAGTGGCGGTGGTGGATGGCGAGTGGTGGTGGTGGATGATGATTGGTGGTTGTGGATGGTGAGTGGTGGTGGCGGATGGTTAGCGGCGGCGGTGGATGGTGAGTGGCGGTGGTGGATGGTGAGTGGTGGTGGTGGATGGTGAGTGGTGATGATGGATAGTGAGTGGTCGCGGTGGATGGTGAGTGGTGGTGATGGATGGTGAGTGGTGGTTGTGGATGGCGAGTGGCGGTTATGGATGGTGAGTGGTGGTGGTGGATGGTGAGTGGTGGTGGTGGATGGTGAGTGGCGGTGGTGGATGGTGAGTGGTGGTGGTGGATGGTGAGTGGTCGTGGTGGATGGTGAGTGGTGGTTGTGGATGGTGAGTGGTGATTGTGGATGGTGAGTGGCGGTGATGGATGGTGAGTGGTGGTTGTGGATGGTGAGTGGTGGTGGTGGATGGTTAGTGGCGGTGGTGGATGGTGAGTGGTGGTGGTGGATGGTGATTGGTGGTTGTGGATGGTGAGTGGTGGTGGCGGATGGTTAGTGGCGGCGGTGGATGGTGAGTGGCGATGGTGGATGGTGAGTGGTGGTGGTGGATGGTGAGTGGTGATGATAGATAGTGAATGGTCGCGGTGGATGGTGAGTGGTGGTGATGGATGGTGAGTGGTGGTTGTGGATGGCGAGTGGCGGTTATGGATGGTGAGTGGTGGTGGTGGATGGTGAGTGGTGGTGGTGGATGGTGAGTGGTGGTGATGGATGGTGATTGGTGGTTGTGGATGGTGCGTGGTGGTTGTGGATGGTGAGTGGTGGTGGTGGATGGTTAGTGGCGGTGGTGGATGGTGAGTGGTGGTGCTGGATGGTGAGTGGTCGTGGTGGATGGTGAGTGGTGGTTGTGGATGGTGAGTGGTGATTGTGGATGGTGAGTGGCGGTGATGGATGGTGAGTGGTGGTTGTGGATGGTGAGTGGTGGTGGTTGATGGTTAGTGGCGGTGGTGGATGGTGAGTGGTGGTGGTGGATGGTGAGTGGTGGTGATGGATGGTGATTGGTGGTTGTGGATGGTGAGTGGTGGTTGTGGATGGTGAGTGGTGGTGGTGGATGGTTAGTGGCGGTGGTGGATGGTGAGTGGTCGTGGTGGATGGTGAGTGGTCGTGGTGGATGGTGAGTGGTGGTTGTGGATGGTGAGTGGTGGTTGTGGATGGTGAGTGGCGGTGATGGATGGTGAGTGGTGGTTGTGGATGGTGAGTGGCGGTGATGGATGGTGAGTGGTGGTTGTGGATGGTGAGTGGTGGTGGTGGATGGTTAGTGGCGGTGGTGGATGGCGAGTGGTGGTGGTGGATGATGATTGGTGGTTGTGGATGGTGAGTGGTGGTGGCGGATGGTTAGCGGCGGCGGTGGATGGTGAGTGGCGGTGGTGGATGGTGAGTGGTGGTGGTGGATGGTGAGTGGTGATGATGGATAGTGAGTGGTCGCGGTGGATGGTGAGTGGTGGTGATGGATGGTGAGTGGTGGTTGTGGATGGCGAGTGGCGGTTATGGATGGTGAGTGGTGGTGGTGGATGGTGAGTGGTGGTGGTGGATGGTGAGTATTGGTGATGGATGGTGATTGGTGGTTGTGGATGGTGCGTGGTGGTTGTGGATGGTGAGTGGTGGTGGTGGATGGTTAGTGGCGGTGGTGGATGGTGTGTGGTGGTGGTGGATGGTGAGTGGTCGTGGTGGATGGTGAGTGGTGGTTGTGGATGGTGAGTGGTGATTGTGGATGGTGAGTGGCGGTGATGGATGGTGAGTGGTGGTTGTGGATGGTGAGTGGTGGTGGTGGATGGTTAGTGGCGGTGGTGGATGGTGAGTGGTGGTGGTGGATGGTGAGTGGTGGTGATGGATGGTGATTGGTGGTTTGGATGGTGAGTGGTGGTTGTGGATGGTGAGTGGTGGTGGTGGATGGTTAGTGGCGGTGGTGGATGGTGAGTGGTCGTGGTGGATGGTGAGTGGTCGTGGTGGATGGTGAGTGGTGGTTGTGGATGGTGAGTGGTGGTTGTGGATGGTGAGTGGCGGTGATGGATGGTGAGTGGTGGTTGTGGATGGTGAGTGGCGGTGATGGATGGTGAGTGGTGGTTGTGGATGGTGAGTGGTGGTGGTGGATGGTTAGTGGCGGTGGTGGATGGCGAGTGGTGGTGGTGGATGGTGATTGGTGGTTGTGGATGGTGAGTGGTGGTGGCGGATGGTTAGTGGCGGCGGTGGATGGTGAGTGGCGGTGGTGGATGGTGAGTGGTGGTGGTGGATGGTGAGTGGTGATGATGGATAGTGAGTGGTCGCGGTGGATGGTGAGTGGTGGTGATGGATGGTGAGTGGTGGTTGTGGATGGCGAGTGGCGGTTATGGATGGTGAGTGGTGGTGGTGGATGGTGAGTGGTGGTGGTGGATGGTGAGTGGTGGTGATGGATGGTGATTGGTGGTTGTGGATGGTGCGTGGTGGTTGTGGATGGTGAGTGGTGGTGGTGGATGGTTAGTGGCGGTGGTGGATGGTGAGTGGTGGTGGTGGATGGTGAGTGGTCGTGGTGGATGGTGAGTGGTGGTTGTGGATGGTGAGTGGTGATTGTGGATGGTGAGTGGCGGTGATGGATGGTGAGTGGTGGTTGTGGATGGTGAGTGGTGGTGGTGGATGGTTAGTGGCGGTGGTGAATGGTGAGTGGTGGTGGTGGATGGTGAGTGGTGGTGATGGATGGTGATTGGTGGTTGTGGATGGTGAGTGGTGGTTGTGGATGGTGAGTGGTGGTGGTGGATGGTTAGTGGCGGTGGTGGATGGTGAGTGGTCGTGGTGGATGGTGAGTGGTCGTGGTGGATGGTGAGTGGTGGTTGTGGATGGTGAGTGGTGGTTGTGGATGGTGAGTGGCGGTGATGGATGGTGAGTGGTGGTTGTGGATGGTGAGTGGCGGTGATGGATGGTGAGTGGTGGTTGTGGATGGTGAGTGGTGGTGGTGGATGGTTAGTGGCGGTGGTGGATGGCGAGTGGTGGTGGTGGATGGTGATTGGTGGTTGTGGATGGTGAGTGGTGGTGGCGGATGGTTAGTGGCGGCGGTGGATGGTGAGTGGCGGTGGTGGATGGTGAGTGGTCGTGGTGGATGGTGAGTGGTGGTTGTGGATGGTGAGTGGTGGTTGTGGATGGTGAGTGGCGATGATGGATTGTGAGTGGTGGTGATGGATGGTGAGTGGTGGTGATGGATGGTGAGTGGTGGTGGTGGATGGTTAGTGGCGGTGGTGGATGGTGAGTGGTCGTGGTGGATGGTGAGTGGCGGTGGTGGATAGTGAGTGGTGGTGGTGGATGGTGAGTGGCGGTGATGGATGGTGAGTGGTGGTGATGGATGGTGAGTGGTCGTGGTGGATGGTGAGTGGTGGTGATGGATGGTGAGTGGTGGTTGTGGATGGTGAGTGGTGGTTGTGGATGGTGAGTGGCGGTGATGGATGGTGAGTGGTGGTTGTGGATGGTGAGTGGTGGTGGTGGATGGTTAGTGGCGGTGGTGGATGGTGAGTGGTGGTGGTGGATGGTGATTGGTGGTTGTGGATGGTGAGTGGTGGTGGCGGATGGTTAGTGGCGGTGGTGGATGGTTAGTGGCGGTGGTGGATGGTTAGTGGCGGCGGTGGATGGTGAGTGGCGGTGGTGGATGGTGAGTGGTCGTGGTGGATGGTGAGTGGTGGTTGTGGATGGTGAGTGGTGGTTGTGGATGGTGAGTGGCGATGATGGATGGTGAGTGGTGGTGATGGATGGTGAGTGGTGGTGATGGATGGTGAGTGGTGGTGGTGGATGGTTAGTGGCGGTGGTGGATGGTGAGTGGTCGTGGTGGATGGTGAGTGGCGGTGGTGGATGGTGAGTGGTGATGGTGGATAGTGAGTGGTGGTGGTGGATGGTGAGTGGCGGTGATGGATCGTGAGTGGTGGTGATGGATGGTGAGTGGTCGTGGTGGATGGTGAGTGGTCGTGGTGGATGGTGAGTGGTGGTGATTGATGGTGAGTGGTGGTGGTGGATGGTGAGTGGTGGTGGTGAATGTTGAGTGGTGGTAATGGATGGTGAGTAGCGGTGGTGGATGGTGAGTGGTGGTGATGGATGGTGAGTGGTGGTGGTGGATGGTTAGTGGCGGTGGTGGATGGTGAGTGGTGGTGATGGATGGTGAGTGGCGGTGGTGGATGGTGAGTGGTCGTGGTGGATGGTGAGTGTTCGTGGTGCATGGTGAGTGGTGGTGATGGATGGTGAGTAGCGGTGATGGATGCTGAGTGGCGGTGATGGATGGTGAGTGGCGGTAGTGGATGGTGAGTGACGAACCACCTGACTGTGATGCCAAATCTCTGCCCTCTCACTGCCTATGAAACGGCCCTGTTGGAGCACACTTGCCCTTCCATGCACTGAGCCTGAGCCCCGAGTGTGATTGGGGCGATGATGACTCACTGTACATGTGTTGGCATGGCAATGTGATGGAAGGGGTTGTTGAGTTTTAGCTCATCCTAGAGGATGCCAGATTTTGGTGCTTTGTTGCATTGCAGCCCCGATGCCTCCCGTGGTTATACTCCCGACCATATCTAGGGAGCAGCAGTATATCAGAAACTGAGAAGTGATAATAGATGGAGTGTACACATAGATATTTCTAAGTGTTGTACTCTCTAAGAGACGACCCTATACAGTCTATACAATCATGACAAATACACATGTTTGACACACCCCCTAGACTGCATAGGGGAATGCTCTAAACAAACAGCTCAGGGCGGCACTACTAGTCCAGCCACTGGGAGAGGACACAAGTCCAGTCTGAGTATACGTATAAAGGACAGTACAAAGTCAAGGTCCTAGCAAGTGAGAGGCTACAGGATATCAGCCGTATTGGCACCTGAGGCCAAGTGTACTACGCGAGCCTGACGTTGCTGCTGTAGCTCACGCAGGAGGAAGTACCGCAGCTGAATGTGCTTTGCTCTGCCCTCGAGTCGAGGCTCCTGACTCAGGAGGATCATGGCCCTGTTGTCAGCGAACAGGACCGGGGCAGAGCTAGGCCGTTCACCTAAGTCGGTGAGCAAGAAGGTCAGCCAGCGGAGCTCCTGTGCCGCCATGGCACCAGTGTAGATCTCAGCCTCACAGCTGGACTGGGCAACAGACGAGGAGCGGGTAGCTCTCCACGAGACGGAACCTGAACCAAGGCTGAAGCAGTAGCTCTGGGTAGACCTGAGTGTCTCAGCGTCGTCTGCCCACGAAGCGTCAGTGTGTCCAGTAAGGACCACTGGCCTGCGTCCTCCTAGCACTAACCCCATGCCCGATGTACTAGCAAGATAACGCAGAACCCTCTTAGCGGCAGACCAGTGCTGCGGTCGGTGCCTGCCTGTGGCCACAAAGCGAGCCAGGATGCTGAGAGGGTATGCGAGATCTGGGCGAGTGCAAGTCATCAGGTACATGAGGCAACCCACCAGCTCTGCGTAGGGGCCGCTGGGCTCTACCAACTCCTCAGACACTGGAGCGGAGAGTCTGTGGTCTACAGGCAGAGGGGTGGGCTGTGCAGAGGAGAACTGAAGGCTGAACCTCTGAAGGACCTGGCGCACCAAGTGTGACTGAGTCAGGGTGATGGTGCGCGCAGCTCTGTCCCTGGAGATCTGCAAGCCAAGGTAACGGCGCAGTTCTCCAAGGTCAGTGCACGTGTGTCTCTTCAGCAGCTCTGCCTTCACGGAGGCCAGTGTGTCCCTGTCAGCTGTGGCAAAGACCAGGTCGTCGACGTAAACAAGGATGTAGAACGGAGTCTGGCCAGCACGAACGAAGAGTGAAGGGTCTGCGGAAGACGGAAAGAACTGCAGGTCAGCAAGCGTAGCACGGAGAGTGTCGTGCCACTCACGGGGAGCCTGGCGCAGGCCGTAGACGGGGCGCCGCAGGAGCCACTGGGTCCCAGGAGGGAAGGTGCCAGTGAAGCCCTGAGGGCGCCGCAGGTAGACCTGCTCGTGTAGGCTGCCCTGAAGGAAGGCAGTGGAGAAGTCGAGGGAGTGAAGCTCGTAGTCACGCTGAGCAGCTAGGTGTAACAGAACCCGAAGAGAAGTCATCTTCGGGGTCTGAGCGAAGGTCTGGAAGAAGTCCACCCCCTCGCGCTGACTGAAGCCTCTAGCCACATAGCGCGCCTTGAAGACAGGCGGCTCTCCAGGAGGGCGCTTCACCTTGAAGAGCCAGCGGCCATCGACTACGTTCACCCCAGGTGGGGGAACTGCGTCGACGAAGGTGCCGGTGGATCTCCAAGATGCCATCTCCTGCTCCATGGCAGCTATCCATTGCGAGGCCCAGGGTCCCGAAGTCGCCTCAGCGTAAGTGCGAGGGGTCGGGATGTCGAAAGCGTCTGGGTCACCCTCAGGGACTAGCAGCATGGTACAGAGATGGGGAGCAGCCTCGGAGAGGAAAGCAAGCTCGAACTGGCGGTCCTCCAGGACGTCACTGCCAAGGGCAGGAGCACCCCCGACAGACGGAGGACAGGCAGGGTCAGAGACCAGAGCGGAGGCGTAGTCAAGGCGGCGGGTAGAGGCGAAGTCAGCGACAGCAGCGACAAGAGCGTCAAGGCACGAGGTCGGAACAGACGGGTCAGTAACGAGAGAGGCAAGGACCCGAGGAACAAGGGGACGAGCGGCACGAAGGTAGTCAGACAGCGGGGGGGGGTGCAACAACAAGGGAGGACGGAGGAGGCGACGGGAGAAGGGGAGGACGAGACGCGTGGGAACGAAGCAACATAGGGTGGGAGCGCAAGACAGGCGAGGCAGGACGAGCGCGGGAGGGACGGTGAGACCAGACGTGCGACGGAGGAGTCGGGTCAGGAGACAGAGGAGGGGACACAGGAGGGGAACGAGGGGGGAGACGGGCCGGGGACGAGTCCGACGGAGGGAAGACAGGGCCGTAGACAGGAAGAGGAGGAGACGGCCGGGGAGGAACCGACGCAGGGTCGGGGGACGGAAGGCCGAGCAGGCGAAGGGCTGACACCGGCGGGGACTGCTGCTGCGGCGGCACAACGGCGACACCGGGACCGCAAGCTGCTCCTCGGCTACCACCGGCACTCTCCACACCAGCACCCCCAGAGGGACCACCCCCAGAGCTACCGGGACGAGCACCCCCAAAGTCAGCGAACGGGTGCTGCGACGGCGGCGGCGGCGGCGGCGGCGGCAGCGACAACGACGGCTGCAGCGGCGGCAGGGGCGGTGGAGGGGGGGACTGGGGAGGGGACGCTGGGTGAGGGGCGACCGGCGAGGACTGAACAGGAGGGCCACCAGAGTCAGAAGACTCCTCAACCGGGTCCACCGACGGAAGGGGGGTGACGTGGGACACACCAGAGGGGGCGGGACGGGGAGGAGGAGGAGGAGGGGCAGGGACTACCGGGGAAGGAGTGACCAGGAACAGGGGGGGGGTAACCGGGGGACCACGGTGGGGGAAGCGACGGTAGTAGGAGACGGACTCGTCAAAGGTGACGTCACGAGAGTGAAAGAAGCGGTGAGACGGCGGGTGGTAAAAGTGCCAGTCGGACGCGTCAAGGGGAAAACCGAGGAAGACGCAGGGAAGGGTGCGGGCAGTGAGCTTGTCCGTGCCGGAGGCACGGACGTGAGCAAGGCAGCCCCAGACGTGGAACGCAGACGCGTCACCAGGAGACCCAGTCCAATGACGGGTCGGCGAAACCTGCGGCTGCTGAGGGTGCGGCCACAGGTTAAGCTGGTGAGAAGCGTAGCGCACAGCGAACGGCCACAGAAAATGGGGTGCACCGGCATGGATCATGGAGGTGCGAGCCACCTCCATGACCAAACCGATGCGTCGCTCAGCGACCCCATTCTGCTGCGGGGAGTCCGGCAAGGTGAACGTCTGGGTGATGCCCTCCGCACGACAAAAGCGACCAAGGACACCTGAGGCAAACTCGCCACCGCGGTCTGAGTGAAGACGCAAGACAGGGAGACCGCGGTGGACACGCGCAGAGACAAGCCAGGGGATGAGAGCGCCAGGCACGTCGACCTTGCGCTCCAGGGGAAAGACTGTGGTGTAGCGTGTGAAGTCGTCGACAAGCACAAGGAAGTAGCGCTCTCGACGCGGCCCAGGGACGGGGGCGGGGCCCCAGACGTCCAGGTGCAGGGTCTGCAGCGGCGCGGCGGTAGGGGGAAACGAGGAGGAGTGCGGGGCACGGCGAAGCCGACCCTCAACACAAGGCGTGCAAGGTGGGGCTGGGGAGGAGGGAAACGCGGGGAGGGAACCTGGGAGACCAAGGACAAGACCGTGCTGGGACATGTGACGCAGACGCGGGAGCGCAGGGTGACCTAGGCGGTGGTGCCAAAGGAGAGTCGGGTGAGTGAGGGACCGACAGGAGCAGGCAGCAGCAACCTGGGTAGACGCAGCCACCTGAGGAGGCGCCCCAGCCGGGGGGGTCACGGTGTCTAGAGTGAACAGGCCGGACACCGGGTCCCGGGGGAACGTGGACAGGGGGGCACCAGTGGCGGCCTTGGTACAGACAGCATACCGCTCGTGACCAGGGAACGTAGTGGTGACGCCAAGGTCCTGGAGGCAGCCGACACCAACTAGGTTCCTGGAGAACGAGGGGATATGCAGACCTGTGAGAGAGCCCGAAGGAACCGCCGGACAGGGAAGGGTGGTGGAACTGCGGGCGACGACCGGACCGCCGGAGGGGTCAGCAAGAGAGACGGCAGCTGGGACAGGAAGCGGCGTCAGGGTGGTGGAGTCGCGGAAGAAACACCGAGAAGCGCCAGAGTCCAAGGTGAAGGAAAGCGAAGCAGAGGCGTCGGGCAACGGAACGACGACGGAAGCACCAAGACTACACAAAGCAGGGGATCCTACGCCTGACGCAGCAGGGGAGGCTAAGCTAGGCACACCTACACTAGGCAACAGTGAGTAATAGGCGGGAAGCACACTAGAGTCATCAGCATACATCACATGCACAGCAGCAACAATGGCATCCATGTCCATATCAAAAATCTGAATCTTACGACTAAGCAAACTGTGCCAGTCCGGGAGGTCTGGCGACGGGCCGAAGCGCTGACGAAAGAGGTCGTCCAGGCGACGAAAACAGCGGGGAGTGGAGTGACCGAGCCTACCGCAAACAAAGCCGTGGCGAGGACCGGTCTGGATCTGGTACTGACAACGCCCGCCACCAGAGCCACCACTCGGCACACCACCACGCGCCCGGCCACCGCCAGCGCCGGGCCACCCGGGCGGGAGGACACTCATCTGCCGCGTCTGCGACGGCTGCTGCGGCTGCTGCGAAGGCTGCAACTGCGGCGGCTGCTGCGGCTGCTGCAACTGCAGGGGCGGCGGCTCAGCTGGACTGGGCAGGGTCCCCTCGTCCGCTCCAGCACCAGACGACCCAACCCCACCACTACCCCCTCCCGCACCCCCGCCGCCGCCGCCGCCGCGCCCAACCTTGGGGCGGCGGCCCTTCCCCGAACGAAACTGCGCTGCAGCAGCAGTCTGAGCCACTGCGGCAGAGCCGTCGGAGAAGGTACACTGGGCGGGGGCACAACCCTGAAAGATAGGGACCGGCACGACACCGCTCGCCTGGGCGATGGAGCGGTGACGGGTCTCTATCACAGTCAGGGTGTCGACAAAGTCAGTGAGGGTGAGGTCGGCGGGGTGAATGCTAAGGAAGCGGTCGCGGGCGACAGCAAGGCGGTCAGGGAGGCGGGTGGCAAGCAGGTAGAGGGTAGAGGTAATGGGCGGCTGGTGTGCTCTAAGCTGTGCATCAGTGCAGGCTGCACGCCAGGTCTCATCTATCGAGCGCAGGTGGGCAGCGAGGTCAGGGACAGTGGGGAAAGACGCAAGGTCAGGAAAGAGCATCGGGAGGATCAGGCGACCCACCGAGGCAGCCGGAGGGGTGGAATAGCGCTGGATGACAGCATCTAAGTATGCCTGAGCAGTAGTGAGAGACCTAAAGCGAGGGCGCTCGGACGGGGGAAGGGCGTTGCTGATGGCAAGCTGGGCGACAGCATCGCGAGAAAGCCAGACAGAGCACGCACGGGCAGTGGCAGCAGTGGACTCGCGCTCAGTGGGTGTGGAGTCAGCGGGCAGAATTGCAGGGGGGCTGGGCAGGGGAGCGTACCGTCAAGGTGTGCGGAAAGCGGTTCACCATCCTGCCGCTGGCCAGTGAGTTGGCGACGGAGGTCGGCAAGCCACGCCTCAAACTCCAGAGGCTGGCCTTCAGCGTCGAAGCGAAGCTCCGCCGCCATCAGGAACAGTGCAGTGCAATGCAGGGCAGTGCAGCAAGGTGGAGTGCGGTGCCGTGCGGTACAGTGCGATGCAGTGCGGTGCAGTGCGGTGTAGGGCGGTGCAGTGCGGTGTAAGGCAGTACAGGGTGGTGCGGGGCAGTGCAGTGCGGGGCAGTACGGTGCAGGGCAGTGCAGGGCGGGGGGGGGGGGGGGGGGGGGGGGGGAACCGTACCAGTGAGGAGGACCGAGGCCGGGGCAGGGACGAGCGCAGGGGCCGGGCCAGTGCAACGGGGCCGGGCGGGCGCGACGGGGCCGGGCGGGCGCGACGGGGCCGGGCTGGTGCGACGGGGCCGGGCCGGTGCGACGGTGCCGGGCCGGTGCGACGAGGCCGGGCGAGCAGGACGGTGGCCCAGGAGGGGCGCACCGGGGCTGTGCGGGCGCGACGGGGCCGGACGGGTGCGACGGGGCCGGGCGGCTGCGACGGGGCCGGGCAGGGGGCGACGGGGCCGGGCGAGTGCAACGGGGCCGGGCGGGTGTGATGGGGCCGGGCTGGTGCGACGGGGCCGGGCTGGTGCGACGGGGCCGGGCTGGGGCGACGGGGCCGGGCGAGCGCGACGGGGCCTGAAGGCGTGACGGGGCCCAGGAGGGGGGGGGCTCGACGCGGCCCAGGAGGGGCGCTACTGGGCCCAGGAGGGGCACGACGGGGGGCCCAGGAGGGGCGCTACAGGGGCCCAGGAGGGGCGCGACGGGGCCCAGGAGGGGTGCTACGAAGCCCAGGAGGGGCGCGACGGGGCCCAGGAGGGGCGCTACGAAGCCCAGGAGGGGCGCGACGGGGCCCAGGAGGGGCGCTACGAAGCCCAGGAGGGGCGCGACAAGGCCCAGGAGGGGCGCTACGGGGCCTAGGAGAGGCGCGACGGGGCCTGGGAGGGGCGCGACGGGGCCCAGGAGGGGCGCTACAGGGCCCAGGGAGGGCGCGACGGGGCCCAGGAGGGGCGCTACGGGGCCCAGGAGGGGCGCGACGGGGCCCAGGAGGGGCGCTACGAAGCCCAGGAGGGGCGCGACGGGGCCTGGGAGGGGCGCGACGGGGCCCAGGAGGGGCGCTACAGGGCCCAGGAAGGGCGCGACGGGGCCCAGGAGGGGCGCTACGGGGCCTAGGAGGGGCGCGACGGGGCCCAGGAGGGGCGCTACGGGGCCCAGGAGGAGCACGACGGGGCCCATGAGGGGCGCTACGGAGCCCAGGAGGGGCGCGACGAGGCCCAGGAGGGGCGCTACAGGGCCTAGGAGGGGCGCGACGTGGCCTGGGAGGGGCGCGACGGGGCCCAGTGAGGGGTGCGACGGGGCCCAGGAGGGGCGCTAGAGGGGTGAGCGGAAGCGGTAGGTGGGGGGGGGGGGGATCCTACCTACGCGTGATACCATATCAGAAACAGAGAAGTGATAATAGATGGAGTGTACACACAGATATATCTAAGTGTTGTACTCTCTAAGAGACGACCCTATACAGTCTATACAATCATGACAAATACACATGTTTGACACAGTAACATTACCAGCAAGGAGCCATGGAAGTTGTGGGTTTGGGAGCATGACAGCATGAAAGCAGTACGGTACCGAGTTTGATATGCTGAATCTAGAATCCTGGGGCTACGGTAGAAGCATGCTATTATTTCAAGTTTGATTATTGGCACAAGCCTATGCTTTCTGGAACACACGCGTTGTGTTTTTCAGGTTGTAATGCATTATGAGAAGGATTCAGACTAACTTGACTGGTTATGAGACGAAGCTACACTGTCGCTTTTCAGCTTACGTTCGCAACTTTCGCCCTGTCGGCTGGGTTCCTCTCCGTCCCTCGCCTCCCCGCCGGGCACCCCCTCCCTTCATTCCTCCCTTCTCCGCTGGCCACTCTCACGACAATCCCTATGTCCCTGGTCATATGGCCTTATCTCGAGCTAGTCTAGCGACAGAAGCGCGTTAGGTCTGTCTCGCCCCTCTTTCTTTTAGCGTAGTCCACTCGTCGTACCCTGCTGTCCGTTTCGCGAGTTAGCCGTAATTTTTTCCGCGCCAGTCTCCCTAGCTTCACGTAGCGGGCCAGCGGCATGCCCTGCGCCGTTTGCTCCACGTGGCCTCGATGACGTGGCGTCGGGACACGTGGTTCGTTATTACGACGAAAATGCGCCGCTCGAGCCCGATCCGCAATACTAACCCGGCTTTCTTTCCCATGGCGGCCCTTCCTGTAGTCACCCCTAATTGCCTCATTCTGACCTCAGCGGCGCATGCAGTGTTCCTTATTGCATTAATCCTTAATCCCCTCACCCTTCACGCGTGCGCCGACGCCGATCGCGAGAGATTGACAGCCCGTGCCGGCCAATTAGAGACGCTTAGGGCCGGCAGTGACGACTGGCGGAAGGAGCAACTTTTTGACGGCGATCGCGATTCCGACTTGGTGTCGCTCTCGCCGCCACTGCACGGTGCTGCAACTTCCACCTCGATCGCAGGAGTGCGCGCATTTCACGCGAGTGCATTAGGCGATATCACGACCAAAATTCACGGTAGCAGCAGGAGCGATCTTAGCGGTATTAGCAGCAGCAGCAGCAGCAGGAGCGAGGTTAGGAGCAGCGGCAAGCCGCAGTGGCCGAACCGGCCGCACGTGTTCGACCTGGCGGACTTCGGCGGCGTGGGCGACGGCGCGACGGACAACACGCGCGCGCTGCAGAACGCCGTGTACGCCGTCAGCACCGTCGCCGACAAGGGCGGCGGGCAGCTGTACGTGCCGCCGGGTGTGTACCGCACGGGCAGCGTCAACCTCACGAGCGCCATGACGCTGTTTCTTGCGCGAGGCGCCACCATCCTCGGCAACCCGGTAGGTGGTGGGGTGTGGTGCATGCGGGGCATGTGGGGCACGTGGGGCATGCGGGGCAAGGTACGCATGGAGGTGCGTGCGTGGCGCGTCTGGTGCTTCATTCATGCCGCGACCAGGCGTGCGCGGAAGCACTGGCATCTCATTGCTTCTTGAACCCCTCCTCACACCCCCTTCCCTTGACGCCTGCACGCCTGCACGCCTGCACGCCTGCACGCCTGCACGCCTGCACGCCTGCATGGCTGCATGGCTGCATGGCTGCATGGCTGCATGGCTGCATGGCTGCATGGCTGCATGGCTGCATGACTGCATGGCTGCATGACCACATGGCTGCATGGCTGCAGGACCCAGCGCTATGGCCGGTGATTCCCCCTCTGCCGTCGTACGGGCGGGGCCGGGAGATGCCTGGGCCGCGCTACAGCAGCCTGCTGCACTGCCACAACCTCACGGACGTCGTCATCACAGGTGCACGCATGGGCTTGCGCATGTGACTGTAGGGAAGCCCGCTCAATGCGTCAACTACTACTGCAATCACCCGCACCAATGCTGATTCTAAGATTGGTGTCCCGCCTTTCACTTTATCCTGCTCTGCCCTCCTCCCCCACCCGCCCCTGCAGGCGACAACGGCGTGGTGGACGGCGCGGGCGCGGCGTGGTGGCAGATGAAGCGCGCGGGGGTGCTGAAGCACTCAAGGGGGGCGCTCATAGAGGCCATGTGGACCTCGGGAGTCACCGTCGCCAATGTCACTCTCAGAGATGCGCCGGCGTGGGCGCTGCACCCCGTGTACTGCGAGTCAGTGCCCTGTCGCCCTCCCTCCCTGCTCCTCACGCTCACACGCTCCCTCCTTTACAGTTCTCCCTGCTGCGTGGACCCAATCCTTGCACCATACTGCTGTACCTCTTTGAGCATCCCCACCTCCGCATGAACCCATGCTCTCTCCAACCCATGCTCTCCCTGCCACGTGCATGTCTCTGCCGTCCTACCTGGCCGTCCACCCCGACCCCCAGCCACCTGCACTCGCCAGCGCCTGCCAATGTGCCTCCCCCCTGTCCTGACACGCCACATGTGCCTCTGTGCCGCGTTTGTCCACGGGCAGCCATGTGCAGGTATCCAATGTGACTATAACGGCGCCTCCAGATTCGCCCAACACCATTGGGATCGTCATCGGTAAGTCTCCTCAATCCTCCTCCTCCCCCCTGCCGTTCTCACCCTTCATCATTCGCTTGGGTATGCCAATTCCTTCTCGATGCACCTCACAGCACACACACGGCCACAACGTGATTCCACCCTCCAATGCATGCCAATGCATCGTCCCGACTCCCCCACCCCTTCACTCCACCCCGTGCCTCTCTGCTCCCCACAGACTCCAGCGAGGACGTGCTTATAGAGGGTGTGACAGTATTAACTGGAGGTGGCGGCATCAGCATAAAGAGCGGGTGGGACGAGTACGGGCTGGCCTTTGCGCGCCCCACCCACGCAGTCACCATCCAGGACAGCCACATCGAGTCGCCCCTCGCCACCGCCCTCTCCATCGGCAGTGAGATGTCGGGCGGCGTGCACGCGCTGCGCTGCCGCCACGTGTCCATCGCCCACTCGCGCGCCGCCTTCCACCTGCGCACCGCGCCCGGCCGCGGGGGGTACATCCGAGACGTGCTCCTGGAGGACGTGACTATGCTGAATGTGACTGTGGCGCTGGCCTTCCTGCCCACGTGCCGCAGCCACCCCGACGACCACTTTGACCCCGCCGCGCTGCCCCGCGTGTCCAACATCTCCTTTGCCTCCATCTCCGGCTCCCTCATCTCCGAAGCTGGGCGGCTCATCGGCCTGGCTGCAGCCCCGTTCACAGACGTTTCGTTATCGGATGTAAACCTGCAGCTGGTGGAGGGGGGCAAGGGGTTTAGCTGCCAGCATGTGGACGGGCACGCGAGGAACGTGTCTCCTGCCATCTGCCCTGAGCTGTCCGCTATAGAGGCAGGCCCGCTAGAGTGTGGAGGATGCTCTTCGTTCAGGGGGCTTGGTGAACGGTGACGGGGAGGGTAGACTTAAGGCTAGTGGTACACTGTAAAGACACCCATGGAGTTACTTCGACGGTAGTGGCTGTAATGAGTGGGTGGTCTGTCCGCGTGTAGCTGAAGCAGGGGGTCGTAACACCTCGTTATGGCTACCCCCCTTGCATGCAGGTACTGCATTCATCAATACGCCAGTCTAATATGCTGACAAAACATCTCGCCATGTGTAGACCAGGGTTTCAGCTAGGATTTAGGGCTGTCTGAAAATCAGACGGGTTTCCAAGGTTTTTTGACCATCAGACGAACATTTCAAGGAGTCTGAGATTTCAGACGAATTTTTCCCGTGAGTCTGAACATTCAGACGAAAAAATTGCCGCAAGAAACTTCGCCACTTGCAATTTAGACTTCAGTTTTTCTGTTACCTTATTTCCTGCGGAGAGCCTGTTCCTCCGAACTTCTTCTTCCCAGACTTGGACCCGCCTACGAGCACGTTCGAAGGTTCCTTGTCAAGCAGAAATTGTTTCAGTTGTCAAACATGTCTATTTGTTATGTTTGTATAGACTGTATAGGGTAGCCTCTTAGAGGGTACAACACTTAGCTATATTGTGTGTACTCTCCCTCTATCACTATCATTCAATTTTTTGATATGGTATCACGCGTAGGTAGGATCCCCCCCCCCCCCACCTACCGCTTCCGCTCATGCCCCCTAGCGCCCCTCCTGGGCCCCGTCGCGCTCCTCCCAGGCCCCGTAGCGCCCCTCCTAGGCCTCGTAGCGCCCCTCCTGGACCCTGTACCGCCCTCCCAGGCCCCGTCGCGCCCCTCCCAGGCCCTCTAGCGCCCCTCCTGGGCCCCGTCGCGCTCCTCCCAGGCCCCGTAGCGCCCCGTCGCGCCCCTCCTGGGCCCCGTAGCGCCCCTCCTGGGCCTCGTCGCGCCCCTCCTGGGCTTCGTAGCGCCCCTCCTGGACCCTGTAACGCCCTCCCAGGCCCAGTCGCGCCCCTCCCAGGCCCCGTCGCGCTCCTCCCAGGCCCCCTAGCGCCCCTCCTGGGCCCCGTCGCGCTCCTCCCAGGCCTCGTCGCGCCCCTCCTGGGCTCTGTCGCGCCCCTCCTGGGCCCCGTCGCGCTCCTTCCAGGCCCCGTAGCGCCCCTCCTGGGCTCTGTCGCGCCCCTCCTGGGCTCCGTAGCGCCCCTCCTGGGCCCCGTTGCGCCCCTCCTGGGCCCCGTAGCGCCCCTCCTGGGCCCCGTCGCGCCCTCCTTGGGCCCTATAGCGCCCCTCCTGGGCCCCGTCGCGCCCCTCCCAGGCCCCGTCGCGCCCCTCCCAGGCCCCGTAGCGCCCCTCCTGGGCCTCGTCGCGCCTCTCCTGGGCCCCCCGTCGTGCCCCTCCTGGGCCCCGTAGCGCCCCTCCTGGGCCGCGTCGTACCCGTCGCCGCCGCCCGGCCCCGTCGTGCCCGCCCGGCGCCGTCGCCGCCGCCCGGCCCCGTCGCGCCCGCCCGGCGCCGTCGCTGCCGCCCGGCCCCGTCGCGCCCGCCCGGCGCCGTCGCACCCTGCCCGGCCCGTCGCGCTCGCCCGGCCCCGTCGCAGCCGCCCGGCCCCGTCGCACCCGCCCGGCCCCGTCGCACCCTGCCCGGCCTCGTCACAGCCGCCCGGCCCCGTCGCACCAGCCCGGCCGCCGTCCCGCTCGCCCGGCCCCGTCGCACCGGGCCGGCCCTGCCGCACTCGCCCGGCCCCGTCGCCCCAGCCCGGCCCCGTCGCGCCCGCTCGGCCCCGTCGCCCTGTCCCGGCCCTGTCGCATCAGCCCGGCCCCGTCGCGCCCGCCCGGCCCCGTCGGGCCAGCCCCGGCCCCGTCCTCCTCACTGGTACGGTTCCCCCCCCCCCCCCCCCCCCCCCCCCCCCCACCCCGCCCTGCCCCGTGCCGCCCTGCACCGCACTGCACCGCACAGTACCGCACTGCACCGCACTGCACCGCACTGTACCGCACAGTACCGCACTGCACCGCACTGCACTGCACTGTATCGCACTGCACCGCACTGCACCACACTGCACCGCCCTGCACAGCACTGGACTGTTCCTGATGGCGGCGGAGCTTCGCTTCGACGCTGAAGGTCAGCCCCTAGAGTTCGAGGCGTGGCTTGCCGACCTCCGCCGCCAACTCACTGGCCAGCGGCAGGATGGTGAACCGCTTTCCGCACACCTTGACGGTACGCTCCCCTGCCCAGACCCTCCTGCTATTCTGCCCGCTGACCCCACACCCACTGAGCGTGAGTCTACTGCTGCCACTGCCCGTGCGCGCTCTGTCTGGCTTTCTCGCGATGCTGTCGCCCAGCTTGCCATTAGCAACGCCCTCCCCCCGTCCGAGCGTCCTCGCTTTAGGTCCCTCACTACTGCTCAGGCATACTTAGATGCTGTCATCAAGCGCTATTCCACCCCTCCGGCTGCCTCGGTGGGTCGCCTGATCCTCCCGCTGCTCTTTCCTGACCTTGCTTCGTTCCCCACTGTCTCTGACCTCGCTGCCCACCTGCGCTCGATAGAGGAGACCTGGCGCGCCGCCTGCACTGACGCACAGCTTAGAGCCCACCAGCCGCCCATTACCTCTACCCTCTACCTGCTTGCCACCCGCCTCCCTGACCGCCTTGCTGTCGCCCGCGACCGCTTCCTTAGTGTTCACCCCGCAGACCTCACCCTCACTGACTTTGTCGACACCCTGACTGTGATAGAGACCCGTCACCGCTCCATCGCCCAGGCGAGCGGTGTCGTGCCGGTCCCTATCTTTCAGGGTTGTGCCCCTGCTCAGTGTACCTTCTCCGACGGCTCTGCCGCAGTGGCTGAGACTGCTGCTGCAGCGCAGGCCCGTTCGGGGAAGGGCCGCCGCCCCAAGGCTGGGCGCGGCGGAGGGGGCGGCGGGGGTGCGGGCGGGGGTAGTGGTGGGGTCGGGTCGCCTGGTGCTGGAGCGGACGAGGGGACCCTGCCCAGTCCAGCTGAGTCGCCGCCCCTGCAGTTGCAGCAGCCGCCGCAGTCGCAGCCTTCGCAGCAGCCGCAGCAGCCGTCGCAGACGCGGCAGACGAGTGTTCTCCCGCCAGGGTGGCCCGGCGCTGGCGGTGGACGGGCGCGTGGTGGTGTGCCGCGTGGTGGCTCTGCCGGCGGGCGTTGTCAGTACCAGATCCAGACCGGTCCTCGCCGCGGTTTCGTTTGCGGTAAGATCGGTCACTCCACTCCCCGCTGCTTTCGTCGCCTGGACGACCTCTTTCGTCAGCGTTTCGGCCCGTTGCCAGACCTCCCGGACTGGCACAGTTTGCTTAGTCGTCAGATTCAGATCTTTGATATGGACATGGATGCCATTGTTTCTGCTCTGCATGTGATGTATGCTGATGACTCTAGTGTGCTTCCGACTTATTACTCATTGTTGCCTAGTGTAGGTGTGCCTAGATTAGCCTCCCCTGCTGCGTCAGGCATATGATCCCCTGCTTTGTGTAGTCTTGGTGCTTCCGCCGTCGTTCCGTCGCCAGACCCCTCGGCTTCGCTTTCCTTCACCTTGGACTCTGGCGCCTCTCGGTGTTTCTTCCGCGACTCCACCACCCTGACGCCGCTTCCTGTTCCTGTTGCCGTTTCTCTTGCTGACCCCTCCGGCGGTCCGGTAGTCGCCCGCAGTTCCACCACCCTTCCCTGTCCGGCGGTTCCTTCGGGCTCTCTTACAGGTCTGCATATCCCCTCGTTCTCCAGGAACCTAGTTGGTGTCGGCTGCCTCCAGGACCTTGGCGTCACCACTACGTTCCCTGGTCACGAGCGGTATGCTGTCTGTACCGAGGCCGCCACTGGTGCCCCCCTGTCCACGTTCCCTCGGGACCCGGTGTCCGGCCTGTTCACTCTGGACACCGTGCCCCCCCCGGCTGGAGCGCCCCCTCAGGTGGCTGTGTCTACCCAGGTTGCTGCTGCCTGCTCCTGTCGCTCCCTCACTCACCCGACCCTCCTGTGGCACCACCGCCTAGGTCACCCTGCGCTCCCGCGTCTGCGTCACATGTCCCAGCACGGTCTTGTCCTTGGTCTCCCAGGTTCACTCCCCGCGTTTCCCTCCTCCCCAGCTCCACCTTGCACGCCTTGTGTCGAGGGTCGGCTTCGCCGTGCCCCTCACTCCTCCTCGTTCCCCCCTACCGCCGCGCCGCTGCAGACCCTGCACCTGGACGTCTGGGGCCCCGCCCCCGTCCCTGGGCCGCGTCGCGAGCGCTACTTCCTTGTGCTTGTCGACGACTTCACTCGTTACACCACAGTCTTTCCCCTGGAGCGCAAGGCCGACGTGCCTGGCGCCCTCATCCCCTGGCTTGTCTCTGCGCGTGTCCACCGCGGTCTCCCTGTCTTGCGTCTTCACTCAGACCGTGGTGGCGAGTTTGCCTCAGGTGTCCTTGGTCGCTTTTGTCGTGCGGAGGGCATCACACAGACGTTCACCCTACCGGACTCCCCACAGCAGAATGGGGTCGCTGAGCGACGCATCGGCTTGGTCATGGAGGTCGCTCGCACCTCCATGGTCCATGCCGGTGCACCCCATTTTCTGTGGCCGTTCGCTGTGCGCTACGCTTCTCACCAGCTTAACCTGTGGCCACACCCTCAGCAGCCGCAGGTTTCGCCGACCCGTCTGTGGACTGGGTCTCCTGGTGACGCGTCTGCGTTCCACGTCTGGGGCTGCCTTGCTCACGCCCGTGCCTCCGGCACGGACAAGCTCACTGCCCGCACCCTTCCCTGCGTCTTCCTCGGTTTTCCCCTTGACGCGTCCGACTGGCACTTTTACCACCCGCCGTCTCACCGCTTCTTTCACTCTCGTGACGTCACCTTTGACGAGTCCGTCTCCTACTACCGCCGCTTCCCCCACCGTGGTCCCCCGGTTACCCCCCCCCTGTTCCTGGTCACCCCTTCCCCGTTAGTCCCTGCCCCTCCTCCTCCTCCTCCCCGTCCCGCCCCCTCTGGTGTCTCCCATGTCACCCCCCTTCCGTCCGTGGACCCGGTTGAGGAGTCTTCTGACTCTGGTGGCCCTCCGGTGCAGTCCTCGCCGGCCGCCCCTCCCCAGGTGTCCCCTCCCCAGTCCCCTCCTGCGCCGTCCCTGCCGCCACTGCAGCCGTCGCCGTCGCCGCCGCCGCCGCAGTCGCAGCCCCCGTTCGCTGACTCTGGGGGTGCTCGTCCCGGTCGCCCTGAGGGTGGTCCCTCTGGGGGTGCGGGTGTGGAGAGTGCCGGTGGTAGCCGAGGAGCAGCTTGCGGTCCAGGTGTCGTCGTTGTGCCGCCGCAGCAGCAGTCCCCGCCGGTGTCCGCCCTTCGCCTGCTCGGCCTTCCGTCCCCCGACCCTGCGTCGGTTCCTCCCCGACCGTCTCCTCCTCTTCCTGTCTACGGCCCTGTTTTCCCTCCGCCGGACTCGTCCCCGGCCCGTCTCCCCCCTCGTTCCCCTCCTGTGTCCCCTCCCCTGTCTCCTGACCCGACTCCTCCATCGCACGTCTGGTCTCACCGTCCCTCCCGTGCTCGTCCTGCCTCGCCTGTCCTGCGCTCCCACCCTATGTTGCTTCGTTCACACGCGTCTCGTCCTCCCCTTCTGCCGTCGCCTCCTCCGTCCTCCCTTGTTGTTGCGCCCCCCCCGCTGTCCGACTACCTTCGTGCCGCTCGTCCTCTCGTTCCTCGGGTCCTTGCCTCTCTCGTTACCGACCCGTCTGTTCCAGTCTCGTGCCTTGACGCTCTTGTCGCTGCTGTCGCTGACTTCGCCTCTACCCGCCGCCTTGACTACGCCACCGCTCTGGTCTCTGACCCTGCCTGTCCTCCGTCTGTCGGGGGTGCTCCTGCCCTTGGCAGTGACGTCCTGGAGGACCGCCAGTTCGAGCTTGCTTTCCTCTCCGAGGCTGCTCCCCATCTCTGTTCCATGCTGCTAGTCCCTGAGGGTGACCCAGACGCTTTCGACATCCCGACCCTTCGCACTTACGCTGAGGCGACTTCGGGACCCTGGGCCTCGCAGTGGATAGCTGCCATGGAGCAGGAGATGGCATCTTGGAGATCCACCGGCACCTTCGTCGACGCAGTTCCCCCACCTGGGGTGAACGTAGTCGATGGCCGCTGGCTCTTCAAGGTGAAGCGCCCTCCTGGAGAGCCGCCTGTCTTCAAGGCGCGCTATGTGGCTAGAGGCTTCAGTCAGCGCGAGGGGGTGGACTTCTTCCAGACTTTCGCTCCGACCCCGAAGATGACTACTCTTCGGGTTCTGTTACACCTAGCTGCTCAGCGTGACTACGAGCTTCACTCTCTCGAATTCTCCACTGCCTTCCTTCAGGGCAGCCTACACGAGCAGGTCTACCTGCGCCGCCCTCCGGGCTTTACTGGCACCTTCCCTCCTGGGACCCAGTGGCTCCTGCGGCGCCCCGTCTACGGCCTGCGCCAGGCTCCCCGTGAGTGGCACGACACTCTGCGTGCTACGCTTGCTGACCTGTAGTTCTTTCCGTCTTCTGCAGACCCTTCACTCTTCGTTTGTGCTGGCCAGACTCCGTTCTACATCCTCGTCTACGTCGACGACCTGGTCTTTGCCACAGCAGACAGGGACGCGCTGGCCTCCGTGAAGGCAGAGCTGCTGAAGAGACACACCTGCACTGACCTTGGAGAACTGCGCCGTTACCTTGGCTTGCAGATCTCCAGGGACAGAGCTGCGCGCACCATCACCCTGACTCAGTCACACTTGGTGCGCCAGGTCCTTCAGAGGTTCAGCCTTCAGTTCTCCTCTGCACAGCCCACCCCTCTTCCTGTAGACCACAGGCTCTCCGCTCCAGTGCCTGAGGAGTTGGTAGAGCCCAGCGGCCCCTACGCAGAGCTGGTGGGTTGCCTCATGTACCTGATGACTTGCACTCGCCCAGATCTCGCATACCCTCTCAGCATCCTGGCTCGCTTTGTGGCCACAGGCAGACACCGACCGCAGCACTGGTCTGCCGCTAAGAGGGTTCTGCGTTATCTTGCTAGTACATCGGGCATGGGGTTAGTGCTAGGAGGACGCATGCCAGCGGTCCTTACTGGGCACACAGACGCTTCGTGGGCAGACGACGCTGAGACACTCCGGTCTACCCAGGGCTACTGCTTCAGCCTTGGCTCAGGTGCCGTCTCGTGGAGAGCTACTCGCTCCTCGTCTGTTGCACAGTCCAGCTGTGAGGCTGAGATCTACGCCGGTGCCATGGCGGCTCAGGAGCTCCGCTGGCTGACCTTCTTGCTCACTGACTTAGGTGAGCGACCTAGCTCTGCCCCGGTCCTGTTCGCTGACAACAGGGCCATGATCCTCCTGTGTCAGGAGCCTCGACTCGAGGGCAGAGCGAAGCACATTCAGCTGCGGTACTTCCTCCTGCGTGAGCTACAGCAGCGACGTCAGGCTCGCGTAGTACACTTGGCCTCAGGTGCCAACACGGCTGATATCTTTACGAAGGCGCTTGCGCCTAAAGATCATCAGCGGCACTGTGTACAGCTTGGTCTAGTTCCTGTAGCCTCTCACTTGCTAGGACCTTGACTTTGTACTGTCCTTTATATGTATACTCAGACTGGACTTGTGTCCTCTCCCAGTGGCTGGACTAGTAGTGCCGCCCTGCTCTTGTGCTTGCCTTGTCTGTACTCCTTCTGACCGGTCGCTCAGACCCTTGCCTCTGAGGTTGGACTAGTAGTGCCGCCCTGAGCTGCTTGTTTAGGGTATTCCCCTATGCAGTCTAGGGGGTGTGTCAAACATGTGTATTTGTCGTGTTTGTATAGACTGTATAGAGTTACCTCTTAGAGGATACAAAACTTAGATATATTTGTGTGTACTCTCACTTTACCTTCATTCAATTATTCTGATAGTGGGGATTTAAATTCCTGGTTTCTGATTTTATTGCTTGAAAAAATAATCGGAATTGCATTGCATAGGAGCAAGCTATGTCAATGTAGAAAGGGCAGTTAGCATGGTAGATTTTTGTGGCTGGTAAAGTATTGATCCGTGCTGTGAAATGTAGCAGTAGTAGAATGATGACTCTAGCTTCTGGTCTGGTAGCTACAACAGTTATGTAAGAAGAAGACTGGGATCTTGGTGTATGTGCCAGGAAGCCATGGCATGTCTGTGTGCAAATGTCTGTATTTAACGGTAGTAATTCTGATCAAATTGGCAATACAGGACTGAAAATGGGTAGAGGTAATTCTCCTCAAATTAGAAACACGAGACTGAGAAGAGGTAGTGTGGTAATTCTGATCAAATTAGCAATACAGAAGGATTGAAAAGGTATGCCCACCTTCGGAATCTTTTGCTCATTGCAAACCCTAGCAACCCTGCAGCGTCACAACCCTGTAGCGCTTCAAGCAACCCGCCAGCACTCACTGGAACCATCCAGCGCTGACTGCAACCCTGCAGCACTCCTAGCAACCCTCCGGCCCTCCAGCACACGTTGTAAGTACTTCTTGCAACACATAGTTTTGAAAGCAAGCCATCTGGCAAAGGGTACATATTCCAGAGCTGCTTACACGTGGCAGCTATTGTAATGTGTAGGAAGGAAGGTGGAGAAGTAGAATCCAAGACGAGATGGGAAGATAGGAAGAAGCAAGAAGCAAAGGCAGAAAGAAGCAAGAAGCAAATCACCGACGAAGAAAAGCATGACTTGGAAGGAACCCAGACAACACCCAACGACTGAATAGAGCGTCGGAGACAGAGTTGGAGCGAAATGCAAGCCCGAGCAAAGTGAAAGAACATGACCAGAAAATGACCGAGCGAAAGACGAAGGGACGAAAGCAGGGAGCCGGAATTGACATTGGAAAGAAGAGAAGGGAGAGAGAGAGAGAGAGAGAGAGAGAGAGAGAGAGAGAGAGAGAGAGAGAGAGAGAGAGAGAGAGAGAGAGAGAGAGAGTGAGAGGGAGAAGGCAGAGGTGGAAAACACGAGGATGGAGTTGCGAGTGCGCAGTGCGCAGGGCAGCAGTGTGCAGTGCGCAGGGCAGCAGTGCGCAATGCGCAGGGCAGCAGTGCGCAGTGCGCAGGGCAGCAGTGCGCAGATCGGCTGATGGTTGCGAGTGCAACTGAGGGCATGTGGAGAGGGCTTCTAGGTAATTGCAGGTAGCAGGCACGGTGGTTGCAGACACGGTGGTTGCTTGGCTAGATGCACGGAGTTGCTGCGTGGAGAGAGAACAGGAAGGCCGGGAGGCAAGCAGGCAAGAGGCAGTAATGGTAGGAACGAGTCGTATCACGAGTGCAGTTGGGAGGGAGCAGTTGCAGGCGGAGCGGCTGCAGGCAGAGCGGCTGCAGGCGGAGCGGAGTCGATGACCACCCGTCGGGTTGAGACGAGTATGTGAAGAGGGCAGGATGGAGGGAGACAATGCAAGCAATGCAAGCACGAGGCGTGTCGAGTGCTGAGAAGAGGGGTGCATTGAGAAGAGGGGCGCGTTGAGAAGAGGGGCACGTTGAGAAGAGGGGCGAGTTGATTCGTTCAGAAGCTTGGCGCAGCAGAAGCAGGCACTGGCTGGCGGAAAGTTAGGCGCAAGCAGTGAGCGGATGGAGGCATGGCCACTGGCCACTGGTGTGGCACGCAGGCATGGAAGAGGCGGCAGTGGAATGGGCGGCAGTGGAATGGGCGGCAGTGGAATGGGCGGCAGTGGAATGGGCGGCAGTGGAATGGGCGGCAGTGGAAGGGGCGGCAGTGTGAAGGGGCGGCAGTGGAACAGGCGGCAGTGGAACGGGTGAGAGCACAGAACGCAGCGGTTATGCCCTCCAGAAGAACTGAAATCATTGCTGCAGATGGCTGCATCATGCGCTCCAGAACTCCATCTGCGCTCCAGAACTCCATCTGCGCTCCAGAACTCCATCTGCACTCCATCTGCACTGCTGCAGATATCATAATTGAATAAAGGGTAAAGTGAGAGTACACACAAATATATCTAAGTTTTGTATCCTCTAAGAGGTGACTCTATACAGTCTATACAAACATGACAAATACACATGTTTGACACACCCCCTAGACTGCATAGGGGAATACCCTAAACAAGCAGCTCAGGGCGGCACTACTAGTCCAACCTCAGAGGCAAGGGTCTGAGCGACCGGTCAGAAGGAGTACAGACAAGGCAAGCACAAGAGCAGGGCGGCACTACTAGTCCAGCCACTGGGAGAGGACACAAGTCCAGTCTGAGTATACATATAAAGGACAGTACAAAGTCAAGGTCCTAGCAAGTGAGAGGCTACAGGAACTAGACCAAGCTGTACACAGTGCCGCTGATGATCTTTAGGCGCAAGCGCCTTCGTAAAGATATCAGCCGTGTTGGCACCTGAGGCCAAGTGTACTACGCGAGCCTGACGTCGCTGCTGTAGCTCACGCAGGAGGAAGTACCGCAGCTGAATGTGCTTCGCTCTGCCCTCGAGTCGAGGCTCCTGACACAGGAGGATCATGGCCCTGTTGTCAGCGAACAGGACCGGGGCAGAGCTAGGTCGCTCACCTAAGTCAGTGAGCAAGAAGGTCAGCCAGCGGAGCTCCTGAGCCGCCATGGCACCGGCGTAGATCTCAGCCTCACAGCTGGACTGTGCAACAGACGAGGAGCGAGTAGCTCTCCACGAGACGGCACCTGAGCCAAGGCTGAAGCAGTAGCCCTGGGTAGACCGGAGTGTCTCAGCGTCGTCTGCCCACGAAGCGTCTGTGTGCCCAGTAAGGACCGCTGGCATGCGTCCTCCTAGCACTAACCCCATGCCCGATGTACTAGCAAGATAACGCAGAACCCTCTTAGCGGCAGACCAGTGCTGCGGTCGGTGTCTGCCTGTGGCCACAAAGCGAGCCAGGATGCTGAGAGGGTATGCGAGATCTGGGCGAGTGCAAGTCATCAGGTACATGAGGCAACCCACCAGCTCTGCGTAGGGGCCGCTGGGCTCTACCAACTCCTCAGGCACTGGAGCGAAGAGCCTGTGGTCTACAGGAAGAGGGGTGGGCTGTGCAGAGGAGAACTGAAGGCTGAACCTCTGAAGGACCTGGCGCACCAAGTGTGACTGAGTCAGGGTGATGGTGCGCGCAGCTCTGTCCCTGGAGATCTGCAAGCCAAGGTAACGGCGCAGTTCTCCAAGGTCAGTGCAGGTGTGTCTCTTCAGCAGCTCTGCCTTCACGGAGGCCAGCGCGTCCCTGTCTGCTGTGGCAAAGACCAGGTCGTCGACGTAGACGAGGATGTAGAACGGAGTCTGGCCAGCACAAACGAAGAGTGAAGGGTCTGCAGAAGACGGAAAGAACTGCAGGTCAGCAAGCGTAGCACGCAGAGTGTCGTGCCACTCACGGGGAGCCTGGCGCAGGCCGTAGACGGGGCGCCGCAGGAGCCACTGGGTCCCAGGAGGGAAGGTGCCAGTAAAGCCCGGAGGGCGGCGCAGGTAGACCTGCTCGTGTAGGCTGCCCTGAAGGAAGGCAGTGGAGAATTCGAGAGAGTGAAGCTCGTAGTCACGCTGAGCAGCTAGGTGTAACAGAACCCGAAGAGTAGTCATCTTCGGGGTCGGAGCGAAAGTCTGGAAGAAGTCCACCCCCTCGCGCTGACTGAAGCCTCTAGCCACATAGCGCGCCTTGAAGACAGGCGGCTCTCCAGGAGGGCGCTTCACCTTGAAGAGCCAGCGGCCATCGACTACGTTCACCCCAGGTGGGGGAACTGCGTCGACGAAGGTGCCGGTGGATCTCCAAGATGCCATCTCCTGCTCCATGGCAGCTATCCACTGCGAGGCCCAGGGTCCCGAAGTCGCCTCAGCGTAAGTGCGAAGGGTCGGGATGTCGAAAGCGTCTGGGTCACCCTCAGGGACTAGCAGCATGGAACAGAGATGGGGAGCAGCCTCGGAGAGGAAAGCAAGCTCGAACTGGCGGTCCTCCAGGACGTCACTGCCAAGGGCAGGAGCACCCCCGACAGACGGAGGACAGGCAGGGTCAGAGACCAGAGCGGTGGCGTAGTCAAGGCGGCGGGTAGAGGCGAAGTCAGCGACAGCAGCGACAAGAGCGTCAAGGCACGAGACTGGAACAGACGGGTCGGTAACGAGAGAGGCAAGGACCCGAGGAACGAGAGGACGAGCGGCACGAAGGTAGTCGGACAGCGGGGGGGGCGCAACAACAAGGGAGGACGGAGGAGGCGACGGCAGAAGGGGAGGACGAGACGCGTGTGAACGAAGCAACATAGGGTGGGAGCGCAGGATAGGCGAGGCAGGACGAGCACGGGAGGGACGGTGAGACCAGACGTGCGATGGAGGAGTCGGGTCAGGAGACAGGGGAGGGGACACAGGAGGGGAACGAGGGGGGAGACGGGCCGGGGACGAGTCCGGCGGAGGGAAAACAGGGCCGTAGACAGGAAGAGGAGGAGACGGTCGGGGAGGAACCGACGCAGGGTCGGGGGACGGAAGGCCGAGCAGGCGAAGGGCGGACACCGGCGGGGACTGCTGCTGCGGCGGCACAACGGCGACACCTGGACCGCAAGCTGCTCCTCGGCTACCACCGGCACTCTCCACACCCGCACCCCCAGAGGGACCACCCTCAGGGCGACCGGGACGAGCACCCCCAGAGTCAGCGAACGGGGGCTGCGACTGCGGCGGCGGCGGCGGCGGCGGCGACGGCGACGGCTGCAGTGGCGGCAGGGACGGCGCAGGAGGGGACTGGGGAGGGGACACCTGGGGAGGGGCGGCCGGCGAGGACTGCACCGGAGGGCCACCAGAGTCAGAAGACTCCTCAACCGGGTCCACGGACGGAAGGGGGGTGACATGGGAGACACCAGAGGGGGCGGGACGGGGAGGAGGAGGAGGAGGGGCAGGGACTAACGGGGAAGGGGTGACCAGGAACAGGGGGGGGTAACCGGGGGACCACGGTGGGGGAAGCGGCGGTAGTAGGAGACGGACTCGTCAAAGGTGACGTCACGAGAGTGAAAGAAGCGGTGAGACGGCGGGTGGTAAAAGTGCCAGTCGGACGCGTCAAGGGGAAAACCGAGGAAGACGCAGCGAAGGGTGCGGGCAGTGAGCTTGTCCGTGCCGGAGGCACGGGCGTGAGCAAGGCAGCCCCAGACGTGGAACGCAGACGCGTCACCAGGAGACCCAGTCCACAGACGGGTCGGCGAAACCTGCGGCTGCTGAGGGTGCGGCCACAGGTTAAGCTGGTGAGAAGCGTAGCGCACAGCGAACGGCCACAGAAAATGGGGTGCACCGGCATGGACCATGGAGGTGCGAGCGACCTCCATGACCAAGCCGATGCGTCGCTCAGCGACCCCATTCTGCTGTGGGGAGTCCGGTAGGGTGAACGTCTGTGTGATGCCCTCCGCACGACAAAAGCGACCAAGGACACCTGAGGCAAACTCGCCACCACGGTCTGAGTGAAGACGCAAGACAGGGAGACCGCGGTGGACACGCGCAGAGACAAGCCAGGGGATGAGGGCGCCAGGCACGTCGGCCTTGCGCTCCAGGGGAAAGACTGTGGTGTAACGAGTGAAGTCGTCGACAAGCACAAGGAAGTAGCGCTCGCGACGCGGCCCAGGGACGGGGGCGGGGCCCCAGACGTCCAGGTGCAGGGTCTGCAGCGGCGCGGCGGTAGGGGGGAACGAGGAGGAGTGAGGGGCACGGCGAAGCCGACCCTCGACACAAGGCGTGCAAGGTGGAGCTGGGGAGGAGGGAAACGCGGGGAGTGAACCTGGGAGACCAAAGACAAGACCGTGCTGGGACATGTGACGCAGACGCGGGAGCGCAGGGTGACCTAGGCGGTGGTGCCACAGGAGGGTCGGGTGAGTGAGGGAGCGACAGGAGCAGGCAGCAGCAACCTGGGTAGACACAGCCACCTGAGGGGGCGCTCCAGCCGGGGGGGCACGGTGTCCAGAGTGAACAGGCCGGACACCGGGTCCCGAGGGAACGTGGACAGGGGGGCACCAGTGGCGGCCTCGGTACAGACAGCATACCGCTCGTGACCAGGGAACGTAGTGGTGACGCCAAGGTCCTGGAGGCAGCCGACACCAACTAGGTTCCTGGAGAACGAGGGGATATGCAGACCTGTAAGAGAGCCCGAAGGAACCGCCGGACAGGGAAGGGTGGTGGAACTGCGGGCGACTACCGGACCGCCGGAGGGGTCAGCAAGAGAAACGGCAACAGGAACAGGAAGCGGCGTCAGGGTGGTGGAGTCGCGGAAGAAACACCGAGAGGCGCCAGAGTCCAAGGTGAAGGAAAGCGAAGCCGAGGGGTCTGGCGACGGAACGACGGCGGAAGCACCAAGACTACACAAAGCAGGGGATCATATGCCTGACGCAGCAGGGGAGGCTAATCTAGGCACACCTACACTAGGCAACAATGAGTAATAAGTCGGAAGCACACTAGAGTCATCAGCATACATCACATGCAGAGCAGAAACAATGGCATCCATGTCCATATCAAAGATCTGAATCTGACGACTAAGCAAACTGTGCCAGTCCGGGAGGTCTGGCGACGGGCCGAAACGCTGACGAAAGAGGTCGTCCAGGCGACGAAAGCAGCGGGGAGTGGAGTGACCGATCTTACCGCAAACGAAACCGCGGCGAGGACCGGTCTGGATCTGGTACTGACAACGCCCGCCGGCAGAGCCACCACGCGGCACACCACCACGCGCCCGTCCACCGCCAGCGCCGGGCCACCCTGGCGGGAGAACACTCGTCTGCCGCGTCTGCGACGGCTGCTGCGGCTGCTGCGAAGGCTGCGACTGCGGCGGCTGCTGCGGCTGCTGCAACTGCAGGGGCGGCGACTCAGCTGGACTGGGCAGGGTCCCCTCGTCCGCTCCAGCACCAGGCGACCCGACCCCACCACTACCCCCGCCCGCACCCCCGCCGCCCCCTCCGCCGCGCCCAGCCTTGGGGCGGCGGCCCTTCCCAGAACGGGCCTGCGCTGCAGCAGCAGTCTCAGCCACTGCGGCAGAGCCGTCGGAGAAGGTACACTGAGCGGGGGCACAACCCTGAAAGATAGGGACCGGCACGACACCGCTCGCCTGGGCGATGGAGCGGTGACGGGTCTCTATCACAGTCAGGGTGTCGACAAAGTCAGTGAGGGTGAGGTCTGCGGGGTGAACACTAAGGAAGCGGTCGCGGGCGACAGCAAGGCGGTCAGGGAGGCGGGTGGCAAGCAGGTAGAGGGTAGAGGTAATGGGCGGCTGGTGGGCTCTAAGCTGTGCGTCAGTGCAGGCGGCGCGCCAGGTCTCCTCTATCGAGCGCAGGTGGGCAGCGAGGTCAGAGACAGTGGGGAACGAAGCAAGGTCAGGAAAGAGCAGCGGGAGGACCAGGCGACCCACCGAGGCAGCCGGAGGGGTGGAATAGCGCTTGATGACAGTATCTAAGTATGCCTGAGCAGTAGTGAGGGACCTAAAGCGAGGACGCTCGGACGGGGGGAGGGCGTTGCTAATGGCAAGCTGGGCGACAGCATCGCGAGAAAGCCAGACAGAGCGCGCACGGGCAGTGGCAGCAGTAGACTCACGCTCAGTGGGTGTGGGGTCAGCGGGCAGAATAGCAGGAGGGTCTGGGCAGGGGAGCGTACCGTCAAGGTGTGCGGAAAGCGGTTCACCATCCTGCCGCTGGCCAGTGAGTTGGCGGCGGAGGTCGGCAAGCCACGCCTCGAACTCTAGGGGCTGACCTTCAGCGTCGAAGCGAAGCTCCGCCGCCATCAGGAACAATCCAGTGCTGTGCAGGGCGGTGCAGTGCGGTGCAGTGCGATACAGTGCGGTGCAGTGCGGTACTGTGCGGTACAGTGCGGTGCAGTGCGATGCAGTGCGGTGCAGTGCGGTGCAGTACGGTGCAGGGCGGCACGGAGCAGGGCGGGGTGGGGGGGGGGGGGGGGGGGGGGGACGGGGCCGTACCAGTGAGGAGGACGGGGCCGGGGCTGGCCCGACGGGGCCGGGCGGGCGCGACGGGGCCGGGCTGATGCGACAGGACCGGGACGGGGCGACGGGGCCGAGCGGGCGCGACGGGGCCGGGCTGGGGCGACGGGGCCGGGCGAGTGCGGCAGGGCCGGGCCGGTGCGACGGGGCCGGGCGAGCGGGACGGCGGCCGGGCTGGTGCGACGGGGCCGGGCGGCTGTGACGGGGCCGGGCAGGGTGCGACGGGGCCGGGCGGGTGCGACGGGGCCGGGCGGCTGCGACGGGGCCGGGCTAGCGCGACGGGCCGGGCAGGGTGCGACGGCGCCGAGCGGGCGCGACGGGGCCGGGCGGCGGCGACGGCGCCGGGCGGGCGCGACGGGGCCGGGCGGCGACGACGGGGTCGGGCGGGCGCGACGGCGCCGGGTGGGCACGACGGGGCCGGGCGGCGGCGACGGGTACGACGCGGCCCAGGAGGGGCGCTACGGGGCCCAGGAGGGGCACGACGGGGGGCCCAGGAGAGGCGCTACGAAGCCCAGGAGGGGCGCTACGGGGCCTGGGAGGGGCGCGACGGGGCCTGGGAGGGGCGCGACGGGGCCCAGGAGGGGCGCTACAGGGCCCAAGGAGGGCGCGACGGGGCCCAGGAGGGGCGCTACGGGGCCTAGGAGGGGCGCGACGGGGCCCAGGAGGGGCGCTACGGAGCCCAGGAGGGGCGCGTTAGAGCCCAGGAGGGGCGCTACGGGGCCTGGAAGGAGCGCGACGGGGCCCAGGAGGGGCGCGACAGAGCCCAGGAGGGGCGCGACGAGGCCTGGGAGGAGCGCGACGGGGCCCAGGAGGGGCGCTAGGGGGCCTGGGAGGAGCGCGACGGGGCCTGGGAGGGGCGCGACGGGGCCTGGGAGGGCGTTACAGGGCCCAGGAGGGGCGCTACGAAGCCCAGGAGGGGCGCGACGAGGCCCAGGAGGGGCGCTACGGGGCCCAGGAGGGGCGCGACGGGGCGCTACGGGGCCTGGGAGGAGCGCGACGGGGCCCAGGAGGGGCGCTAGAGGGCCTGGGAGGGGCGCGACGGGGCCTGGGAGGGGCGCGACGGGGCCTGGGAGGGCGGTACAGGGCCCAGGAGGGGCGCTACGAGGCCTAGGAGGGGCGCTACGAGGCCTGGGAGGAGCGCGATGGGGCCCAGGAGGGGCGCTAGGGGGCCTGGGAGGAGCGCGACGGGGCCTGGGAGGAGCGCGACGGGGCCCAGGAGGGGCGCTAGGGGGCATGAGCGGAAGCGGTAGGTGGGGGGGGGGGGATCCTACCTACGCGTGATACCATATCAGAATAATTGAATAAAGGGTAAAGTGAGAGTACACACAAATATATCTAAGTTTTGTATCCTCTAAGAGGTGACTCTATACAGTCTATACAAACATGACAAATACACATGTTTGACAGTAGCGAATGTGGCTACAGGCAGGTCTGGTCAGGACAGAGGGTCACTCACAACGACAGTCATGCAGGTGAGCTAACAGTCTGCTAGTATCTTGAAGCATGCACCACTGGTGCAGCACCTCTTTTGTTACACCTAATTGACTTCCCAAGCTAAGTCTGCCAACACCATTTTATTCGTCACCACTGCCATCCTAGCCGTGCTACAGCAGGAGCAGCTGCTTCTACCATACACTGCTTCACTTGAAACACCACTAGCTCGTCAAGAGCCATCCGTTATTAACCTTATCAAACCACTTTATCAGGCTCACCAGGTTGTTCAAGCAACCTCACCATTCACAACCTAACAATACAGAAACAGCTTGCAAAAGTGAATCTACAAGTGGCCAAACAAGCCAAGCTGCCTGGCAAGAAGCATTCCTCTGCACTTATCAGCGTCATCTTACCCCTCTACATGCTTTAATCACGTTGAGAAATTTGGCTCTCTATCAACCAAGCTTCCTCTGCCCGCACTCCTACCAGCACCCTATCAACATCATCACTACAGCCACCACCATTCCAACCACAACCGACCCCACACCAGCCCCTCTCAACCCCGCTGCACTCTTCTTAGCCGATTGCACGGGCGGCGGTGGCGGCGGCGATGGCAGCGACCCAGCAATCCCTAGAGGATACCCAGGAATGACCGGGCCAAACCCAGGAGACAAGCGCGGGATCTTGGGGCTGGCGGGCGGCGGGCGCACGAGGTTGTCGTAGACGGCGCACTTGGAGGCGAAGTCGATGGTCTTGTAGCCCAGGTACCCCATGCTGCGGTCCGCCACCATGGCCGTCTGCCCGTCCGGCGTCCAGTACACCCACGGCGTGTTGTTGGCGAACATGGGCTTGCCCACGTTCGCCATCGTGCCCATCGCGTACGTCGTGTCGTACGCCAGCGCTGTCTCGTTCTGCAGAGGGGGGGGGAGGGGGGAGAGGGAGGAGCACAAGTATGAGGGTTTAGAATGGAGCAGTGAGGAGGCAGGGAGTGGCAATGGTGACGAGGAGCCAGGGGAGGAGCAAATGAGTGGTGAGGGTGCAGAGGGGAGGAAACCAACGAGAGCGACGAGAGCGCTGTAGCAGGCAGCATGTGCGCACTGACCACGTCGAAGGAGCAGCCGGTCTGCGCGGAGTCGAGGTTGAAGAAGTAGGGCAGGTCGCGCTTGCTGGTAGCGCCCAGGAACTTGGACGCCGCGGGGCACGGGCTGCGCACGGCGAAGTAGTAGTGGTGCAGCGGCAGCTTGCACGGTGCGCCGTACCCCATGTAGAACGGCGACGGGTACGAGCACTCGTCGAAGGGCGGGAACTGGTACGCCGAGAGCGCAAGCAGGGTCTTGTAGGTGGGGCAGTTGATGTAGATGTCCGTCCACATGTCCGCGTACTGCTCCAACACGCCTGCGGGAGCGCGGAGGGGCGGGGGATTGGGGGTGGGGAGGGGGGGGGGCAGGGGGAGGGAAGAGACGAGGGACGGCGGGGAGGAGAGTGAGGGGATGGAGAGCGGGGGAGGTGATCCAGGCGAGCCCGCAATGACGGGTTCAGCAGATCCGGCTGAGTACGACAAGACAAGCTGCCGGCGGGGAGAGTGGGGCAGGGCGCGGTTTGCTCACTGTCGTAGAGTTTGATCCAGTAGTGCTGGATGATCTGCGCGGGGTCGACGCCCGTGTACACGTTGGCGAGGAACGTCTTGATGCTCGTCTCGTTGAGCTGCCACCACTTGCCGAACGACTCGAGCACGTACAGCCGCCCCTCGTCCTTGTTGGTAACCATCATCAGCGGCGCGGGGTTGAGCTGGCCGTTGGACAGCATGTCGAGCGGCTGCTGCGGGATGACCTTGCCGTCGATGCAGGGGTAGAAGATGCGCTTCTGCTGCCGGTAGATGTCCTTCACCACCGGCGTCTTCGCCACGATGTCCTGCCACCGCACCTGCGCGCACCACCGGGGCACAGCGGGGAGCAACGGGTCACGGGAGGGGGGGCGAGGGGAGGCGGGGTTGAATGTCGCGGTCTGCCGAGCGGGTTATGTTGGCAGATAATGAAACTAGAATGCAAGCTAACGAATGCGGCCGTGAACGAGCTGTCGCAGGGCGTGGCGGGACTGACCTGTCGCAGGCACGCGAGCTGCTGCTCGGGGTTGATGGGGCAGTTGAGCGCCTCGGACAGTGTGTACGTCGAGTCGTACGCCTGGCGACGGGGCACAGCTCGCCAGGGAAGAACAGGGGCAAGAGGAAAACGCGTGAGCGGGAGAGGAAGAGGTGGGATGGGGTGGGGGGTGGTGACGAGACACGAGTAGGTGAGCGACAAACGCGTGGGAGCGGCGTGCTGAGTGCGAGGGCTCACCCTGTTCTGCGTGAAGAGCGGGATGGCGGCGCCGTTGGAGGCGACGGCGGAGGTGAAGAGATCCTTGGAGAGCGGCGACACCATGTGCAGCATCACGCTCACCGCGCCTGAAGGGCCAACGCAAACACGCGCAACCAGACAACCAGACGCATGTGCACGCGCAGGTGAGAAAGAAGGGCAAGCGGGGAGGCACATGTAATGGCCACAGGGGCAGCGGGCGGAGCGACATGGACGGAATTGAGAGTGACGTTATCGGGAACTCCGCTGCTCGCGATCACAAAAATTCACGGCGCGCAACCCTTGTGCATCTACTCCCTGAGTCGCACGCCTGCTAAGCCCCTCCCTTCCGTCGCCCAGCCCGAGGGCACTGTCGCACCTGCGTTCTGCCCCATGATCTGCACGGAGGAGTTGCCGCCGAAGAAGCCGATGTACTTCTGAATCCACTTGAGCGCCAGCTGCTGGTCCAGCAGCCCTGCGGCGCCACGACGCCATGGGAAGGGAGGACGCGGGGAAAGGCAGAAGGTGAGACGAACGCGCCAGGATGTAAAACACGTAGCATAGCAAAAGTTGTTATTTAAGCACTAGGTGCGAGTCGAGGGAGGGGCTGACGGGTGGAAGAGCTGTGTCATTCACATAAGCGGGGAGTGCAGCGACTGAGGAGGGGGGGGGGGGGGGGGGGGGGTTGGGGGTGGAGGCGGGCTCACCCCAGTTGCCGGTGGTTTCGCCCTCGGAGAAGGTGGAGGGGTGCGCGAGGAAGCCGAGTGCGCCGAGCCGGTACTGCACGACGACGAGCGTCGTGTTGGTCTCGGCGACCGACTGGCAGCCGTTGACGAAGTCGTCGGAAGCCGACCCCTTGTAGAACCACCCGCCGTGGAACAGCACGCGCACCGCCGTGCTGCTCGCCGTCGCGTTCGCCGGCGTGAAGATGTTCATGTACAGGCAGTCCTGCGGTGCAGAGCGGTGAGGGTGGGTGGCGGGGGATGAGAGTAGATGGGTTGCTTGTCTGAGGCAGTCCAATGGCTAGCAGCCGCGCAGCAATCATGTGACACGACAAGTGACACCGCGTATGACACCATAAGCACCGAGCCAAACAATCGCAAGCACCCGGCTACCCCGTCGTCGCCGCTCTGTCGATTCACTCGTGCGAGAACCACGGGAGCGCTGATCCGAGGCCCTCGCACTGACCTCTCGGATGTTATCCTTGAGGCGTCTCAAAAGTAGACTCCCCTCGCACTGACCTCTCGGATATTATCCGTGACCGCGCGGAGCGGCTGCGGGCACTTGGGAGGGGGCGTGTCGGCGCGTCTGTAGGGGAAGGGGTACTGCTTGTCCCACATCACAGGCGCCGCGAACCGCAGCTTGCCAATGGGCGGCAGAGCGTACGGCACGCCGTAGAAGGCGGAGACGTTGGTGTAGCCGGGGCACCCCGTACCCTGGATTGGGCCGAAGCCCTTGATCCAGATCTGGTTGTTCACTTGCACGGGCCGCGGCGGGGGCTTGCACGACACGAGCGCTAAGGCTGATAGCAGTAGGCATGTTCCCAGCACCCATCGTAAACTAATCGCCATGGCTGACTTTTGCAGGCGGATTGTGCCTCTTTTGATACGTCTAGTTCACTTCCCAAACTAAAAAGGACTCTGTGCTACGAGTTTCACTACTCTTCGACGGAATCAGAGATGCTGGTAGACGAAATTTTACAACAAAAACCAGGCCTTGTTTCTGTCTCTTCCGTGCGGTCAGTAGCTAGTGACAACAACAGAGGGAGGCGTCGACGCGGGACTGATGGATTGATGTTCTTCGGGGGCTGGCCTCATATGCCTGTGACGCGCTGGTGGGGCGTTCAGCTCAGGGAAGCTACCGTGCTGCCGAAAATGGCATTCGTTTGTGGATGGGGTGGTGGAAGGAAACCCTGGGGAGGCATGGCAGGGAGGGACCAGCAATGTGCGGCTCGGCTGTAATCGAGGGGAGCTGAGGCGAGTGGCTGTGTGTCGGGGCCTTCCATTCCAGCGCAGAGGAGCCGAGCAGCCGAATTGACTGCGACGCGAATGCCCCGCCAAAGGCGCTCTCGTCAAGGCGCGTCAGCAAGCTGACACGGGGTCTCGTAGCGACATTCCACCAGCTCGTGTGCTTGCGAAGGTCGAAATTAGTCTCCACCAATAGGGCTCAAGGATGCGTCTGTCACGTCCGCTCTGACTCCGCAGGCGACGCCACTGGACAGAATCGCTCTTCAGCACACTCAATTGAAGAACAGTAACCTGGATGTAAATATCAAACTCTACACTTAGCATACACGGGACATACCAAGAGCTCGAAAATTCAGTATAGAAGTGGAACTTAGTATGGTCTTTGAAGGATATGATTTTATGTAATTTTACTGATATGAATGTTTTCACAATAAATACGAGTATATCATGGTAATTAACACAACGATGGTAGATTGATAGATGGTACTTGTGACAAATAGTCTATGCTATTTGAAGTTGGAGATATAAGGCTGTTTGTAACAGCTAAAGGAGTCAGCAATTTCAGTGAAACAAGCCGTCAGTTTCCCTTCCATTGGTTCAACCGCATCGCTTGTCAGAACCAAAAGCCGCCCGAATCGCAACGCAACGGTACACACCTAGAAGTTGGTGCTGGAGGCAAATGGGATGCTGGGAGCAGAGCAGGTGACCACATGGAGGGGACAAGGACCAAGCATCGCGGTTTTTCGGGACACTGCTTTCCCGCCTCTCAAAGCTGTGGTGATCATGGCGATGATGCTGATGACGATGATTGTGCCAAGCCAAGGCAAATGACCACGCTATGCCTTTTCCAGAAACCAAGGCAACAGAGACAGAGGCCTTTTTCGTCTGGTGATATCAATCCGCCTCTGACCCTAGAGTCTGACGCTCTTCAATTCTCTAGGGTTTCCAACGCCTCTCCGTATCACCGTCCAGTCATTGATATTTTACGTCGCTAGTTTGCGATCAACTAACCTCCGACACCGGCACGACCATCTAAGTGGTTGCTCGGAACCCCACGAACGGCATTATAACGAGGAAATTAGGAACTGGCGGTCTAGCGAAAGCATCGCACTTGAGAGTGCTCACGAAGTCGTTCTAGTCATACAGCTCCAAAGTTAGTCTGATCATTAGACATTCTCAAGGCATGACGTCCGGTTAGTGTCAGATACATTTTCTCCGAAGAATCGCCGGTTGCCAAGATGATGGACAGTAAGTTGGTCAGAAGGTTTTCCTTCAGTCCGAGTAAGAAGGGGCCGTCGACTCCCAATAGCACCTCCAAGCGCAAAGTCGGCTTAGCGGGTTCCAAATTGCCTCTGCCGGGATTCGCGTCTCCCGTAGCGCCTGAAGATGAGGCCACGTCATCAGGCACCTCTCACGAGTCAGCCAGCCGCCACACAACCGGCACTCCGAACCTCTTGTCCGCGTTTAGGCCGTCTAGGCAGCCGACCAGCCATGCACCTGCACCCACCCCGCCTCTCGGTAGTCAGTCAGGCCTAAAGCCAATAATGGTCCGCGCGTCGAGCCCTGGCCCCAGCAGCAATGGCGCGCGCGGGGGCGCCATGCCAGCGCCACGTGTCCACGCGCAGCCCCCCCCGCGGCAGGTGTCGTTCGCGCCGTCGACGCGGTCGCACCCGATGCTGGTGCCGGAGATGGCGCTGGTGCCCAACCCTCTCGAGAACGAGAACGTCCTCGTCACCGTCCGCTTCCGCCCGCTCAGGTTCGTGCACCAGACTCGACGCGTAGAGCTAATCGTAAGCGTTAGCATGAGCGGGTCGGGCGTGGTTGCAGTTCATGGGAGGCTGATTGTTGTCGTTGCTTGGTGCTGCTGCTGCTGTTGGTGGTGGTGACAGCTTGAGGGAGATTCAGCGCGGCGAGGACGTCGGGTGGTACGCGGACGGCGACAAAATCGTGCGCATGGAGTCCAACCCCGCCATCGCCTATGCCTACGGTTAGTGCCTCACGTACCCTCGAACCCACTCGAAGTGTGCTTTCTTCTACGATAAAAAGTTGGTAACTAGTCAGCATGGGCCAGTAACTCGGTAGCTTGTCATTACGCCAGTCATGACGACAGTTCTTGACAGAGCGTTCCTCTGGGTCCCGCATTCACATTCCTACCCCTCGCCACACCAACTCCTTTCTTCCGTCTGTGACCTGCCTGTTTCCCCCACATCCCGCCCCCTACCCCTCTGAGTACAGACAAGGTGTTCGGGCCTGCCACGACGACCCGAGGGGTGTATGACGTGGCAGCACAGCCCGTCGTATCTGCTGCGATGGAAGGAATCAACGGTGAGAGATAACGACGGAATAGACGGTGAGCGATAGCGACTAACGGTAGAGAAGGAATCAACAGCAGGGGCGCACGCCGCGCGCCTTGCATCCCCCTGATACTCTCTGTCTGTGTGGTGCCCTTGGATCCCTCTTTGCTCTCCGTGTGCGTTGTGCCCTTTAATACCACTTATGCTCTCCGTGTAAGTTGTGCCCTTTAATACCACTTATGCTCTCCGTGTGCGTTGTGCCCTTTAATACCACTTATGCTCTCCGTGTGCGTTGTGCCCTTTAATACCACTTATGCTCTCCGTGTGCGTTGTGCCCTTTAATACCACTTATGCTCTCCGTGTGTGTTGTGCGCTTGTTTTACTGCGCTTTCGCCCTCCAGGCACGGTGTTCGCGTACGGCGTCACGAGCAGCGGGAAAACGCACAGCATGCATGTGAGTAGAACGTGCAGCAGCATGCATGAGTGTGTAAACCACGCAGCGTGTACGCGAATGCTCCTTGGCCTGCCCGCACCCATTCCCGCCTCGTGTGTTAAGCGCTGGTTCCCCTCCCCGTGCTGTCGTTGATGCGCGCAGGGCGACCAGAAGTCTCCCGGTGTCATTCCGCTGGCCGTGAAAGAAGTGTTCAGCATCATTCAGGATGTGAGTGCTGATTACAAAATTGCATGTGGGTGAGTGAATCATGCCTTGTTTCCACCTGCCGGTCAGCCTCCTTCCCGCGCCCTCAACTTCTCCTGGTGCTTGCCCCCCTCCTTTGTTTCCTTGCTGCCCTCCCCCAGACGCCTGGGCGCGAGTTTCTCCTGCGAGTGTCGTATCTGGAGATCTACAACGAGGTACGCCGTGCGCTGCCTTGCACGCATGCACCCTTCGCCAAGCATGCATGCATCTAGCACCACTCATTCGTGTGTGCATCCGCCATGCCACTTCAGGGCACAAGCACCTAATGGAACAATCTCACATCCCACTCCATGGCACACAACCTTGCCCACCCCACCCTCGCGCTTCTTGCGTGCCCGCCCTCGCTCGGCGTTGCTCTTGCGCCCTCCCCGCGCTTCCCCCACGGCAGGTGATCAACGACCTCCTCAACCCCGCGGGGCAGAACCTGCGCATCCGAGAGGACGGGCAGGTGAGGGGATAGAGAGAAGGGGGGGCGAACAAGGAGGAGGGGGAGAGGCGGGTGAAGGGAAGAGGGGTAGGGGGGAGCAAGCGAGCAATACAAGAACAGAAGAGCGGGGAGGGGAGAAACGGAAGGGGGACGAGGGGAAGTGGGGAGAGGGAGAAGGGAATAACTATTCGAGGCTAACCACGTGCCGCTTCTCCACGCTGTGCCACGTGTGCCTCCCTCCCGTCCGTGCAGCACGGCACGTTCGTGGAGAACGTGAAGGAGGAGGTGGTGCTCTCAGCCGCGCACGCCCTCTCTCTCATCGCTGCTGGAGAGGGTAAGCCCTGCCCTCCTCGCCTTCCCCGCCCTCGCAGTACACCTCCCTATCTCACCACTTCCCATGGCTCCCTTCGTAAAACACAACCCCTGTGTGCGTGTGCGCTTGTGTGTGCGGTCAGAGCATCGGCACGTGGGAGCCACGCACTTCAATACTGCCAGCAGTCGCAGCCACACCATCTTCACCCTCGTGAGCCACACCCCACTCCTCGCTGCGCCCCCGCCTAGTTCCCCTCTCTATCCTCCCTCCACCCCTCTCTCGCCCACCCCTCCCTCCCCCTCATTGCCATCCCGGATTCTCATTGTCGTCGCGCTCGTCACACCCCATGCCCCCGGTGCACGCGATGAACGCCACGTCCTTGCTGCTGCACCATTCACGCTGCAACCATGCCCTGAGCCAAGCCCTGCACCATTCACGCTGCAACCATGCCCTGAGCCAAGCGCGCCGTGCACCCGCCAACACCCACTGTCCTCCCCCGTTTGCTCTTGCACCAGACCGTTGAGAGCAGCGGGCGGGACCTGGACGGGTACGAGGAGGTCACCTACTCGCAGCTGGTGCGTGCCATTCCCTCCTCCCCTCGCTCCCTGCCCTCTGCTCGCCCTCTTGCTCTCCGCTTTGTGCACACCTCGGAAGCCTGCATGCTCCTGTGGATGCGTGTGTGTGCCATCCCATTACCTTGCCGTGCCTCATCTGCCACCTCTTCTCCCCTATCTCTACGTGTGTGTGTGTGTGTGTTGCCTGCCTGAGAGCAGAACCTGATCGACCTGGCGGGGTCGGAGAACAGCCGGGCCACCACGGGCAACAACGTGCGGCGCAGAGAGGGCACGTTCATCAACAAGAGCCTGCTCACGCTCGGCACGGTCAGTCACGCTCGGCACAATCAGTTGCAAGTCACGCTCACGCTTGGCTCGCCCTCGTATGGGCCTCTCGAAGGACGGGGTGGGAGGGAAGAGGAGGGGGGATGTGTGTAGCTCGACCGTGGGTGTAGAAGACTTTAACTTGACCTGCCATGGCACTGTGTTGTGCTGTGTTGGGTGCGTTGTCCTGAGCAGGTGATATCGAAGCTAAGCGAGCGCAAGCAGTCGCACGTGCCGTACCGAGACTCGAAGCTAACTCGCCTGCTGCAGACGTCGCTGAGTGGCAACGCGCGCATCTCGCTCATCTGCACCGTCACGCCCGCCTCGGGCACGCTGGAGGAGACTCACAACACGCTCAAGTTCGCCTCGCGCGCCAAGCACGTGGAGATCCGCGCCAACGCCAACAAGGTCAGCCACACAGGATGCGCCAGAGGCAGGATAGGCATTGGCTCCCACCTGCTGCTTGGAACTCTCTATACCTCCATGCCCTACTCCTTTCTGCAGACCTCACGACCTCTCTTACAAAAAAGCCCTTGTTGGAGGATGGATAACGGCCCACTCTTTGACGCATGGTTCCTTTCCTCTCATGCGCGTCCCCCCCCCACTACCCCCCCTGCGCGCGGGCGATCAGATTCTGGACGAGAAGTCGCTGATCAAGAAGTACCAGAAGGAGATCCTGGCGCTCAAGGACGAGCTCACGCGCCTCAAGCAGGGCATCACCCACGCCCACCCCGACCTGCCATGGGGCGCCGCGCCTGCCAGCGGCGGCGGGGGGGCCGACATGGGCGGGCAGGACCTGGCAGTGCTGAGGGAGAAGGTGAGCCCACAGGGAGGTCAGGCGGCCTGCCAGCAGGTGGTTTTGTGTGCCTCCGTGCTAATGGCTGGCCGTATACCTACCTTCTTGCCGCTGCGTCCCTTGTGTGCTCCGTGCACCCCTCCCTCTGCTCACCTCGCTCCTCTTGTCTCCTCCATTTCACTCCATCGCCTGCCCTCCTCTTCTTCCCTCCCCCCCGTCAGTTGGAGGCGGACCAGATGCTGCTGCAGTCGCGGCTGGAGGAGGAGGAGGAGGCGAAGGCGGCGCTGCTGACGCGCATCCAGCGCCTCACCAAGCTCATCCTCGTCTCCTCCAAAGCCTCCTCCGCCTCCAAGCCGCCCCCCGCCCAACACGCCCCTCCCACCGGCCGCCTCAGGCGCCGCCTGTCCTTTGGCGAGGAAGATGTGAGCCGCGTGACCTCTGAGCTGCTTCACCTGCCACAGCCTCTCAGCATGCAGTGTGTTCTCCTAGCGCAGCAAGCATGCCTCATTTGCGTGACTCACCTACCCCTCCTTCCACACCCCCCTTCCCTCGCCTCCGTCGCAACCACCCACCCTGTCCCCCAACCCCTCCCCACCTGCTCTCATTCCCGCCCCTTCATTCCGCACCACCCCGCACGCCCTGCCTGCCCCTCCGGCAGCTGGCGTACCTGAAGCAGCGGCGCATGGACCTGGGCTTCGACCTCTTCGACGACGCCATGGGCGGCGGGGGCGCGGGGGGAGGCGCGGGGGACGACCTGCAGCGCCTGGGGGGCACGCTGGGCGCAGCGGGGTCGCGGTCAATGAGCATGCACAGCGGCGGCAGCGGCAGTGCTAGCGGCGCTGCTTCGCCCAGAGGGACAGGAACGGGCGCAGGGGGGGGAGGGGATGACGATGGGGGGCCCATGATCCTCAAATGGCTGCGATCCAAGGTGAGGGTGGGGGGTGGGGAGAGAAGGAGGATGGTGGTGATCTGAGGGAGGGAAGACGGCAACACAGTGGGGGTCCAAGGGGCTTGTGCTGTAGTGAAGACAGGTGCGAGTGAAGGCAGGAAGTGACGACTACTGCGGCAGCACCTACGTGTTGCCCCACCACATCACACCACATCACACCACATCACACCACACTCATCGTCGGCCTCGTCCCCTCTCTTGTGTCCGCACCCTTCCTTGGTGACCCCCCCCATGGCCCAACAGAAGGACGGGGGGGGCAGCAAGGACAGCGAGGGCGACAGTGGGCTGCACTCGTCCCTGTCTGGCAGTGAGAACGTCGACCCGCTCTTCGCTGCTCCTGGCACGGACGGCCCCATGGAAGGCAGAACGGGCAGCGACGGCGGGCAGTGGCTGACGCGGGTGAGCAGCGGCTCGGGCAGCAGTGAGGAGCAGGCGGGGGGCGGGCCCAAGATGATGCGGGCAGTGCGGCGCACGGCGTCGCTGCTCAGCGTGGACGAGGCGGGCGCGGGAATGGGCATGGGCATGGGGGGAGGGGGGCGGTGTGTGGAGACAGTGCGGGCGTCGACACAGGCAGGGGAGCTGTTTCACATCACAGGCGTGCGCATCCCCTCGGTGAGTGCACAGTCGTGCGCATTCCACTGGTGAGAACACACAAATCGTCCTATGAACGTCTGTAAGACCGCAAGTCGAGCCGGCTTTCCTTGGCCTGGCGCCACTCTCCTCCCTGCCGTCGCCCTTACCCCTGCCCATCCCTGCCGCCCCGTGTGCCCCTTCTCGCCTGCCCCCGTTGCCCATGCAGAGCGGCACCACGCTCATGGACCAGTGCGAGCTGCTGAGGGAGCAGGTGAGGGGTCACGGCAACGTGGTGTGTTGACGCTGCTCCTAGGAAGGCGTACCAAATGGATGGCTGTCTCACGTGGAATCCATATATCCTACTGTAGCTGTTGCATCCATTTGACCCCCCTTCATTCTGGAAATTCCTGGATCCGGTTTCTAATTCCCCTCTCCGCTCATCCCCCTTCCTTCTCTCTCCTTGTCTCTCCTTCCCTCCCTCTCCTTGTCTCTCCTTCCCTCCCTCTCCTTGTCTCTCCTTCCCTCCCTCTCCTTGTCTCTCCTTCCCTCCCTATCCCCTTTCCTCCTCCCCTCTCCTCATCCGCCGCCCCCCATCAACAGGTGAAGATCCTGTCAGCGGAGGTGGGGTTCCACACGTCCAACCTGAGGCGCCTCATTGACAAGGGCGAGAACACGCCGCAGGAGCAGCAGGAGATCGAGGTCAGCCCAGGGGTGCAAGGGGACTGGGCTGGAGACGGGGGGGTGTGAGAAGAGGAAGAATCAAAAGAGAATGAGGCCTCGCGTTTCTAATGCATGACTGCCTTCCTCACACGGCCATGAAGACGCTCTCTCTCGCCCTCCCTGCCCTCGTCCGCTGACCCGTCCCCGTTGCCTGCCTCTGCCTGCCTCTTACTTTTGTCCAAATTTGCACCCCCCAGCGGCTGCGGGTGGAGCTGGCGGGCAAGCAGCAGCAGCTGCGCGAGATGGAGGAGCTCATGCGCCACAGGCAGGCCGACCACCACCCCCCCGCTGCCAGCAGCGTGGGGCCCAATGATGGGGCGGGCATGGGCGCAGAGGCAGGCATGGGCACGCAGGAGCAGATGGCCAAGGTAGGACGGCTAGTGCTGTTGATTTGTCACCTTCCCAGGCACATCCTCTCACACCTCCTTCCATGCCCCATTCCAAATGCCGTGTCCTGAATCGCGCGTGCCCTATGCCCCATGCCCACGTGCCCCCTCCCAACTGCCCCATGTCCCACGTGCTGCAGACCATAGCGAAGCTGAAGGCAGTGCTGAGCGAGAAGACGTTTGACATGGAGGTGAGAGAGAGGCGTTTGACACGGAGGTGAGAGAGAGGCGTTTGACATGGAGGTGAGAGACAGTCGTTTGACATGGAGGTGAGAGACAGTCGTTTGACATGGAGGTGAGAGACAGTCGTTTGACATGGAGGTGAGAGACAGTCGTTTGACATGGAGGTGAGAGAGGGTCGTTTGACATGTGATTTCGTTAGGCGTGAAGGTTGAAGTTGAAGGCGGTTTCACCAGGATGTGGGACATGGCAGAACGGATCACATGGTGGGTGCCTTGAGAGTGCAGAGGGACGGACAGGTGTGTTTGTGCTCGTACTGCTGGCGGCGGCAGTTGCATGTGTCAGCTTTGACGTGGGTCATCTCTCTCAGTTTCCTCATGAAGTGCCCACCTCCCGCTCTTTGTTTTTGCCCTCTCCTCCTCGCCCCCCTGTCAGATCGTGAGTGCGGACAACCGCATTCTGCAGGACTCCCTCAAGGCCAAGGTGAGCAGCGAGCGCCAATGCACCCAGATCACCGATGCTGCTCACTCCATTCTGTCTTTTCGCAAGGACCTCGAGCCACACCCCATCCTCACTCTCCCACCCATGTACTCTGCCTCTCACCCCGCCCACCCATCAACCCCCCCCCCCCCGCGTCCCCCCCGGCCGCCACCAGACGCGGCAGGTGCAGCAGCTGATGGAGGAGGCCAACATGCTGCGCGTCGAGCTCACACGCGCCATCACCTCGCGCAACGGGGCTGCCAGGGGGCAGGGGGACGAGGCGGGCGAGGGGGGGGATGGGGGTAGCACGGAGCCAGGGTCAGGTGGGAGCGGCGGTGGGGGGGTGGGAGAGGGCAGCAGCGAGGGCCAGGTGCTGGTGGCGGTGGGCGAGTTGGAGGATTTGAGATCGCAGGTGAAGATGGCGCGCGAGGAGGCGGCCATGCTGCGGCAGCAGCAGCAGCAGCTCACCAAGGACCTTGCAGGGGCGCGCTCCTTGGCGGTCATGACCACCTCCTCCACGCCCAACGCCCCCTCCTCCGCTGCTGCTGCTGGGACCAACGGTGCTGATGGTGCGGCAGCTGCGACGTCGCTGTCGTCGTATTTGGACGGAGCCTACATGAACGGGCCGGATGGGCGGGGTGACGTGAGTGAGCTGCTGCGGCAGGTGGAGGCGGCGAGGGCCAGGGAGGCACAGTGGGCGGAGCACATGCAGCAGCACCACCTCGTGGAGGCTGAGCTTGCAGCCGCCCGTGCTGAGCTCGCAGCGTTCCGAACCGCTGCTGCTGCAGAGGCAGGAGGAACGGAGGGTGGGGAGGGTGGCGAGAGTGAAGAGGGCGGAGGGGAGGGTGTGAGGAAGCAGGAGGCGAGAGCGGTGGGGGCGGTGGCGGCGCGGCTGGAGGCGGAGAAGGACGCGCTGCTGGCGGTGCGGGAGCGCGAGGTGGGCGAGCTGCAGGCGAGCCTGGCGGCGGCGCAGCAGCGCGAGGCGGCGCTGGAGAGGGACCTGGGCACCATGTGGGTGCTCGTGGCGGAGCTCAGGGACATGGGCGGCGGCAGCAGGGCGTCGTCCGTCAAGGACAGCCAGGCCAGCGGCAAGGAGGGTGGTGGGGGCATGGGAGGGGCGGGGAGCTTCTTGGATGCGGAGGAGATGGCGGAGCTGGCGGGCAGCATTGGGGGCAGCGGCAGGTGGCTGGGGGAGCTGCGGAAGGGGGAGAGCGTGCGCAGCGAGGGGGGGAGCGAGGGGAGTAGTGAGGGCGGGCTCAGTTTGTCGGAGAGGGCAATGGAGCTGATCCGAGGGGGGTCGGGGGGCGGAGTGGGGGTGCGGGGGGGGGAGATGGCGCAGGGGCAGGTGGAGACGCGGGTGCAGGTGGCGGTGGAGCGGGAGACGGCAGGGCTCAAGGACGAACTCGCCAGAAGGAAGGTGAGAAGCGCTCAGTGATGTCACAAGTGTAGCGGCTCTCCCCCTCCATCACCCATCCACCTCTCCAGCATCTGTTGAATGAGGAAAGTTCACGTGCCCTCTCCTCTCGCGGATTCTGTTTTCCACCTGGCCTCACTCTGTGCTGCACCTCCTCCCCTGCCATCCCTCCCATGGCAGGGCGAGAACCTGGCAGGGCTGACGCTGAGGGAGCTGATGGCCCTGGAGGCGGACATGGAGACGGCCCTCACCAAACTAGAGGTCGCTAAGGTGCTCTCCCCCCCCTCCTCCCATTGCCCCATCTGTTCCTGTCACGTCGCTCCTCACTTGCTTCGTACCCCTACCCCCGATCTCTGTATCTCACATCAAGCTAACTCAAGACAACCCTGAGGGGGGCACGATGCATGAAATGGAGCTGAGACTTACCATCTGCGCCTGTTCCCACATCTCTTTCACTTCCTTTGCATTTTCGTCCGCTTGTCCTGAATCGTGGCTGCTTCACACCCCCATCTTCCGTCTGCCTGGTTTGCATGCCCCCCCCCTCGTCCCTCCACCCCCCCAATCCCCCGGCATGTGTGGCGTGGCTCGCAATGATGCAACGCACACGTGGCTTCCATGGCGTGGCTTCCATGGCGTGGCTTGGATGGCGTGGTGTCAACACGTGGCGTGCAGATGAGAGTGCGGGCGGGGGGCAGCACAGCAGGCAGCACCGGCACGACAGAGATAGACCCGGTAGAAGACTGTCTCCACCATCATCATCTTCTCGATGATGATGCCGATGATGATGCCCTGGGGCTGCCCCCTGGGGGGGATTATTTTTGCAAGAACTGTTTCGACGCTCCCATCTCCACGCAGACTCTGCCGTGCCACCACTCGTGTTGTACGGCCCAACGCGCCCTGCAACCATGCGTCACCCCCATCCTTTCTCTCTTGCTCGATCTCTCTCACGCACACACACATTCACATTACCATCCTGTGTTTCTCGTCCTCCTCTCACCAAAAACACATGTTATACATGGCACATTTGCATACGAGTCACATACTTTCTTTAACTCCCATCAGTCTCTGCAACCTCTTGTGTTTCTTCCTTCGCCGCAATTTCGGACCCCAAGTGCTCTTCCTTGACTGCCCTGTGTTGCGTTGTCTTTCAATAATGGCACCCGGTCTCCTCCCTCCATGCTCTGCTCTCATCTCACAACACAGCCTCCTCTGCATGATGCCAATCATACCTGCTCTTTCCCTCTGCCCGCCCCACCCCCCCCCCCCACTGCAACTCTTGACCCCATGTGCACGCATGCCAGACTGCGAGGACTGCGCCCGAGATGCTGACATGTGCGCCATGTGTCTAGCACCCGCCTCTGGCTTCCAGCCCAGCCGGTGACAGCAGACACAGCTGGCATATCCTGACACCTGACCTGAGACATGCCCTTGCATGCACTGCTTGCAGCAACCGCAGGGTCAAGCAGAGCACCATACATGCCCGGGCATGCAGGGGAATGTACATGGCTCACTAATGTCTGACATGGCTGGATTGGACGGGTGCAGCAGCTAGTGTGTCCCGCTGGATCACCAAGCTGGCGCTGGAGGTTAGGCGAACTGGCTTCTTGTGTTGTGCAATTAGGAACCAGATTCATTTATTCCGTGATGCTTTGCAATAAGGAGCAGCATGGTTGATGAAGAGATTTGATGTGATTGAGCAAGCCAGACCTCGCACTGCACTGCTGCCCGACTGACTGACCCCATGGGCCATGGCAGTTGGACTTGTACCCTTCAAAGCTGTGTGGCTGAGGTATTACAGGTCAGTAGGTTACTGGGTGGCTGCCGTGCGGTACCTGTCGCCGTCCCTGCAGCAGAACTGGTGCTGCAGCTTCACAACGCCGCAGCTCCTGGGCATGTGGGGGGGAATGGGAGGCAATGCGTCCTAATGAGGGAACGTTGTCGGGCGTGCTGGCAGACAGGGCTGTGCAATAGTACAAATGCCATGTCAGAGCTGGTCGTATGCTTTGACCAAAGCTTCACTCACAGGCATCTGACGACCACAGGCACGGCCTTGAGCGCCTTGGGCCCATTCCTGATGCCCTTCCGCGACGGCGTCACCTGCACGCCAGAGCAGGGGCGGCACACATGCCACGGTCGGACGCATGAAACTGCGGTACTTGCGTGCAAGCGCTGGTCTAACTAAGCTTCGGCGTACCTTCCTCTTAGGAACCGCCATCACCGCAAATTGATTCGCATCGTCCGGCGTCGATCGCGATTCCGTCGGGGGTAAAACGGACGGGCCGGATGCGACGGGGATGGCTGGGTGAATCAACGGCTCCGCTGCGCTTCCTTGGTGCTCGAGATCGTGTGAGGTGCACGGAAGGGTTGGTTGATCGGATCGCGACGATGCGGCGCAAGTTAGCGCGTGGGAAGGGGCGAGAGAGGCGGCGAACGGAGGGGCGGATGGGATGGCGGTGGAAAAAACGCGATAGACTACTCCGAGACACGCGTGCACAGCGCACGGCGAGGTAAGGTGGCGAGAGAGCGCCATGGCTGGGCTGCCCTGGTGTGTGGGGGGGGGAAGAAAAGAAGGAACTGGGTTCCGTTACTGTACAATACTGTACAGAAACCTCCTTTTAAAGAACCTGGAAATTCTGTACGACGTGCACGTAGAATCATAAGATGATGAGTTGTTCTGCAGCTGCGGTTCGGCGATGGTTGGATGGAGGCAGGGTGAAGTGGAAAGCGGAACACCAGATGGTCGCCAGCCAGTCATATTGCAGACGACCGGTTCCAATGGGCAACTGATGCGTTGGCAGTCTTTCAGAGGACGTCTGTCTTCAGCCAATCCTCACAATCAACGAACCTCAACCATTCGTTATGGGGTGGAGACTTTTCACCCACAAAAGCACAACTCTTTTTGCTGCTGATAGAAAATACCTAGCGGCGAAAAATAGCATTTTCCAGTTCTCATAAGCATGCCTACGAACCACTCTATCACGGAATCACTGTCCTGGATCTTGTTCAAGTTGCCCGTTTGGGGTGGAATATGCTGGAAACGAAGCAAGAAGGGCTGATGTGGTGGCGGTCCCTCTCGATCTTGCCTGGCGCCGAGCAAAAGCGCCAGCCGAAAAGCCATGCTGCTGTGTATCGCCTCGCCTCCAGGCCTCCTCTGTTTGCACCATCGCCCCAAATACTCGTCTATGTTCATGGTGACTTTAGAGTCGACTCAAAAGTCACCATGCTCACGGCACCCGCGCTAGCGTTGTGAACGTTTCCTCCTGCGTCCGGTCTCGGAGTCAGCACGTAGCGCGGCTCTCGGTTATCCTCGCGCCACCCTAGCACCGCTAGTCCCGCTCGCGCTGTCCGAGCGGCGCAAGAGCGGCGAGCGCCATGGGCGCGGCTGAGTACGTGCCGGGCGGGGAGGTGGCGCTGCTGTTCATGGCCGTGTCGCTGGCGCTCGGCGCGCTGTGCCGGCAGATCTTCAGCAACACGCGCGTGCCGTACACCGTCGCGCTGCTGCTCGTCGGCATCGCGCTCGGCGCCTGGGGTGAGCTTCGAGCCTCGTGACAGCGTTGATGCGACAGTGAGGCGACAGCGTTGATGCGACAACTCCTCCATGCTCGCTCTAGCGACTCGCCATGGGCTGCTGCTTTCCGCCCTCCTCGCCCTCACTTCCTCTCACACATACTCGCGCTCACTACCTCTCCCTCCCCCTCCCCCCCCCCCCCCCCCCCCCTCTCTCCTCGCGCCTCTCAGAGTTCTACGTGGACCTGGGGCTGCTCGGCGTCAGCATCCGCATGTGTACGTGCCGCTCGCGCGCACTCCCCTCGCGCGCACCAAACTCGCGCTCAAGTCCCATTCTATCGCGCCTCAATTGTGTCGCTCGCCGGCCGCCAATTGTCGTTCTTTCTGCCGCCGTCGCGCCGCCCCACCATCCACCTCGCCCTTCCCATTCGCCCTCGCCACCCCATCCCCCGCCCTTTCGTCTCCCATCCCTCTCTCGCTCCCCTCCTTCCGCCTCTTCCACGTTGCGCCCTCCCCCCCCTGTGCGGAGCAGGGGCGGCGGTGGAGCCGAACATCATCTTCTTCGTCTTCCTGCCCGCGCTGCTCTTCGAAAGCGCCTTCGCCTTCGAGTTCCACCAGATCAAGGTGCCAAGCTGCACGCTGCACGCTGCACGGTGCTGCCACCGCACCCCGCGCCTCGTGCTCGTGTTTCCTTGTACCGCCGCTCTCGTCTCTCCATTCCCCCCCTGCTCCGCCTTTCTTCCCCCCCAACGCGCCATCCTGCCTTCCTGCCTCCCCCCTTTCCGCCCGGCAGCGCTGCATGGTCCAAATATTTCTGCTCGCAGTGCCCGGCGTTGTCATCACCACGGGCTTCCTCGGTGTCATCTGCAAGGTACACTTGCTTCCTCGGTGTCGTCTGCACATTACAGCTGCACACCACATTTGTCACCAATCGTAGCACACCACACTTTGCTGCACTCTCCCCCACAATCTCTCCCCCCTCTCCCCCCTTGGGCAGTGCGTGCTGCCGTACGCGTGGTCGTGGCCGACGGCTATGCTGCTGGGCAGTGTGCTGAGCACGACGGACCCGGTGGCCGTGGTGGCGCTGCTCAAGGAGCTGGGCGCGTCCAAGAAGCTGCGCACCATCATCGACGGCGAGGCGCTCATGAACGACGGGTGAGGGGCGCATCAAGGACGGGTGAGGGGCGCATCAAGGACGGGTGAGGGCGCAGGGCGTGGCATGAGGAGGGCACTGGGGGCACTGGATGGCATGGCAGTGCGCGGTATGGCAAGGCATGCCAGATGGTGGGGAATAGTGTCCATGCTACAGCATTGTCTGCCTGCCCACATCCCTTTTCCTCCTCCCCATTCCCGCATCCCCTCTCCCTCTTACACCCTCTCCCCCCTCTCGCCCCTCTCCCCTCTCCCAGCGCTGCGATTGCAATTTTCCAGCTGTTTCTGCAGCTGGTGCTGGGGTACTCGTTTGGGGCGGGCGAGATCGTGGCCTTCATGTGCCGCGTCTTCTTCGGCGGGTCAGTGCCCGCCCACTTGCTTCCCATGCGGCCATGTCCCCTCAGCAGTGCCCACTAGCGCCCATGCAAGCCCTGTTGGTTCCCTTGTGACCCTTCTTGGCGCACCTCTCATGCTGTGCGCACATCAGCCGCCTCCTTCTCCAACCCATTCACTTTACCCACTCTTCCCCTCGCTCCTTCCTTCTCCTCCCCCCCCCTTCCCCCCCTCTCCCCTCCCACCCCTCCTGCAGCATCGGGCTGGGCATGGCGTTCGGCGTGGTGAGTCTGCTGTGGCTGCGCATGGTGTTCAACGACTACATCATCGAGATCACCATCACCATCTGCGGCTCCTACATGGCCTTCTTCGTGGTACGCCATCGTGCCATCGTGCCATCGCACCACATGCCGCAATATGCCACATTATGTCACACCAGGCCACACATGCCGTGTCCTCAGTCTCCACGTCCTCCCAGCCTGGCTACTCCTGTTCAGTGTTCCACCACCGCTTCCCCACCATCCATCCACTTCTCCCATGCCCCTCTCTCCTGCCGTGCCCCTCTCTCCTGCCGTGCACGTGCCTGCAGGCCAATGCCGTGACCAACATGTCTGGAGTCATGTCCGATATGACCCTCGGCATGTGAGTGCCCCTAAAGCCCACCGCCCTTGGCATGTGAGTGCTTTTAAAGCCCACCGCCCTCGGCATGTGAGTCCTCGTTCATGCTGCCTCGCTCTGTTTTTTCTTCACATCATTCCCCTTGGGGTATCACCACGAGTGCATGCTAATTCTACATGTCATGTGCAAGCCGTCATACTGTCTGCGTAATGTCTGACATGGGTTGCGCATTGCGGCATGTGGCATGTGGCATGGGGCTTGTGGCATGTGGGATTTGGGATGTGCGGCATGGCAGCATGTTTGCCATCTTCGCCAAGACTGCCTTCACTGGGGAGAACGAGAAGAACATGCACAGCTTCTGGTGAGCCCGCGTCTCTTGCACCGCGCCATCGCATTTCCGGAATTGCCGTTGCTTGTTGCTTGCTCACGCATGTCTCGTTGCGTGCCTGCGTGTGTGGGTGGGGGCAGGGAGATGCTGGCCTACATCGCCAACACGCTCATCTTCGTCCTCAGGTACCTCATGTTGTGCATTCACCCACTCGCCCAAACAGGCACACTCGTCCCCCCTCACCTGCACACTCCTCTTAACTTTCAGTAGCTCTTTTTAACGTGTTTTTGTGTGTGTGTTTTTTTTTTGCGTGGCTTAGTTTCTCTTCAGCTGTGTTTTTCTGCCGTGTTTTGGTTATGCAATCACACCCGTCTGTCCGTCGCCCCCATGCGGTGCGTGCAGTGGTGTGGTGATCGCAGAGAGCGTGCTGCACAACGCCAGCCACATCCAAGGTGCCGCCCTGGACACACTGCTCCCCCTGCCGTGCATTTGCGTGCTGCTACGCATTCATTCGCTGCCATTGCCCACACAACCTCAACACAGCAGGAGAGACGACCCAGCCTAACTTGTGTGCTCCTCCCACCCTTCCCCTCTCATCCCTTCCCCTGCGCTCGCCCCCCTGCAGCCAGCGACTGGGGCTACATGCTGGCGCTGTTTGTGTTTGTGCAGCTGTCGCGCGTGGTGGTGGTGGGGCTGCTGTACCCCGGGCTGGCCTCCAGCGGCTACGGGCTCAACTGGAAGGAGGCCATCATCCTCATCTGGTCGGGGCTGCGCGGCGGCATTGCGCTCACCCTCGCGCTCGTCGTCAGCGTGGGTGCCGTTGCCTGTGCCATCACCTCCGCTTTGCCATAGCCTGTTCCCCTTGCTATCCTCCGCTGAGTGCTGCATTGCATTCACATGGTGTGTTGCCTGCTGTCGTGTGCCATGCCATGCCGTGCCATGCCATGCCATGCCATGCCGTGCCGTGCCATGCCATGCCATGCCATGCCATGCCATGCCATGCCATGCTGTGCCATGCTGTGCCATGCCGTGCCATCACATGCCATGCCTGTCGTCATTCTCCCCCCTCCTAACACCCCCTGCAGCACGAGAAGAAGCCGGACAAGATATCCGAATCCACTGCTGCCAAGGTGAGATGCACTACCAGCCACGTGTGCTCACTGCCTGCTCACTGCGGATCCCTCTCAGTGCTCCCATTCATTGTGTGCCACCATCACCATCACCATCACCATCATCACCTGCGCACCTGCTCATCATGCATGCCCATGCGTTAGTCTGTCAACCGCAGCCCCAACCCAGCCCCACGTGTTGAGCCTCCTCCGTGCCCCGCGCCAGTTCATGTTCATAACGGGCGGCATCGTGTTCCTCACGCTCATCGTCAACGGCAGCACCACGCAGTTCATCTTCGCCGCGCTGCGCCTCAACCGCACGTCGCACGTCAAGAAGCGCATCATCCACTTCACGCGCCGCGAGCTATTTGACCATGCGGTCAAGACGTTTGAGGAGATCGGCGACGACGAGGAGCTGGGGCCCGCCGAGTGGGCCACGGTGAGCGAGTACCTCACGTGCCTCGACCAGAAGGTGCTGGAGCCGGGCGGCAAGGAGGCCTCCCACATGCGCGGCAGCCGCACGCACACCGGGTCCACGGCAGGGCCGGGCGGGGGGGGGCCGGAGGAGGCGGACGTGGAGAAGGCGGCGGGGGAGGCGGAGGCGGTGCGGCAGCAGCAGCTGGCGGACACGCGGCTGCGGTTCCTCAACGGCGTGCAGGCGGCGTACTGGAGCATGCTGGAGGAGGGGCGTGTCAACCAGACGGCCGCCATGCTGCTCATGCAGGCCGTGGCCGAGGCCATCGACCACACCGTGCAGGGCCGCCGCCTGCTGCTGTGGCCCGCCATGCGGCCGCACGTGCGCATGCCGCGCTACTTCCGCGCGCTGCACCGCGCGCTGCGCCCCCTGCTGCCGCAGCGCGCGCTCAACTGGGTGACGGTGGACCGCCTGGAGCTGGCCGCCTCCATGTCCGCCGCGTACATCCGCGCGCTCCGGCAGACCAGGCAGCAGCTGCGGGAGTTCCTCAGTGAGTGCTGGGGGCTGGGTGCTGGGTGCTGAGTGCTGGGTGCTGCTGGGTGGGTGCTGCTGGGTGCTGGGTGCTGGGTGCTGGGTGCTGGGTGCTGGCTGTGACGGATGCGCCAGGGTCTCCGTGTTTGAAACCCCGACGAAGGAAGTGGCTACAGCAGGGCTGTCCTTGATGCGTGCATCCGGGTGTGCCATCCATGCCTTCCCTCGCAGAGGACAGCCCCATCCTGGAGGCGGTGGTGCTGGAGAGCGAGGAGGAGGAGAAGGAGGCGAAGAAGTTTCTGGAGGACGTGCGCCTCAACGTGCCCGAGGTGAGCCGTGCACCTCAACGTGCCCGAGGTGAGCTGTGCGCCTCAACGTGCCTGAGGTGAGCCGTGCGCCTCAACGTGCCAGAGGTGAGCCGTGCGCCTCAACGTGCCCGAGGTGAGCCGTGCGCCTCAACGTGCCCGAGGTGAGCCGTGCGCCTCAACGTGCCCGAGGTGAGCCGTGCGCCTCAACGTGCCAGAGGTGAGCCGTGCGCCTCAACGTGCCCGAGGTGAGCCGTGCGCCTCAACGTGCCCGAGGTGAGCCGTGCGCCTCAACGCGCCCGAGGTGAGCCGTGCGCCTTAACGCGCCCGAGGTGAGCCGTGCGCCTCAACGCGCCCGAGGTGAGCCGTGCACCTCAACGCGCCCGAGGTGAGCCGTGCGCCTCAACGTGCCCGAGGTGAGCCGTGCGCCTCAACGTGCCCGAGGTGAGCCGTGCGCCTCAACGTGCCCGAGGTGAGCCGTGCGCCTCAAGGTGCCCGAGGTGAGCCGTGCGCCTCAATGTGCCCGAGGTGAGCCGTGCGCCTCAACGTGCCCGAGGTGAGCCGTGTGCCTCAACGTGCCCGAGGTGAGCCGTGCGCCTCAACGTGCCCGAGGTGAGCCGTGGGCGTCAACGTGCCCGAGGTGAGCCGTGCGCCACAACGTGTCGGAGGTGAGCCGTGCGCCTCAACGTGCCAGAGGTGAGCCGTGCGCCTCAACGTGCCCGAGGTGAGCCGTGCGCCTCAACGTGCCGGAGGTGAGCCGTGCGCCTCAACGTGCCAGAGGTGAGTCGTGGGCGTCAACGTGCCCGAGGTGAGCCGTGCGCCTCAACGTGCCCGAGGTGAGCCGTGCGCCTCAACGTGCCGGAGGTGAGCCGTGCGCCTCAACGTGCCAGAGGTGAGTCGTGGGCGTCAACGTGCCCGAGGTGAGCCGTGCGCCTCAACGTGCCCGAGGTGAGCCCCGCTAGAGATGACACATTCCCTCTTGAACGCACGGAAGAAAGCTCTGCTCTGTGGTCTGCGCACCTAGCCGCTTCACAAGGTTAGCCCTGCAAGCTTTGCACGCCATTTTGAACCGTGCATACCTAAGCAAAACTAATTAATAAAAATAATAATCTTACCCACCGTCTGTTCATGTCTCCCCCCCCCCCGCACTGCCTCGTTCAGGTGCTGACGATCATCAAAACGAAGCAGGTGACGCACGCCATCCTGCAGGAGCTGCACGGCTACGTGGAGAACCTCGACCACTCGGGGCTGCTGGACCAGAAAGAGGTCGTGCTGCTGCACAACGCCGTCACGGTGGGTCAAGGGCCAAGTGTAGGGAACTTGTGTTCAGGCTCCTGCGTCCATAGTAGACTGTGCATTCCCTCCGCCACCAGAAGCTGTACCATTCCACCTGCAGCAGAAGTTGAAGAGAACAGGGCAGGACAGGGCAAGGGAATGTGAGGGCAGGGCAAGGGAATGAGACATGGAGCCAAACTAATTTCCTTGCCCTGTTCTGCACTCATTCGTTTGCCCTCCCATGCTCACATTCCCTAGCCTTTCCCTGCTTTCAGTCCCCTGCCCTGCCCTGCCCTGCCCTGCCCTGCCCTCATTTTCTCGTCCTGACCTGCCTTCACTCCCTTGCATTGCTCTCCACTCTCGCCTTTGCAGTGCCAAGTCTCACACCTTGCCGCGCACCTTTACCTTGTTCTCCGCCTCGTCTCATCACCTGCCCCTCATTCCTGTACCCTGCACTGCGTGCATTCCCCTGCCCTGTGATTCTCTCAGTCCCTTGCCCTTCCGTGATTGCATACACTCCCCCTGCTCTGACCAGGCGGACCTGAAGAAGCTGCAGCGCAGTCCGCCCTTTGTGGCCATGCTGCCGGCGGAGGAGGTGTTGTTGCGGCAGCCGCTCATCGGCGCGCTGCCGGTGGACATCCGCCTGGCGCTGCTGCAGCCGCTCAAGGAGGCCACCAAGCTGTCCGACTCCACGCTCTTCCAAGAGGGGCAGCCCGCCGAGGGCGTCTGGCTCATTGCCTCTGGCACCGCCAAGGTAACCTTCACAACTTGCAGCCACTCTGTTCTCTTAAGTTTGCATCACTGCTGACAAATTCCCTTGCATTCCCTCCCCTCCTATACCTCTCCCCCTACCCCTCCCTTTCCCGCTCCTCTCCGGCTCCCCGTCCCCAGTGGACGTCCAAGGCAGCGGAGGCGGAGGCGGAGGCGCACGGGCAGCACTTGATTCCGCCGCTGTTTGCGCACGGCAGCTCGGTGGGGCTGTATGAGACGCTGCGCGGGTGCGCGCACCAGTACTCGGTGGTGGCGGACAGCGTGCTGCACTGCTTCTTCATCGATCGGCAGCGCATCCTGGCGGCCAAGGACAGCAGCGACGCCATCCAGGACTTCCTCTGGAAGGTGCCACGGGGAAGAAGGGCGAGAGGGCGGGGGGGGGGCTTAAGGGGGGAGGGGGGGAAATGATGAGGGAGGAATGAGGAAATGGAAAAAAAACTGTAAGTGTTAGAAACACTGGTTCGCTACTTGACTGGTTTAAAAGGGCATGTTGAATTGGTGGTCAGCGCACCCACACTTCCGAGGACAGATGCCGTAGGCCTCGGGGATCTCTCAGTCATCCCAGTGGCCCTGTAATCAACAAAAGTGGTGTTCTCACATCCTTTGCCCTCTCAACATCTCACCACGCCCTCTCACCACCCACCCTCTCAGGAGAGCTGTTTGGAGGTGGCGCGGGTGCTGCGCCCCATGGAGTTCGGCGCCCTCTCCATGCACGACCTGCGAGTGCTCTTCGCTTCCTCCGCCCGCCTGCTCACCATCGCCCCCCACACCGCCATCCACCTGGCGCCCTGCGAGGTCGCGCTGCTGCTGCTGGGGGCCGTGCGCCTGCCGGGGGAGGGGGTTGAGGGCGACGGGGGGGATGGTGGTGGGGGCAGCAGGGAGGGCGAGAGGGGGGAGGGAGAGGAGAAGGGCGGGCGTGTTGACGAGCTGCCAGCTGCTGATGCGTGGGGCAGCCCTCAAGGGGCAGCGGCCAATCAGCCTGCAGCAGCGGTCAGCCGTCAGATGACTCCCCACGCTGGGTCCCCCGCCGCCGCTCCTCTTGCGCCCGCGTCGTCCCCGCCAGCTGTACCACCCATCTCCCCTCCTCAGCGCATGGCGCTAGGTGCTTTCTCCGCCGACAGCGCTGGCAACCACAGCAGCCGGGAGGGCAGCGTGAACGGCAACATGACGGAGAGCAGCTTTGAGGACAAGGCATCCGTGTCGGTGTCAGTGTCGGTGTCCGCCAGCATGTCGGACGTGCCTGATGGCGGGCCTGATGGCAGGCCACACGCGCAGTGGGCAGGCAAGGAGGCGGAGGGGCAGGCGGCGCGCAAGGTGAGGAGCGAGGGCGGGGAGCAGGGCGGGGCCAGCAGCGGCAGCAGGGGCGGCTTCTTCAGAACGAGGAGCGAGGTGCTCAAGAGCGGGTTCAGGAGTCTTTCCAAGGGCAGTCAGCGCCTCGTGCGCGCCATAAGCTCCAAGGACCGCGATGGTGACAGGGGCGGGTGGCAGAGCGGCAGGGAGGGGGGGGGCAGCCGGGAGGAGATGGAGCTGGGGGTGATAGTGGAGGACGGCCGGATCGTGAGCATCAACGCGCCCGCGTACCTCACCCCGCAGCCCACCACGGCTGGTGAGCCGCCGTTTGGTCGCGTGGTTATTGCTGTTTCTGGCGTGCCCATGCGAAGGGGCTATTAGCTGCTGTCATTTCATCATGTGGCTTTGCTTTGCTTGGGATATTCGGTTCCTTATCTTGGCTTTCCATTCACCCCCCATTCCCCAGCCCCCGTGGATGGCTCGTCGGCGCCGTCGTACATCGCGCTCACCATGTGCAAGCTGATGGTCGTTGAGATGCCGCACCCCCAGCACTCCCTGCAGGGCACCCCCACACGGTGAGACGCCCCTTCCCTCACTCCCTCTCCCCCCCATGCGCTCCTCCCTCTCCCACACCTGCGCGTATCGCTCGCTACTAATACTTGCCGCACGGTTTCCCGTGGAGCCACAACACAACAAGTCTATTTGCTCTCAATCCATGCATGCGCCCGCCCCTCCCTGCCCCTCCAGCACCTTCCACGGGCACCGCAATGCGCCAGCACACGACGCGGCGACGCTGTTACGGTGGCAGCTGGAGGGCGGCGACGAGGAGAACGACGACGATGACGGGTTCATCTCATCGCGCCTGCGCGGGGGGGCGCCCGTGGGTGCGCGCACGGCAGGAGGGGGAGTGGCCGCCGGGGCCACTCCGGGGAGAAGTGCTGCTGGTGCTGGGGGCGGGCTGGGCGGGGTGCTGGGCAGCATGATGGGGGGGGGAACGGCGGTGGCGCATGGAGGGTACGGGGACGTGGAGGACAGTGAGATGACCATGCCACGTGGCAGTGAGCTGGCTGCCATGCTGGCAGACCGGGTGGCAGTGGACAGGCAGCTGATGGAGCGAGCCATGCAGCTCAGCGTCTTCGGCAACAAGGTCAGTCTTGCTTTGCTTGGTCTCTGGTTTCTGTCCCATTAGTGCTCCTTTCATCCACTTCACATTTCTCTGTCCATCCATCTAATCCCACCCCCCCATACCACCCCGTGCCCACACCAGATGCAGAAGCGCCCCCGGCGGCCATCAGAGGCGGCATCAGCAGGGCACCCCACAGCCCATGCCAGTGCCGCGGGGCACCTCTTCTCCCACACTCCCGCTGCTGCCAGCGGCCATGCGCCGGTGCGCAGCTGCAGCACAGAAGCAGCAGCAGCCAGCGCGAACCCCCCGACCTCATCATCACAGCCGCCTGAGGAGTCGTCCCTCGCAGCCCTGGTGGCGTCCCTCTCTGCCGCAGCGGCTGCTGCCCCCCCCTCCTCCTTCGCCCCTCCGTCCAGACCAGCACCACCGGCGTCCGCCCCCACCTCCTCCTCCGCCATCCCCCTGGACGCCTCCCCGCTCATACCTGCGCCGCACAGTGCCTCCGCCATCGCCCTCCAAGGGGGGCGGGGGGAGGGGGTTCAAGCAGAGGAGGAGCACCCACTGGTGGTGGGGGATGGAGCTGACGGAGAGATGCGGGAGTGAAGGAGGTAGTGGCAGGGGTGGCGGTGGCAGGGAGCGAGCAGGAGAGGAGGGATAGGGATGCTGTGGGGAGCTGTGTGCTCGCTGGATGTGTCAAAAGGAACCCATTCTTTGGAAACATACCGTTTGCATTATTCAGGAAGCCAGATGCTTCCGCCTGTTCGATAGCAGTGAAAACACTGTTCTGCTGTACGGTACCTATGAAGAACCTAGATGAAGGTTTCATTCTTACTGTTGCACAAATGTGCAGCAGTCAGCACATGTACAGTGGTTGTTATGGACCTCAAACCCTTGCCTTATGTGTGCAATAACCCTGCCTCTAGTAGTAGCTAACGGCAACACTACGCAACACATCTGACATTCGCTATTCTACAAATATGGTGGAAAATCTCCGCGGGCTTACTGCTTCCCACTGAACGGTGCTCTCGTATATTTGCCCTCAAAGGCAAGCCATGGCGTGGCGTATGCATCCATCGCATGTGTGTGTGTGTGCCATCAACCAGGGTGGGTGCATGCCCCTAGCTTGGTCGCGTGTGTGCCATTCGATGGCAGCAGGAGCATGGGCAGGAGCAGGAGCAGGAGCAGGAGCAAGGGGAGTAGCATCAGTGCAAGCAGAGCCAACGCGGGCAGCACAGCTTTATTGGAAAAAGGAGTGAACGGAGACCACAGTGGCGTTTGCTTGAGCACATGCACAATCGAGCCAGTTCAGTTGAAGCGGTCGGAGGGGGGTACGGGGCCGTTGAGGGCAATGGCGTGGCCGTCGGAGGAGGCGTCGAGGAACTGGCGGATGTAGCGCTGCGTCCACTCCCTGGGCGCGCCAAACTCCTCCACCAGATGCGCCACGAACACATTCACCGCCTCCTCCTGGGGGGCACGTGGGCACACACACACACGGGCATAGGCATGCAGCACACAGGACACTTGAGCTTGCACACGAGCTCGATATGCTGGGAAGGTGGAGGTGCCATGTACGGCTGACATGTACGGCTGACATGTACGGCTGACATGTACGGCTGACATGTACGGCTGACATGTACGGCTGACATGTACGGCTGACATGTATGTCTGACATGTACGGCTGACATGTACGGCTGACATGTACGGTTGACATGCCATGGCACCTGCAACGGGGATGAGTGCCCCTGCGTGCGTGGCTCCGTCTGTATGCTCTTGTGTGTCCACAGAACCGCAGGCAGTGGGGTATGAAGCATCGACTCACCTGCTGCGAGTAGGGCTTGGAGATGTCGATTCACCTGCTGCGAGTAGGGCTTGGAGATGTCGACTCACCTGCTGCAAGTAGGGCTTGGAGATGTCGACTCACCTGCTGTGCGTAGGGCTTGGAGATGTCGACTCACCTGCTGCGAGTAGGGCTTGGAGATGTCGACTCACCTGCTGTGCGTAGGGCTTGGAGATGTCGACTCACCTGCTGCAAGTAGGGCTTGGAGATGTCCACTCACCTGCTGCGAGTAGGGCTTGGAGATGTCGACTCACCTGCTGCGAGTAGGGCTTGGAGATGTCGACGAACTGGGAGCGCACGGCGCGCACGCGGCTGCGGATGAACGCCTCCATCTCCTGCGTCAGCCCGCTGCCCGCCCCCGTGGCCTCCGCCAGCCCCGCCACCACCTGCCGTCCCGTGCAGCACCGGGGGGACAAGCGGTGAATAGCAGGAAAAGCAGAGGCCGTGAGCTGGATACAGAAACGACACCAAGAGGGCTCTGTTCCCCATGGTGCATATCACTCGTCCCCTTCCCCCGCCTCCAGGCCTCACCTGCTTGAGCTGCTGGCCTCACCTGCTTGAGCTCGTGCACCTCCTTGACGGCGGCGTTCCTCTCCTCTATGAGCTGCGCTGCCAGCATCTCCAGCACGCGCTTGTCCTCCTCCCTCTGCGCCTCAAACGCCGCCCGCAGCTCCGACGCCTGTCCCGTGCACCGGCAGCATGTCACGCAAGCACGGACAGGCGGAGCAGTGCGGGTTGGAATGATGGGCGGGTAGGGTGGAGGGACGAGCTCGAAACAGGTGAATGGAAATGAACAGGCGGTGGCTACACCAAGTTGAGGGTCGGAGATTCACCAGCTCACATGCTTCCTCCCATGTCTGACCGCTCCTCCCACCACACCCCCCCACCTGCGTGATGGCGGAGTCCCTCATCCCCCCCACCTGCTTGATGGCGGAGTCCCTCATCCCCCCCACCTGCTTGATGGCGGAGTCCCGCTCATCAGCCAGCTGCAGCGCCACGGTCTCGAGCGCCAGGTTCTGCTCCTGCAGGCGCTGAACCTCGGACGCCAGCATGGCCTCGATGGCGCGCATGCGCTCCGTCATCGCGTTCACCGCCGTCTTCAGCGCCGTCACCTGCACCCCACGCCCACGCATGCATGCATGCACGCACGCACGCATGCAGGCACGCCACCGCACATGCACGTCACCACGTGCGTGTAGGTGCGTCAGTAGCTGTGGCAGGACCACATCTGGGAAAACAAATGACAGCGCAATGAAGTGCAAGCATGTGTCAAACATGTGCCAAGCATGCAGCTTGACCAGCCACGTGCTGCCATGCGCGGCAGCCGAATCCCGTGCTGCCATGTGCTGTCCCTCTCCTCCCACCTCAGCGATGGCGGAGTCCCGCTCGTCCGCGAGCTGCAGCGCCACGGCCTCCAGCGCCTCCTTCTCCGCCACCACGCGCGCCATCTCCTGCCCCGCACGCCGCATCTCCCCCGCCGCCGCCACCGCCACGTCCCTCTCCGCCTCCAGCGCGCGCAGCCGCCCCTGCACGCCCTCGCCCACGCCCTGCCGCGCACAGAGGAACGGGGTGGGGGAGGCGGGTAGAGGGGAAACGGGGGGGAGGACAGGGCTGACGGCGGGCAGAGGGGCTGCGGATGGCCCGGCGCAAAAGGGCTTCCGCTTCCTATCGTGCATGTGGCCTTTGTGAGACACGTCAAGCCCTTGCCCTGCTGCTACGTGCCATCCTTCACAAGCGACAGCCCACACATGGCGGTGTGGCTCACCTCGGGGATGCGCGAGGCGGGGCTGTCAGGGGCAGATTCGTCGGAGGCGATGTTGGGGAAGAGCGTCTGGATGGCCGTGATGGGCGTTGGGGCTGCGGGGATCTTGCGCTTCGTGAAGTACTGCCTGCCACGCACACGCGGAGGGGGGGGCGAAGGGGGTGCGGGGGGTGGGGAGGAGGGACACGCATAGATAAAACAGGAGCTTCACACCGTGACGCACATGAGAGGCTCGGGGGGAATGTGGCAGTGGCAGCAAGTGGAGGGGCAAGACATGCGTGGGTGAGTGTGCAGTAGGGAGGGAGAGAGCGAGGGGGCGGGAAGGCGGGGGCGACCTGGCGACGAGGGCGCAGTAGACGACGCCGATGGTCTGCATGAACTCGGGCGCCAGCGGCACGGAGTCCAGCGACCCCAGCAGCGACGTCGCGAACACCACGCCCAGCACCGCCAGCCCTGATGCCCGCACGCACACGCACGCACGCAGGGGGGGAAGTGGGGAGGCGCAGGGGGGAGGGAGGAGGAGGTGGGGAAAAAGAAGGGTGGGATGAGGGAGGGAGGGAGCTAGCATGCGCTGCACTGACGCATGAACGCGAGATGGGAGACAGAGTGAGAGAAACGTTGGGCAGGGTAGCAAGCCCACCTGCGGCGGCAGCAGAAGCAGCAAGCCCACCTGCGGCGGCAGCAGAAGCAGCAAGCCCACCTGTGGCGGCAGCAGAAGCAGCAAGCCCACCTGCGGCGGCAGCAGAAGCAGCAAGCCCACCTGAGGCGGCGGCGGCGGTGCCGACAGTCTCAACGGGCGCGTCCTCCACTGCGCGCACTGCCCCCCGGACCACCTCCCCCACTGACGCGCGCTCCCCCCGCCTGCCCGCGCCAGCACGGCCCCGGGGGAGGGGGGAGGCGGAAGCGCTGGTGGCGCGGGGAGGAGGCTGTTTGGGGGGTTGCTCCGACTCGCGCTGAAGGTGACACAAACGGGGGGCGGTGGACGGTTCGGGGAATGGGCGGCAGGGGGGAATGGTGGGAGGCACGGGAGAGGGCAGGGGGAGCAGGAGGTTGGGAATGGAGGTGGCGGTCGCAGGGGATGGGGGATTCTAACGACTGCTGGAGGTGCAGGCGTAGCCCGCACGCGGGCACACCCATGGGCAGCCTGATATTAGGGTTCCACGCTTCCGGGCGAGAGAGTGCCGGCTGCGCATTGGCAGATGCGAGATCTTTAAGGGGCACGGCGCTACGTGATCGCGTAACCCTAACAAGGCCGGCAGTGAGGCGCATAGCGCGCCAATTGCGCGATCGGCGGGAGTGCAAGGGAGACGGAGCGGAGGTCAATTCGTGGCACTACCATGCAGGCGGGGGAAGGGCGCGGGCCGCACCTTGAGGCTGAGCACCTCGCTCTCCTTGGGCGGCAGACTCGCCTCATCCTGCTCTGCCACCTTCTGGTCGCCAGGCGACGACGATGACGACGCGGCGACGCATATGCGCAGTCTTAGGCGGGGTTGGCGGAGGGGGAAGGGCCGGGAGAGGTGGAGAGCGGGAATGAGAGCGCTAGAGGCGGGGGGGGAGGGGGAGGCGGGAAGCAGGGGTGTGCGCGCTAAGAGCGCCATGCCTAGGGGACTACGGCGGCGGGAGTGCCAGTGGTGCGGGCGTCAATGGTCAGCCTCGTGCCGTGCTGCGACGGGTGGGCGGCACACTCATGGAGGGAGCATTCGGCGCGCAGTGCTGCTATGTGAGAAGCGTAACGCTGCCTCTCGAGCCCGCAACCCAAGGGAGGGCTTTGGCAGTGGAGAAAAAAAAGGTCGGGGGGAAAAGTGGATAGGGACTGAGGCAGGGTGGGGGGACATGCGCGATCACTGCGGCAGTGCAGCTGAGAAGCAGACTCCAAAACTCTCCAGGTTTTGCTGAATAATTTTCGCAACGAATTAAGTTACATCTCGCAAACCCAGTTCGTCAACCCAGCGAAGAGACCGAAGCACAGTTGGGGATCGCATCGATATTGTTTACTTCGTTACGAGGCTTACCGCATCTGCCTACATGAAACGCATCTGTGGATTCACCATCCAAGCGAAGCCAAACCCGACGCTTCGGAAGCGCGGGCCGTGTGCGCTGGCTCTTGCTTTCTGTCCCCTCTGCTCTCACCCACGCACGGCTTCCACAGCTTTCCCAACTCCCTGCATCAGCCCGTCTCACCAATCATCAGCGCACGCTGCACACGCTCGCACGCCCGGCAAGCTCGACCTGTGCGCGAGAAGCAAGTTGCGGTGCAGGGCTCGGGGCAGGGGGCAGAGCAGGGCGCAGAGCAGGGCGCGGAGCAGGGGTGGGGGCGGCGATGGCGGAGCCGGACGTGGGGCCGCTGGTGGCGAGCTTCATCGACTTCACGGGCAGCGACGACGCCGTCGCGCTCCAGATGCTGCAGGTCGCCCCGCCGTGCCGCCCCGCCGTGTCTCCAACTCTCTCGAGAATTCCCCACTGCCGCCTGGCCCGCGCCTTGTTTCTCATCCAATCCTGCAAGCGCTGTCTGCGCCCGTCCACCCATGCCCTGTGACTCACCCACGGCCTTGCCCTCTGTGCGACGCTGTGCGACCGGGTGCGTGCAGGCGACGAGCTGGCGACTGGAGGAGGCGGTGCAGCTGTTCTTCGCAGGGGGCGCGGAGGCGGCAGGCGCACAGCGGGCGGACGCGGATGGCGGAGGCGCTGTGGGGCGAGGGGGCGGTGGAGGCACCGGGTAGGGCTGATTGCTGTGAGCGCAGTGGGTGGCGCTTCTATCCATGCCCGGCCGAGGATTCCCTTCTCCTCTCGCTGCGCCTCACGCGCCTCCCATGGCGTTCCTGCCTCACTCGCCCCCTTCCCTTTCTCCTCCGCTTCTCCTCCCTTTCTCCTCCCCCCCCCTGCATCTCCCCCACTTGGCGTCTGCCAGGCCGCGTGATGCCACGCCCCCTCCACGCTCCTCGTCCCCTCCACCAGCACCAGCAGCAGCCACAGCAGGAGGGGGAGGACTGGGCATGGGCGGCAGCATGGGAGGCGGGGAGGAGGTGGTGCGAGCGCCTCTGCCGGTGAGGAGGGAGGCGCTGTACGGCGATGCGTATGCGCTCAACCGACCCACGCTGGGGTGAGTGCTCGCATGCGCTCAACCGACCCACGCTGGGGTGAGTGCTCGCATGCCCTCAACCGACCCACGCTGGGGTGAGTGCTCGCATGCCCTCAACTGACCCACTCCTGGGTGAGTACACTTGAGCCGCGCCACGCACATTCTCCTTGACCCGTGGTGTCTTTCGTTCACCCCTCGCTAGCTCCCCGCCATCCCCCCTGCTCCATCGCAACCTGCACTCCTCCCTCGCCCCTATTCCCCTCCCCCCACCCTCACCCCCCCAGCGTGTCGGCCAGGGCGTTGGCGGCAGCCGCCCCGCCCGTGGTGGATGGCTTTCGCGACTTTGGGGGCGAGGCAGCGGCCAGGGCCAGGGCGCGGGGGGAGGGGCAGCAGGGGGGCGAGGGGGGGGCAGTGCGGCAGGCATCGCTGGCGTCGCTGTTTGAGCCGCCGTACGACATCCTCTTTGCGGGGTCCTTTGACCAGGTTGGGGGGGGGGGGGGGGGCACACACATGCACGGCCTGGCTAGTGCACATGGCCGCACATCACCCTTTTTCATGGGGTGCCCACCGCTGCTGTGTTGTGTTGCACTGCACTGCATGCGCGCATCCATCGCTGATGATTTCCTCTACACGCGTGCATGCGTGCGTGCAGGCGAAGCAGCGTGCGGGCGCGGAGGGCAAGTGGCTGCTGGTGAACGTGCAGTCGACGGGGGAGTTCGCCTCGCACATGCTCAACAGGGACGTGTGGGCCGTGCCAGCCGTCAAGGAGACCATCACCACCTACTTCGTTCTATGGCAGGTCAGAATGCCACGTGGCTCTGCCACGTGGTTCTGGCAGGTGGTTCTGGCAGGTGTTTCTGGCAGGTGGTTCTGGTGGTTCTGGCAGGTGGTTTCGGCGGGTCACCATTGGGTGGCGGTTGGATGCGCCGTGGCAGCTCATCACAGCCTGTCACATTCGCTGTCAGCCAGCTGCACCAGGGGCCCACCCACTCCCATTCCACCAGTCGTGTTGTGCCCGTCCCTCAACGAATGACACTGTGCCCGCCACTGCCCCCTCCCGTGCGTGCTTGGCGCTGGCAGGTGGATGCGGCGGCGGCGGAGGGCGCCAAGGTGTGTGGGTACTACGGGGTGGCGGGGCTGCCGGTGGTCATGGTGCTGCACCCTGCCACGGGCCAGCGCAAGCGCTGCTGGGAGGGCGCCCTCTCCGCTGACCAGCTGCTCGAGGTGGGAGGAGGGGGAGGGGAAGGGGAAGGGGATCTGGCGTTAGAACCTGTCTCCTGGCACTAGTGTGCCTTTGTGCTGCTTCTGCCTCATCCGTGAAGTTGTCCTGAGCTTCCTCATGGCCCCACATCACCTGCGTGCCTGCCTGTGTGCGTGCATGCGTGCGTGCGAGCAGGATCTGATGCCCTTTATCGACCGCGCCCCTCAGGAGGGCGCGTCCCTGCCAGGCGGGGAGGTGCGGCCGCCCAAGAAGCCACGTGACGTGCCGGAGGCTGCACAGGGGGTGGGGGTAGTCGGGCGGAGTGGCGAGGAGGACGAGGAGGAGCAGCTTCGCCTGGCCCTGGCCGCCTCCCTGGAGGGACACTCGGAGGGGCAGAAGGGCGAGGCAGGGAGAGAGGAACAGGGTGGGGGGGTGGGGGCAGGCAGAGACGATGCCTTGCACGAGGCAGAGGAGCAGCAGGGAGCACAGGCAGGAGGGGCAGCGGCGGCGGAGGTCGAAGTACCTGAGGAGCCGGCAGTCGGCACTCCTGCCAGCTGTCGCATTGCCATTCGCTGCCCGGATGGCGCTCGACTGCAGCGCCGATTCCTCTCCTTGCATCCACTTGAGGTGCTGCTCGCTCGCCTGCCTCCCGTGTCATGGGTGTGCTGCGTGTAATGGGTGCGCTGCGTGTCATGGGTGCGCTGCGTGTCATGGGTGTGCTGCGTGTAATGGGTGCGCTGCGTGTCATGGGTGCGCTGCGTGTCATGGGTGTGCTGCGTGTAATGGGTGTGCTGCGTGTCATGGGTGTGCTGCGTGTCATGGGTGCGCTGCGTGTCATGGGTGCGCTGCGTGTAATGGGTGTGCTGCGTGTCATGGGTGCGCTGCGTGTCATGGGTGTGCTGCGTGTAATGGGTGTGCTGCGTGTAATGGGTGTGCTGCGTGTCATGGGTGCGCTGCGTGTCATGGGTGCGCTGCGTGTCATGGGTGCGCTGCGTGTCATGGGTGCGCTGCGTGTCATGGGTGTGCTGCGGGTCACATGGTCTTCTCCTCATCTTCACTACCTTTCTCTCCTACTCCATCCATCCCCCCCCCACCCCCCGTCAACCCCAGGTGCTGCGGGCGTGGTGTCGCCAGCAGCTGCCAGAGGCGGCAGCGGGGCGGCCCTTCCGCCTGTCGCTTGCGCTGCCCGGCTCCGCGCCTCTGGACCTCTCCTCCGCCACCACCATTGCAGATGCCGGCCTCGCCAACTCTTTGCTGGCCTTGGCGTGGGACTGACCACACACGCGCTAGTGCCTATAGGCTTGCTGCACCACTAGGCGGTGGTTCCTGTAAACGTGCAATCCAGCCTTTGTTGGCTGCAATGCAATTGAAATCATGACGCCCCTTGCTGCAGGTTAGGTTAGGTCCGTTGAGTCAATGGTAATGCGCATGGTACCGACCCCTGCTTGGCCTAGACGAATATCTTCACTCCCATCCCCAGCCGTTTCAGGCAGCTGCTTCTGGTTTTGATTCTGTCTGGAAGCAGCTGAGCTGTCAGTACCTACGGCTCGTCTCTAGTGGGAGAGCTGTAGGTGGTTGCAAGCAAGCACACATTGGACGCTAGTGTGAACAAGTTTTCTCTACATCTTGCATGGGCTGCTATTGCCATGTTGGATTTGTGATAATGAGTTCTCCCCAGCAATGGTCTCAGGACCCAGCATTTGAAGCGCGCATTGCGGAACCAGGGAGGCCGCCTGATCACTCCCACCACCATTTCGCGTGCTTCCCCAGTCTCGCCGCCACACTGCGATCGCCAGCGGGCCTGTACTAGTATGTGATTACATAGAATGTGATTCTCCCCCCTCGCACCTTTCCCGCATGTCACCACCATGCCGGCCGCGCTCTCCCTCGTCCCCCACCCGCCCCCGCACACCTCTGCCCCTGCTCCATGCCATGTCGCGTTCCCCCCCCGCGCCTCTCATGCGCCGCCTATCGCCCGCCACTCCACGCTGCCTGCCCGCCCCTCATCGCCGTCGCGCGCTCCCTGTCCCTCCGCCGCCTCGCGCGTGTCCGTCCGCACGTCTTCCGCGGCGCGCAGAGCGGGATCCATTGTTGGTTCAAGCCCAGAATTCTTCCGCCTAGGGGCGCTCTCTCCACGCCACACGGCAGGTTGCGCGCCACTCTCCCCCTTCCCCGCCTTCCCCGCCGCTGCGCGTCACGGCAGCGCCAGCAGCGCGTGGCTTACAGGCTCCTCGCGCGTGCACGCGCTTCCCTCGCGCGTCTCAAGTCCGCTACTCGCGCCCTCCCCATTCACTCGCCATTCCGCGCTCCTCCTTCCGCCCCCCGCCGTTGCGCCCAACGGCCGCGGCGGAGGGCACAGGGGCGGAGGGCGCGTGGTGTGCGGTAGAGTGAAGCGGGGGAACGACAGCAGCGCGGATGGGCCTACTGCTGGCGCGGGGGCTGGCAGTTCTGGCGGCGCTGGCGGCGCTGGTGGCGCTGGTGGCGGTGACAGTGGCGGAAGCGGTGGGGGAGGCAGTAGCGGCGGAAGCAGTAACGGTGGTGGCAGTGGCGGCAGCAGCAGCGGCGGCGGTGGTAGGTCAGGCAGGTCAGGTGGCAGCGGCAGCAGCAAACCATCCCCTCCCGCTGAAAGCCTCAACGGATGCGCCTCCCCTGCCTCCCCGCCCCCCCCACCCGCCCCGCGCCCATCCTCCTCCTCCACCCCCCCTTCCCGTTCCCCAAAGCCCCCCACTGCCTCTGACACGCCCCGCCGTGGTGCCCCTGCATCGCCCTCCCCCCAACCCCCCGCGGATGCAGCGCCCCCGTCTTCCCCTGCGCCCCTGGCGGCCGCGCGGCGGCGGCGCAGGCGGGAGCGGGGCGTGGGGTGGAGGCGGGTGGCGTGGGGGCTGGCGGCGCTGCTTCTGTGGGGCGGGGGGGCGTACGCGCAGCAGAGGGCGCGGCAGTACGTGCAGGCGCGCGTGCTGCCCGTGGTGGCGGCGGCAGTGAGCGCGCAGGCGGGCAGGCAGGTGACGCTGGGGCGCGTGCAGCAGCTGCTGCCGTGGGCGGTGAGCCTGGGGCCCCTGGGCGTCGGCCCCAGCACGTCTGAGTTCTCATGTGCGGAGGCAGAGGCGGTGCATGTGAAGGTGAGCGGGCGGGAGACTGCATAATGCACGCATGATGTCCGACACACGGCAGGCCGTGCCTCGTGCATGGTACATGCGTACATGCCCCCAGTGCCTATCACCCCGGCTTCTCCACCAATCCCGTCCCTCCCGCCGCCTCCCCCTTCATTCTCTCGCGCCCCTGCCTTCCCTTGTGCGCGCAGCTGCACCCCTGGGCGTCGGTGGCGCGGGGGCGGGTGGTGGTGGGCGCGGAGGTGGCGCGGCCCACGGTGGTGGTGGCGCAGCAACCCGACTGGACGTGGCTCGGCATCCCCGGCGACATGGACGCCCCCGCCCTCCCCGCCTCCGCTGCCCCGCCCATCTCTGCGCGAGCCTACCAGCAGCGCCAGGCTCGGGACGCAGCCTCGGTGGCAGCAGCGGAGGAGCGGGACAGCCTGGCGCTGAGAGGGGCGCAGATCCAGTACCGGGGGGAGGGGGGCGCACTGGGGGCGGATGGTGGGGTAGGGGAGGAAGGGGAGGGAGGGGAGGGTGGACGTGGACAAGGGAGAGTAATTGGGGGTGCGGAGGTGGGTGCGGGTGTGACAAGGGGCGAGTGGGAGTGGGTGGCAGAGCAGCAGCGGGCAGCAGAGAGGGCTGTGAGCCAGGCCCTGCATGCTGCAGTGGTGGCCCTGGGGTGGGTGGGGGACGAAGGGCCCCTATTTCCTGCCCCAGCACCACCCCCAGCCGTGAGCAATGACCCACCCGCAATGGACAGCGCCCCCAGCATGGCGCCCCTGACTGCCCAGCAGCGCCTGCTGTCGCTCTCCGCCTCTGCCGCGCTCGCCCACCTCTCCTCCCTGCCGCCCCACCTCATGCCGTCCCCCCCCGCGCCCGCTGCCACCGCTGTGCTGCCTGCACAACATGGCGCGGGGGGCGAGGGCGGGGGGAGAGAGGGATGGAGCGGTGCGGGTGGCGTGGAAGGAGAGAGGGCGGCGGGGAAGGGCAGCGAGGGGCGTGCAGGTCGGATGGAGGGCAGAGAGAGACGATCAGGCCATATGCAGGATGGAGAAAGCAGCACAGGAAAGAAGGACGATGGGGTTGTGAGGACGGCGGGAGATGGCAACACGGGCACAAAAGGGCCAGTTGCAGTAGTTGGTGCAGGTGAGAGTGAAGCAAGAGGGGGGGCGGGTAGAGGGACGGATGCATCATTGGGGGCAGGGCGAGGGAGAGCGGGCGAGGGCAGTGCAAGCAGAGGTGAGGGGCGCAGTGAAGGGGAGGGCAGCGAGTCGGCTCTGAGGGAGGCACTGGCGGATGCCATCAGGCAGCGAGTGGCAGGGCAGGCGGCCGGGCAGGTGGCTGGGCAGGTAGCTGGGCAGGTAGCCAGGCAGGTGAAAAGACAGGTGGCAGGGCAGGGCGAGAGACGCACAGTAGGTTTGGAGCAAGAGGCGTGGGTGAGAGGGAGGGGGGAGAGAGAGATGGTAGAGGCACAAGGGACACGGCAGGGAGCAGCATGGAGGGATGAGGCAGCGGAGGGGGGGGTTACCTCGTTGAGCGCTGATGCTGCCAGTGGCTGCACCGCCGCTCCTCCTCTTGCTGCTGGGGTTGCTTCCCAGGCGCAGCAGCAGCAGCAGCAGCAGGTGCAGCAGGTGCAGCAGGTGCAGCAGGTGCAGCAGGTGCAGCAGGTGCAGCAGGAGTACAGAAGTGAGCCAGCGTCCTCAGTCGTGGTGGCAGGCACACAGCAGCGGCAGCAGCAGCAGCAGCAGCGCCAGCCAGGAATACCGAAGCTAGAGCTTCCACCCCACACTGCTGCTGAGGTAAGCCGCCCTGGTCGCTGCCATCCGTCACCCCGTCCATCCCATATCCAACCCAGTCCCCATGCCTCATTCCGTTATCACTTTTATCTTCCCCCATCTCCTCCCCCCTCTGCCACCCCACCACCCCCCTCTCCTCCCCCAGTCCCTCCCGCCGCTCTCCTCCCCCCCGCGCGTATCCAAGGGGGGTCTCCCTGCGCCTGTGTGTGCGCGCGAGTGGGCGTTGCGCAAGCTCCACACGGCACCAGGGCGAGGGGGGCCAGAGCAGGGAGAGGCGCGCGGGGAGGGGGAGCAGGGGCCGCGTGAAGCCGGGCGGGTGGGTGCGGTGGCAGCAGCAGGGCCAGCAGCGGCAGTGGCAGCGCGTGCAGCAGTGGCGAGTGAAGTGTCAGGGGCCGGAGGGAGCAAGGGCGCGCAGGAGGCAGGGGGGGGAGGGCGGGTGGTGCCAATGATGGAGGGAGTGCGGGTGCATGGGGGCACGCTCGTGCTCGTGGCGTATGGCGACCAGCAGCCACGGTGAGAACAACTCCCTTGCCATTCTGCTCGTTGCCATGTGCGTGCGCCTCAATCTGTGACTGTTTAGCATATACCCCACGTGTGCAACTCTTTCATTGCATGCAACACGTGCATGTATATTGATATATAGATATATATATATATATATATATACATACATACATACATATGTATACACATGTGTCATAATCAAGCCACCTCCATCCATGCGTGCGTGCCTGTCCCCGCCCACCCACCCATCAGCGTGGTGGAGCACATAGACGCGCATGTGAGCTTCCCCTCGCTGCCCCGCTCCTACAAGCGCATCAAGGTGGACGCCCACGGCTCCCTGCGCTCCTGCTGCAACTACCCTGCCGCCCCCTCACCCACCACCGCCACCACCACCACTGCCTCCTCCTCCTCCTCCTCGTCCCCCCAGCCCCCCAGCAGCAGTGGCAAGGGAGCAACCTCCACGCCTTCCCCTGGCATGCCTGATGGAGCCGCAGCAGGGGGGAAGCAGGCGGCAGGGGAGGGGGGAGGCGGGCTGCTGCGTGTGGCAGTGGATGTGGACGAGGAGCAGCACGAGTGGGCTGTCACCGTCACCGCACACAACCTCTTCGCACCCGTGCGTGCTGCTCTGCCACATGTGTTGTGCCCCATCCCCATTCATGTTCCAAGAACCATGTTCCATGTGCTGAGCGCATCACCTTATCACTTTGCCCTATGTTGCACCATGCGCCACGCATGTAACAGATGCTGATGCATCATTGCATAGGAACGCTTCCCGCGGTTGCGCATTATTGCTGTGGTCATTCATCGTACATCTCTGCCTCGTGCTTCTCATTTTGCAGTGTTCCCTGCAACTATCACCATCGCCATCACCATCACCATCACCATCACCATCACCATCACCATCACCATCACCATCAGCATCAGCATCAGCATCAGCATCAGCATCACCATCACCATCAGCATCATCCCCACCTCCCCCCCGAGTGCTGGCGCCAGGTGGTGGAGCGGCTGCTGGAGATTCCCCTGGATTGGTTCGGCGGCAGACTCGATGGGCAGGTCAGAGAGCCCTCGCCCCTCGCCCTCACTGCATCCATGTGTCTCCACTGCCCCGCTGCATGCATCCATGTGTCTCCACTGCCTCACTGCATCCATGTGTCTCCACTGCCCCGCTGCATCCATGTGTCTCCACTGCCCCGCTGCACGCATCCATGTGTCTCCACTGCCTCACTGCATCCATGTGTCACCACTGCCTCACCCCATCCATGTGTCTCCACTGCCTCACTGCATCCATGTGTCTCCACTGCCTCACTGCATCCATGTGTCTCCACTGCCTCACCGCATCCTTGTGTCACCACTGCCTCACTGCGGTTTAAGATCTTGGCTTTCTTCAACTGGCTGCCCTTCTCCCTTATACTCCCTTATACTCCCTTATACTCCCTTATACTCCCTCGTGCTTTTTGCTGCTCGTGCTGCCAGAGGCCTCGTTCGTTAGAACCTGCATCTGCACCCATCTCTCTTCTCCTGCATGCTTCAATTGGCTTCGCCGCTGTGCATATCAATGCACTCCATGTGCTGCTCTTATGCCTATGCGCGTGTGTGAGGCGCTTGAGTGCATGTGTGTGTGGGGGTGTGCGTGCGAGAGAGCAGGTGCACCTGTGGATGGGAGCGGGGGATTCTTTCCCCAACTTCAAGGGCCGAGTTGACGTCAGAGACCTTGCTTTCCAAATATGGGAGTCACCCTGTGCTTTCACTGTAAGGCCACTCACGTTGTCACACCATTTGCACACTCACACCAACCCCATCCATTGTCACACATCCAGCCGTGCCACCATATTTCCTCACACAACGCTTCGGACCGTTGTTTGCTGTGAGGCTGTGACCTCTCTGCATCATGCCGTCCCCTCTGCGCCTTCCCCCCCCCCCCCGTCCGCGGGGCCTTAGGGCGTGCAAGGCGCGGTGGTGCTGGAGGGGCAGCGGCTGTTTCTGCACGGCGTGGAGGGGCGGTACGGCCACGTGCCGCTGCGGGCGTCGGGGGACATGGACCTCAACCAGAGCGGGGGGGGGCAGTACCGCATCTCCGCCCAGGTGAGTGCGGGCGGGCAGTATGGCATCTCTGCCCAGGTGCGCTGTTGCTCTCACCCTCTCATGCCCTCTCATGCCCTCTCATGCCCTCTCATGCCCTCTCAAGCCCTCTCATGCCCTCTCATGTTCGCAGGTGCATTTGTTTCCCAGCTGTGCTCTGTGCTTCTCACGACCTTGGCTGTTGGGTGTGTCACGGGGTGCAGGTTCAACCTGTGGAGGCGAATCTGCTGATGAAGACTCTCAACGCCAAGCCCTTGCCATACCCGGTATGTGATGCGCATGTGTGGCGTGCTCACCGTTGGTATTCATCTCTCTGCCCACATGTCTAAACAACAACAACCGCAACCAGCATGAGTGCATCTGCTCCCATTCCCGCAGCGACTCCGACTCTTTCTCCCCCTATCCTGCCAGCTGGCAGGACGGCTGCAAGGACTGCTCTTCTGCCGCGGGCCTCTCGATGCGCCGTTATTTGAGGGCACTGCTGAGCTGGCAGCAGAGCCTGCTGATGTGGACGCGGCAGTTGCTGCTGTGGCGGGGTCGGATGCAGCGGAGGCAGTGGCGGCGTGGCGGCAGGAGGGGGCGGTGGGGGCGTATGACCGCGTGCCCTTCTCTTCTGCGTCTGCCAACTTCACCTTCAACACTGACGACTGTGTGAGGGGGCTTGCTGCGCGTGGGTGTGTGAGGGGGCTTGCTGCGCGTGGGTGTGTGAGGGGGTTTGCTGCGCGTGGGTGTGTGAGGGGGCTTGCTGCGCGTGGGTGTGTGAGGGGGCTTGCTGCGCGTGGGTGTGTGAGGGGGCTTGCTGCGCGTGGGTGTGTGAGGGGGCTTGCTGCGCGTGGGTGTGTGAGGGGGCTTGCTGCGCGTGGGTGTGTGAGGGGGCTTGCTGCGCATGGGTGTGTGAGGGGGCTTCCTGAGCGTGGGTGTGTGAGGGGGCTTGCTGCGTGTGGGTGTGTGAGGGGGCTTGCTGCGCGTGGGTGTGTGAGGGGGCTTGCTGCGCGTGGGTGTGTGAGGGGGCTTGCTGCGCGTGGGTGTGTGAGGGGGCTTGCTCCATGTGGGTGTGTGAGCAGCGCACATGCTCCACAGGATGCATGGCTGGGAGTCATAGGAGAGCCCGTGGCAAGCAACACCCGTTTCTTCTTGACTGCCATCCTCCGCTCTTCGCATCCCTGCTTCCCCCTTCCCCCTTCCCCCTTCCCCCTTCCCCCTTCCCCCTTCCCCCTTCCCCTCCTCTGCCCGCGCACGCTGCCAGGTGGCTGAGCTGCACGGGGTGCGGGCGGTGCCGGTGGGAGGAGGGGAGATTCGAGGGGCAGGCACACTGTGGGTCTGCCCTCAGGTGAGTATGCTGTGCCCTCAGGTGAGTATGCTGTGCCCTCAGGTGAGTGTGGCGTGTGTTCAGGTGAGTGTAAACCTGGGTGGGTACTTTGTCAAATTGATAAGGGTTGTTTGCCGGTGCTCAGATATGTGTTGCTTCACGGTTGAGGTATCTCTCTCGCCTGCATTCCGCCACCATCCACCGTCGGACCCAACACCTGTTATGGCCGTGCGTGCGTGCCCCCCCCGCTCTGGCAGGCGGAGGTGGACCCGTCGGCAGTGAATGTGGACTGCTGGGCGTCGGGCGTGTCTCTGGACCGCCTGCTCGCCTTCTACCTGCCGTCAACCGCCGCCCCGCCCCCCTCGCTGCTGGGCCTTGCGTCTGGCGAAGCAGGCTTCAGAGGCTCCCTGCTCTCCCCGTATGCCTCCCTCTGCTTTGCTTCCCCGTGTCTGTCTTGCAGTGTTGCATTCTCCTTCCTGCCTGCTCTCTCACTCTTTTCTTCTCCTTGCTTCCCATGTGAGCTTACCCCCCACCCCCATACACCCCCTCGCCCATTCTCTTCCCCCCCCACAGCACGGTGGAGGCGGTGTGGAAGGCCCCTCAGGCGCGGGGTCCACTGGAGGGCATGCAGGGCTCGCTGTCTCTCTCACGGGACACCGCCCACGCCGCCACCCACGCGCACGCCCTGGACCTCCTCGCCTCCGCCTCCCTCTCTGCCCCTCCCCCCTGCCCCTCTCCCCGCGCCCACGCCGCAGCGCCTCACGCCCGTGGCCAGTGCTGTCGCTTGACCTGCCAGCACTGCCCCCACGGCCGCGCCTGGAGCGCGTGGAGAGTGACGTGCGCCTGCGCGCCTTCGACGCCCTCGCCCTGCTGCCCGCTGCCCCCCTGCCGCTGCCACCACCCCAGCCATCTCTGCGCCACCTGCGGCTGTCGGGACGCCTCAAGCTGTCTGCGCGCGTGCCGTGGGGGGAAGAGGTGCAGGCTGGCAGGGAGGGCGAGGCAGGGGGAGGGGAGGGGCAGGAGGCAGGGTTGCCAGGGCTGGAGGGGAGTGTGCTGATTCAGGGGCTGAAGCTGAACCAGCTGCTGCTGGGGGCGAACCTCTCAGGCGCCGTGGCGGTGAGTCCAGGCGGCTTCAACCTGCACACCGTGGGGCGCGGCGATGAGCACCTCATGCTGCAGCTCTCAGCCAATGGCGTGCTGCCACCTATCCCTGCCGTCCAGTCCACCACATCCTCCTACATGCCACAGGCACAAGCCTCTGTGGCGGCCTTTCCTCTGCCCGATGCAGCAGCGGCAGCAAGCAGTGCGGATGGTGCCCTAGGGCCGGGCATGGCAGGGGGCGTGGCGGGGGGGGCAGTGCGGGTGCAGCGGGGGCAGATGAGCGTGGAGGGGCAGGTGCAGGTGGGGGCGGCGGCGGTGCTGGAGGTGCGCGCGCTGCCGCTGGACGAGCTCGAGCTGGCGTCGCTGCGCGGCCTGGTGGAGCGCGCCGCCGTGCGCCTCAACTTCGCCAAGCGCCGCGGCCATGGCACCCTGGCTGTGCGGCGTCCGCGCTTCAGTGGCATGTTGTGTGACGCTCTGCACGCCGCCTTCCGGTGGACTGGTGACGTGGTGAGACAGTCGTGTGCTGTGTTGGCCTGTATGCATGCTGCATGAGCTGGCCATCTGACGCCCTCTGTGCTGTATTCTGTGTGCGTGCGTGTGCGTGTGCGTGTGTGCATGTGCGTGTGCGTGCGCGCATGCGAGTGCAGGTGACGCTGGAGCGGTCGGTGCTGGAGCAGGCCAACAGCCGGTACGAGGTGCAGGGGGAGTACGTGCTGCCAGGGATGCGCGACTGGGACAGAGACAGAGACAGCTCGTCAGTCACAGGCATGGCTCACACCCCTGACGCCACGGCCACTGCTTCTGCCACAGCCTCTCACCGCGGGTCGGACTGGGATGCGGAGCAGCAGCGGGCCATGCCGGGGCAGCTGCACGCCATGATGACGTCCATTGGCCGCTGGCGCATGCGCCTCGACGTGCCCCATGCTGACATCAGCGAGATGCTCCCTGGCCTGCGCATTTTGTCTCGTAGCCACGACCCGGCGGTTCTGTTTCGGTCCAAGGAGCTCTTCCTGCACGGCATCGAGGGCGTGGGCTTTGCCTCGCACTCCCTGCAGCACCAGCTCGAGGTCAGTCTCTGCACGCCACCCACACACCCTCTAGTGCTTCGCGCCTGCCTGCTGCAGGGCTTACCCTTGCGTGCTGTGTTCCTCTGCACTTGTTCTTGACGCTCCTTGCCGTCCGTGCCTCCCCGCATCGCCCCCATAGCCCATTGTGCACCCATCACTGTTCATGCCACGTCCCCCCATCATGTTTCACCCCCCTGTTTGCCTCCCGCCCATCCCCGCACATGGCTACCCCATTTGTGCCGTCACGTGCGGCGTGCGGCAGTATGTGCGGGAGAAGAGGGAGCGGGAGTGGGAGCCAGCGGGCGCGGACGTGGGGGGGGGGGCGGCGGTGGAGGCATTGCCGGGGCTGGTGGATCTTAGGGGGCGCTGGCACGGGGTGCTGGAGGCCAGTGGGGGGGCAATGGCGACACGTCCGCGTCGTTTGACGTGCACGGCAGCGACTGGGAGGCGGGCAGTTACCGCCTGCAGCAGCTGCAGGCGCGGGGGCGGTACAGCAACACGGGGGGCCTGCATGTGGAGCGCCTGCTGCTGCAGAAGGACGACGGTGCCACGGTGCATGCGGACGGCACGCTCTTCGGCCCCGCGCCCAACCTGCACTTCGCCCTCCTCAACTTCCCCGCCCACCTCGTCCCAACCTTCCTGCAAGCCCTCCAAGCCGCTGCCCCCTCCCAGCCGTCTGCTGCCTCGGGTGCCCCGTTCCCCCCTCGCCCCCTGCAGGCGTGCAGCAGGCGGCGGTGCGGGGCGTGGTGCACGTGGAGGGCGACCTCTCGGGCTCCTTCGCCCAGCCACAGTGCGAAATCCAGGTGGGGCGGGCTGGAGGGTGAAATTCAAATATCGCTTGCGTGCACATAGTGGAGTGATTGGGTGCACCAGTGGATGGAGTGGCCCACTGCTGATGGTGCATGTGGTGCTGCACAGCGCTCCACGCCATGCTCGCGCACCCTAAACGCCCTTTCCACCCCTGATGAGTGTTCTGTTCCGTTCTCAATTCGCCCCCTCCTTCTCCCCCTCTCCCCTCCCCCCTCCTCCGCGCCTCAGCTGCGGCTGCTGGACGGCGAGATAGCGGGCGTGGCGCTGGGGCGGGCAGAGGTGGCGGCGTCCCTGACGCCGGCATCGCGCCTGCTGTTTCATGCGGTGCTGGAGCCCGCCCTGGAGGCCGGGCAGGTGCGCGTCAAGGGCAACGTGCCGCTGCCGCCCATGCAGGGCGCGCAGACAGGCCAGGAGGTGCAGGGGGGGAGCAGAGATCTGGGTAATGGAGGGAGGAGGGCAACCTCTGTTGGGAGCAGAGAGGAGGAGAAGCGGGGTGGCAAGGCAGGTGAGAGAAAGCAGAAGGCGGCAGCGGAGGGGAAGACGAGGAAGGAAGGCGCGGGTGCAACGCGGGAGCGGACGGGAGAGAGCAGCCGCATATGGCATGACTGGGACTGGCTGGAGCGAGAGGGAGGGCTGTGGAGCGAGGGCAAGGGGAGCGGCGATGGAGGCGAGGGCGAGGAGAAGGGCGAGGAGGAGGCAGGAGAGGAAGGGGAGGGGGAGGAGGAGGAGGAGGAGGCAAAGAAGGGGCCGGAGCTGCTGCGCAGTCTGGCGGAGTTGGAGCGGGGGTTTGAGGGCGAGGAGCAGGTGGAGCGCATGGCGGTGGACGCTAGTGTGACGGACGCCGGCATGATGCTGCTCACCGCTCTCTCACCCTCCTTCCGCTGGATCCAAGGCCACGCCGCCATCTCTGCTCAGGTGCGTGCTGCCATCTCTGCTCAGGTAAGGCTGGCCTTCTAGTGTCTTCGCCTGCTGTTGCCTTCCGTTGCAGAACCCGTGATTCCCCTTTTTCTGCCCCCTCGCCTCTCTCAGAACCCGTGATTCCCGTTTTTCTGCCCCCTCGCCTCTCTCAGAACCCGTGATTCCCGTTTTTCTGCCCCCTCGCCTCTCTCAGAACCCGTGATTCCCCTTTTTCTGCCCCCTCGCCTCTCTCTCTTGCACCGTCCTGCCCCCTCAGCTCCGGGGAACACTAACTCACCCTGAGGTGGCAGCAGAGGCGGTGTTCAGCCGGGTGACGGCGTCCTCGCCAGTGCTGCCGCGCCCGCTGACGGGGGGGGGGGACGCATCCGCGTAGCGGCGCAGCAGCTGCTGGTGGACGGGCTGGAGGGGCGCGTGGGGCGGCGCGGCACGCTCAGGGTGGAGGGCACACTGCCGCTGGGGCTAGGCGCACAGGTGGCGGGGGGGGAAGGGAGGAGGGGGAGGGGGCGCAGGCGGTTGGTGGGGTGAGAGGAGGGAGCGAGGGTATGAGGGAGAGGATGGGCGAGGGTATGAGGGAGAGGATGAGCGGGCAGACTGAGCATTCACGTGACAGCATGCGTGGGGAGGGAATTACCATTATGGCGGAGAACCTTGAAGTGCGCGCGCGCAATGTGTTCAGGTGAGCATGGATCCGTTTGCTAGAAAAGGATTGACTTTTGCTGGACCGCGGGTTGTGGTAGTGTTTGTGAAGTTCTTTCTTTACTGCTGGTTCTTAGCAGTACAGCCCATGACTGTCTGTCAATTTGCCTGTAGCAAAAACCCCTAGTGACGATGCCCCATTGCTGTGCGCGAGCGGTGCTGCAGCGGCCTGGTGGACGCGGGCGTGAGTGTGATGGGCAGCCTGGCGGCCCCTGAGGTGACGGGCGCCATCCGGCTGTCGCGCGGCATCGCGTACCTGTCGCAGGAGAAGGACAGGGCCGACACCCCCTCCCCCTCCTCCGTGCCCTCCTCCCTGCTGCCCGCCCACCGCCGCAAGTCACCTGCACTCTCTGCTCCCACCAGTGCCGCTCCTGCCAATTCAGCAGCACCGGATTGGCTGCCTGCCATGTCATCGGCGGCCGCGTCTACAGCCATGAAGCTGCCGCCTTCAGCCCCAGAGCAAGGTCTGCCCCACGCCACTCCCTTCACTCCCCACCTAAGTGGGAAAATCCGCGTTTCGCGTAAATGCGTAAATTCGCCCGAACGTCAGGGCCGTGTTTTGAATTCGTTAAGAAATTCGTTCCTCCCGGGCAGGAAAAAAATGTCTGGGCAGTCCCAAAAAAAGTTCCCAGGTAGGGGGGGCGTGGGGGGTTTCAGGGCAACTCTTCGTAAGCAAGAGCACAAAATAAATATTGCTTCTCAAAGTTTATGGCGATAGCATGTTCTAGAGTTTGGGGGGGATCCTTCGCAACAACAGCCCTGCAGCAACCTACAGCAACATCATCAACCATACTCGTGAGGTAAGCTAATGTCTATGCTTAAACTAGTTTTACTAGCTAGGACGCGGAGGAGTGATTAGCTAGATCTACTCTACGTGTGGTAGAGTAGCGTGTGAGATGCGTGATATAGTTGTGTAAGTTGTGTTGGGTGGTGGATGGGTTGGGTTATCTAGATGTGGTGGGATTTGATGCGGTTGGGAGCGTGGGAGGGGTTGGGAGCATGTTTGGAGGTTCAAAAGTTAGAATCGCGAATTGGCGAGGCCACGGATGGGAAAATTCACGTTTTCCTGTCTGGGCTGCCCGGAAAATTTCCCCAAGCGTTTCGCGAATTCCAGGTAAATGTGTAAAACGCTTGGCACGCATTTACCCTTACGAATTTACGCAAAACGCTGGGGGACCTCAACGAATTTTCCCACTTAGCTCCCCACTCCCCACACCCTGCACCCTGTACCCTACACCCCTCACCCCTCACCCCGCACCAGGGTTTATCACTCAGGTCTCGGTGTGGCTGTCAGTCCTCCCTACCGGGTCGCACAAGCCCTCCTGGCTCTCTCTTTCAAGTTCTGATGCCTTGCGACCGTGCACATTGCCGTGTTTGTCCTTTGCATTGGGTTCTCCTTAGTCGTCTGTGTGCCATTTTTTTCCCCATTCACTGTGCTCGTCTTCACCTTTCTTCACCCCCATGCCTTCCTGCCGGCACCATGAACAGAAAGCACATCTGCACTGCTATCGTCCACCAGTGCCACTGCCACTTCTGCTAACTCTGCTGCTGCCGTGCCGCCTGCAACACTGCCAGCGCCCCCTGACCTCGCATCCGCCCCCTCGGCGCCCGCCGCGCTGGTGCGGCTGAGGGGGCTGCAGGTGGCGCTGGGCCCGGAGCTGCGCGTGGTGTATCCGCTCATCCTCAACCTCGCCACGCGCGGCGACCTCGAGCTCAATGGCTTCGCGGAGCCGCACCTTGTGCGCCCCTCTGGCACTCTCTTCTTCGAGAACGGCGAAGTCAACCTCGTTGCCACCCAGGTCAACCTCGTCCCTACTTATGCCCCCTCGATATGCCCCCTCTGCCGTTGTTACAGTTTGCAGTTTGTTTGTTCGCTGCTCTGCCCATCACTGCTTTCTCCATCCCTGCTTCACACTGGCCTTGGCTGAACCCTGAGTCCCCAACCGATATGGCATGTCCCGTGCGCAGCTGCGGCTGAACCGCGACCACCCCAACTGTGCGCGGTTTGAGGCGGCGCTGGGCATGGACCCGGTGCTGGACCTGAAGCTGGTGGGGGCGGACTGGCAGATGCGCATCCAGGGGCCCGCCAACCGCTGGCAGGACCACGTGGTGCTCACCACGCTGCCCAGGGGCGGCGAGGAGGATGTGCTGTCGCCCGCGGAGGCCGCCAGGCTGTTTGAGAGCCAGCTGGCGGAGTCGCTGCTGGAGAAGGACGGCCAGCTGGCACTCAAGAAGCTGGCCGCCGCCACCGTGGAGACCCTCATGCCCAAGATCGAGAGCCGCGGGCAGTTCGGGCAGGCGAGGTGGCGCCTGGTGAGCGCGCCGCAGATCCCCAACCTGCTCTCGCTGGACCCCACCTCCGATCCCTTCCAGTCACTTGCCAACCTCTCCTTCGGCGCCGAGGTGGAAATCCAAATCGGCAATAACCTCCAGGTGCCGTGACACGCATCATGTTGACATCCATCAGTGGGCATGCACCATTTAGACACGTTTTGACATGCATAATCTTCGCATGCATCATTGTGGACATGCCTCGTCTTCACATGCATTATCGTAACATGCATCATTCCAACGTGCACTACTTCGAACATTTTTTGTACTTGGTGATTGATCCAGGCATCTGTGGTCCGGCAACTGCGCGAGAGTGAGATGGCAACTCAATGGAAACTGCTTTACCAGCTCAACTCCCGTTTACGACTTCTCTTCTCGTCATTGTCGTCTATGGAAAAACGGTTGTTGTTTGAATATTCCGCGTCGTCGCAAAATTGACTATTGTGGTGCTAAGGGCGAATTCCTACAAAGTTGCATCAGAATCAGAAACGCGTGTAACTGAAATGAACCACACTGAAACGCGATTCAAACACTCGCACCGCACAGTACCGCATGATTCTGATCCAACTTGATTCTGATCCTGAATTCCGCCCGAAGTTTGGGTGCTGAAATGTGGAGTGTTTGGCATGCACGTATTGGCTGTGCGTTAGTACTCTCCTCTCCACCGTGTGTTCAATGATGTTGGTTTGGAGGCCTTTTTACCCCTCTCTCCATTCTCTCTACTTGAAGTCTCCATGTGTGCGAAGTGGAACAGATACTCTATATATACCGACAGACAACCATTGAAACATCACAACAAAGATGACCCTGAGCTCAGCTAAGAATTTGAATAGCCATACCATACCAGCCAGGGTTCTCCTGTGCTTGACAAGGTGGAGCACAATTGCCACAACTGTTGAAGTAGGGAAGTAGGGTTTAGCTAGGGTAGCGAGAAGTTTAGCGAGAGAAAGAGGGAGAACGAGACAAGAAAGAGATACACTTAACAGAAAGAATGAATGACTAGAGTGGTGAGATACAAGGCAATATAGTCTAGAGTGTTGTGCCCAGTAAAGCACAAACATATATAGTCTACAGTAACTGCATAAGCTATGTTGACACACCCTTAGACTATATAAGGGGCAGTGCCTAACAAGGGAAGAAGCAGCTCAGGGCGGCACTACTAGTCCAGCCTCTGAGACAAGGGTCTAAAGACCAGTCAAAGGAATACAGACAAGGCAAGAGCAAGACCAGGGCGCCTAACTAGTCCAGCCACTAGGAGAGCCACAAGGCCAGTCAGGGTAAAATAAAATAAATAAAATAAATAAATAAATAAATATATATATAGAAAGGACAGTACAAGGTCAAGACCCTAGCAAGTGAGAGGCTACAGGAACGAGACCTAGCTGTACACAGTGCCGCTGATGATCTTTAGGCGCAAGTGCCTTCGTAAAGATATCAGCTGTGTTGGCATCGGAGGCCAAGTGTACTACGCGATCCTGGCGGCGCTGCTGGAGCTCACGCAGGAGGAAGTGTCACAGCTGGATGTGCTTCGCTCTGCCCTCGAGTCGAGGCTCCTGACATAGGAGGATCATGGTGTCAAACATGTGTATTTGTCATGTTTGTATAGACTGTATAGGGTCGTCTCTTAGAGAGTACAACACTTAGATATATCTGTGTGTACACTCTATCTATCACACACTTCTCAGTTTCTGTTATGGTATCACGCGTAGGTAGGATCCCCCCCCCCAACCTACCGCTTCCGCTCACCCCTCTAGCGCCCCTCCTGGGCCCCGTCGCACCCCTCACTGGGCCCCGTCGCGCCCCTCCCAGGCCACGTCGCGCCCCTCCTAGGCTGTAGCGCCCCCCCTCCTCGCGCCGCGCCCCCTCGCTGCTCCCTAGCCCCGCCCCCTCCCCTGGGGCCCGTCGCGCCCCTCCTGGGCCCCGCGCGCCCTCCTGGGCCCCGTCGGCCCCTCCTGGGCCCGTAGCGCCCCTCCTGGGCCCCGTCGCGCCCCTCCTAGGCCCCGTCGCGCCCCCCGGCCCCACCCCTCCTGGGCCCCGTCGCGCCCTCCTGGGCCCTGTAGCGCCCCTCCTGGGCCCCGTCGCGCCCCTCCCAGGCCCCGTCGCGCCCCTCCTGGGCCCTAGCGCCCCTCCTGGGCCCCGTAGCGCCCCTCCTGGGCCCCGTCGCGCCCTCCCTGGCCCCGTAGCGCCCCTCCTGGGCCCCGTCGCGCCCTCCGGCCCCGTGCGCCCTCCTGGCCCCGTAGCGCCCTCCTGGGCCCGTCGCGCCCCTCCTGGGCCGTAGCGCCCCTCCTGGGCCCGTCGCGCCCCTCCTGGGCTCGTAGCGCCCCTCCTGGGCCCCGTCGCGCCCCTCCTGGGCCCCTGTAGCGCCCCTCCTGGGCCCCGTCGTCCCCTCCTGGCCCGTAGCGCCCCTCCTGGGCCGCGTCGAGCCCCCTCCTGGGCCCCGTCACGCCCTTCGGCCCCGTCGCGCTCGCCCGGCCCCGTCGCCCCGCCCGCCCGTCGCCCAGCCCGGCCCCGTCGCACCGCCCGGCCCGTCGCACCGCCCGGCCCCGTCGCGCCGCCGGCCCCGTTGCACCGCCCGGCCCCGTCGCCCCTGCCCGGCCCCGTCGCAGCCGCCCGGCCCCGTCGCACCCGTCCGGCCCCCCGTCGCGCCCGCCAGCCCCGGTGCGCCCCTCCTGGCCACCGTCCTGCTCGCCCGGCCCCGTCGCACCGGCCCGGCCGTCGCACCCGCCCGGCCCCGTCGCACCAGCCCGGCCCCGTCGCGCCCCGTCCGGCCCGTCGCGCCCGCCCGGCCCCGTTGCACCGGCCGGCCCCTGCGCTCGTCCCTGCCCGGCCCCGGTCCTCCTCACTGGTACGGTTCCCCCCCCCCCTGCACTGCCCTGCACCGTACTGCCCCGCACTGCACCGCCCGCACCACCCTGTCCTGCCTGGCACCGCACTGCACCGCCCTCCACCGCACTGCATCGCACTCTACCGCACGGCACCGCACTCCACCTTGCTGCACTGCCCTGCACCGCACTGCACTGTTCCTGATGGCGGCGGAGCTTCGCTTCGACGCTGAAGGCCAGCCTCTGGAGTTCGAGGCGTGGCTTGCCGACCTCCGTCGCCAACTCACTGGCCAGCGGCAGGATGGTGAACCGCTTTCCGCACACCTTGACGGTACGCTCCCCTGCCCAGACCCCCTGCTATTCTGCCCGCTGACTCCACACCCACTGAGCGCGAGTCCACTGCTGCCACTGCCCGTGCGCGCTCTGTCTGGCTTTCTCGCGATGCTGTCGCCCAGCTTGCCATTAGCAACGCCCTTCCCCCGTCCGAGCGCCCTCGCTTTAGGTCTCTCACACTGCTCAGGCATACTTAGATGCTGTCATCCAGCGCTATTCCACCCCTCCGGCTGCCTCGGTGGGTCGCCTGATCCTCCCGATGCTCTTTCCTGACCTTGCATCTTTCCCCACTGTCTCTGACCTCGCTGCCCACCTGCGCTCGATAGATGAGACCTGCGGCGCCTGCACTGATGCACAGCTTAGAGCCCACCAGCCGCCCATTACCTCTACCCTCTACCTGCTTGCCACCCGCCTCCCTGACCGCCTTGCTGTCGCCCGCGACCGCTTCCTTAGCATTCACCCCGCAGACCTCACCCTCACTGACTTTGTAGACACCCTGACTGTGATAGAGACCCGTCACCGCTCCATCGCCCAGGCGAGCGGTGTCGTGCCGGTCCCTATCTTTCAGGGTTGTGCCCCGCCTAGTGTACCTTCTCCGACGGCTCTGCCGCAGTGGCTGAGACTGCTGCTGCAGCGCAGTTTCGTTTGGGGAAGGGCCGCCGCCCCAAGGCTGGGCGCGCGGCGGCGCGGCGGGGTGCGGGAGGGGTAGTGGTGGGGTCGGGTCGTCTGGTGCTGGAGCGGACGAGGGGACCCTGCCCAGTCCAGCTGAGCCGCCGCCCCTGCAGTTGCAGCAGCCGCAGCAGCCGCCGCAGTCGCAGCCTTCGCAGCAGCCGTCGCAGACGCGGCAGACGAGTGTCCTCCCGCCCGGGTGGCCCGGCGCTGGCGGTGGCCGGGCGCGTGGTGGTGTGCCGAGTGGTGGCTCTGGTGGCGGGCGTTGTCAGTACCAGATCCAGACCGGTCCTCGCCGCGGTTTCGTTTGCGGTAGCTCGGTCACTCCACTCCCCGCTTTTCGTCGCCTGGACGACCTCTTTCGTCAGCGCTTCGGCCCGTCGCCAGACCTCCCGGACTGGCACAGTTTGCTTAGTCGTAAGATTCAGATTTTTGATATGGACATGGATGCCATTGTTTCTGCTCTGCATGTGATGTATGCTGATGACTCTAGTGTGCTTCCCGCTTATTACTCACTGTTGCCTAGTGTAGGTGTGCCTAGCTTAGCCTCCCCTGCTGCGTCAGGCGTAGGATCCCCTGCTTTGTGTAGTCTTGGTGCTTCCGCCGTCGTTCCGTGCCAGACGCCTCTGCTTCGCTTTCCTTCACCTTGGACTCTGGCGCTTCTCGGTGTTTCTTCCGCGACTCCACCACCCTGACGCCGCTTCCTGTCCCAGCTGCCGTCTCTTTGCTGACCCCTCCGGCGGTCCGGTAGTCGCCCGCAGTTCCACCACCCTTCCCTGTCCGGCGGTTCCTTCGGGCTCTCACAGGTCTGCATATCCCCTCGTTCTCCAGGAACCTAGTTGGTGTCGGCTGCCTCCAGGACCTTGGCGTCACCACTACGTTCCCTGGTCACGAGCGGTATGCTGTCTGTACCGAGGCCGCCACTGGTGCCCCCCTGTCCACGTTCCCCCGGGACCCGGTGTCCGGCCTGTTCACTCTGGACACCGTGACCCCCCCGGCTGGAGCGCTCCCTCAGGTGGCTGCGTCTACCCAGGTTGCTGCTGCCTGCTCCTGTCGCTCCCTCACTCACCCGACTCTCCTTTGGCACCACCGCCTAGGTCACCCTGCGCTCCCGCGTCTGCGTCACATGTCCCAGCACGGTCTTGTCCTTGGTCTCCCAGGTTCCCTCCCCGCGTTTCCCTCCTCCCCAGCCCCACCTTGCACGCCTTGTGTCGAGGGTCGGCTTCGCCGTGCCCCGCACTCCTCCTCGTTTCCCCCTACCGCCGCGCCGCTGCAGACCCTGCACCTGGACGTCTGGGGCCCCGCCCCCGTCCCTGGGCCGCGTCGAGAGCGCTACTTCCTTGTGCTTGTCGACGACTTCACTCGTTACACCACAGTCTTTCCCCTGGAGCGCAAGGCCGACGTGCCTGGCGCTCTCATCCCCTGGCTTGTCTCTGCGCGTCCACCGCGGTCTCCCTGTCTTGCGTCTTCACTCGACCGTGGTGGCGAGTTTGCCTCAGGTGTCCTTGGTCGCTTTTGTCGTGCGGAGGGCATCACCCAGACGTTCACCCTACCGGACTCCCCACAGCAGAATGGGGTCGCTGAGCGACGCATCGGTTTGGTCATGGAGGTGGCTCGCACCTCCATGATCCATGCCGGTGCACCCCATTTTCTGTGGCCGTTCGCTGTGCGCTACGCTTCTCACCAGCTTAACTTGTGGCCGCACCCTCAGCAGCCGCAGGTTTCGCCGACCGTCTTTGGACTGGGTCTCCTGGTGACGCGTCTGCGTTCCACGTCTGGGGCTGCCTTGCTCACGTCCGTGCCTCCGGCACGGACAAGCTCACTGCCCGCACCCTTCCCTGCGTCTTCCTCGGTTTTCCCCTTGACGCGTC